CTAAACATGTCTTGGCTGATCTGGGGTAAGTGGAAAATTTGATTTTTGCAGAACCATTATTTTAAAATTAAAGGGGAAATAGAAAATTAAAATGAATTTAATAGACATTTAGATAATTCCAAGTTAAATGCAAGGTAGGGACACATATAGGAGGCTAATCAAATAAAATGTTACCTTACATACTGACAAATACAGCATAAAAATCCATTCTAACAGGACCCTGAGTAATTTACTGTGTGTAAGAAGGCTATGAAGTGAAATAGAGAAACACATGCACTCACATGCTGAGTAATTGGCAGCACGGTTAGCCTGTGAGGCATATGGTAATTGATTCACATGTGTGTAAACCTTAATTAAGCGGGATTAGTCATGCCACATGACGTTACACACCCTAAAGTAATGTTAGAGACACTTACATGCTTATCTGAGTCAGAGTACACTGTGATGAGTTATTCTGGTGCCATATAACCCATCGCTGTTGGAAATGGCCAAAGAAACGCTCCCAGGAATTAACATTTTAATCATTAACATTTAATGAATTACAAAAACAAAAATTCACTTATACATAAGGTTCTTCTGTTATTATTTCTTGCTAGCCTTCCTTATTAAAGGATTTTCAAGTGTTTATAATGTCAAGGTTATAATACAATAGCCTCTTTCATACTTTGTATGGCAGTGAGGCCCATTGTTTATGTTTGTCAGTTTGAATGTAGTTCTGTGGCAACTCACCGGCCTCCTTTGTCCCTCTGTTTTTGTTTATGTCTATGTGTTTGTTTTTGCCTTACACCTCCATGAATTTGGGTGACATGATGGGATTCTGTTTGTGTAAATCTGTCTTTGTGCCTTTTTGCGGTTTTGAATGATGTATTTGTTCATGTCTTTGTTTGTGTCTTCCTTTATGTTGGTGTTTTTAAATGTGTGAGTGCATCTCTTTGTCTTTCATCATGTAACTGTGACTTATTTATGTGTGTCTGTGTGGATTTGATTGGCTGTATGTTTTTTTCTTTGTCTGTTTCGATGTATTGATGTTTGTGTGTATTTGTGTGTCTGTATATATGTGTTCGTGTATGCGTATATGAATGTGTCAGGAGTTCCATTACCGTCGGCGGAGCAGTGACGTGTGCCTGCCGTGTGACTGCTACCCAGTGGGCTCCTTCTCGCGGTCGTGTGACCCAGAAAGCGGTCAGTGCCAGTGCAGGCCGGGCGTGATTGGCCGACAGTGCAACATGTGTGACAACCCATTCGCTGAGGTCACACAGACAGGCTGTGAAGGTGAGACCAAATCACACACCCAAATACATCCATCCGTCCATTCATTCGTCATTTCATCTATGCTCTATCTATCCATCTATCAGCCATCCCTCCATTCATCCATTCTTCAGTCCACTCGTGTTCCATCCATGATCTATCCATTATTCATCTATCCATCTATTATTTCATCCATCATCTATCCTTTTACCCTTCCATCCATTAGGCATTCATCATCCTTTCATCCATCTGTTCATCTATCCATCTATCTATCCACCGTCCAGTCATCCTTTCTTACATTTATTCATGCAATCCCTCCATCCATGATGCGTTCATGACTAATCTTTATTCTACTCACCCATTCATCCATCTGTCCATTCATCTATCAATTCATCCATTGCCCATTTATCCTTTCTTCCATTTATTTGTTCATCCATCCTTCCACGACCCATCCATTAACAATCTTTCATCTATTCCTCCAATCATCCATTCACCCATCCATCCATCTATCCATTCCATCTGTTACATCATCCATTTATCATCCATCCATCATTCATCTATACATCCTTCCATCCATCCTCCATTCATCATCCATCCATCATTCATCCATCAATCCATCTATTGTCCATTCATCTTTTCTTCCATTTATTTTTTCATCCATCCATTCACGATCCATTAACAATCTTTTATCTATTCATCTATCCATCCATTCACCCATCTCATCCATCCATCCATCCATCCATCCATCCATCCATCATATATCTACCCATCCATCCATTAGGATCCATTCATGATCCATCCATCCATCTATCCATCCATCTGTTAATCCATTCATCCATCCATCATCCATTTATTATCCATCCATCCTTCATCTGTACATCCTTTGATCCATCCTCCATTCAATCATTCATCCATCCGTCATCCATTAATTTGTTCATTCACTCATCCATCTATTCATCCATGCATTTAACCATCTGTTTATCCATTTCCCATTAAAGTCACAAGTGTTACATTGATGCCTGGAGAACATATACAGTATAAGCCCCCTCAAAGCAAACTAAATATTAATAAATATTCATGTCATTGCTCATATATACTGTACGTTGCTGAAGTTAATTCAACACTAATGATTTTATTGTGCACAGATGTATGTAAATAGCCATCCATCTACCACCTTTTTTCATTCTTCATTGTTCTCTGTATAGTTGTGGGTGCATCTCTCTATGAGCCTGTCATGATTCTGACCATCAAGTGTTCTGTTATGAAGATTTGACCTTTCAGTACCTAAAAAAATATTTAATATGTTTAGTTTAATATATCAGCATTTTGAATATGTATTTACAGTGGTAAAGAATGCTCACAGTGATTCATCAACAGTGATCCAAGGTTTTGATATTATACTGCATATTACTTTCTGTTCTGACATAATAATGTGCAGTTATGGGAGAAGATTAGCAGCAAGTCAATAATATATGACTTTTAAATTAATAAATAAAAGCTTGTAGTGCTCCTTCACTGACTCTGCTGTTTTAGTTTCACTTTCCCACTGTCTTTTTGCTCTGCTGGTGCTCTCTCTGCACTGCTTGCTGTTGTTGGATAGAGCTTTTCAATAAACATGAATAAGCAACTGTGTAAATGCTGCTCTATTTGCCCCCCCCCCTTCTTCCACAGTAATTTATGATGGCTGTCCCAAGACCATCACATTGGGGATCTGGTGGCCCAGGACCAAGTTCAACCTGCCTGCTGTTGTACCCTGTCCTAAAGGATCAGTAGGTGAGCATCAGTGTGCTTAAACATGTGCTTCAAACATACTGCACATACTGTGTCAGTTGTTTATTTAAGGTAGAAAGACGGGAGGATGCTCTGTACTCTTTTCATATTTGCTGTATAATATTCAACAATAAGATGTTCGGCATCTATGGCTTGGAAAAAAATCAACATCGAGTTTATTTCACCATCACAGTTGGCAGCATAAAATAGGACAAATGATCTTTTGATGGAACATTGCGCTGACTATTGCAATACACTGCTGTCACCACTGGCGCTGGCATAATTTCCTTCACTACTCTATTGAATGGAGTAGAATATCCAGTTTGCTGTTGATTGTATACCATCATAATGTAAACACAGGGTTTCCAATCCCAGTCCTTGTGACCCCACACTATGTACGTTTTCAAGCACACAAGATTCAACTTAACATGTGAACAAGTTAACAACATGTTAACAACTTAACAAGTTCCCCAATGACTGACATAGGCAGAGCATGGGGGATTGGGAACTACTTAGATTAGATTAGATTAGATTAGATTAGATTAGATTAGATTAGATTCAATTTTATTGTCATTGTGCAGAGCACAGGTACAGAGCCAATGAAATGCAGTTAGCACCTAACCAAAGGTGCAAAATACAGTATTATTTAGATATAAAGTGCACGAAAGTAACCATGGTAAACAATGCTGTGGTTACAATAGGTACAATTAAGGACAGTAGAGTAGAAAAAATGTATATAAATATTGCAAGTATAAATATAATATACATACATTAGTGGTGAGAATGCAAACGTACGTAGTGAGATGTACTGTGAGAGCAGCGTATGTAAAATTATGAGTATGCAGAGTAAAAACATGTACAGTAGCTGTCTGTGCAAATATGAATAGTCCAGTAATAGACTGTACAAATATGACTGTAGTAACAGTGCAGTGAGTGCAAAGATGCGGTTAAAGTGGTGGTGTGGAGTTCAGCAGCCTGAGCCTGCTGGTGCAGGAGTGGAGGCTCCTGTAAAGCTTTCAGATAGGAGGAGGGTAAAAAGTCCATGATTAGGATGAGAAACGTCTTTGACGTTCCTCGCCCTGCCCAGGCCATGCTTATGGTAAATGTTTTCAGTGATGGATAACTGGGTACCAGTTATGTGTTAGTCAGTTTTCACCAGCCGCTGAAGCGCTTTGCGGTCAGATGCAGAGCAGTGGCCATACCACACTGAGATGCAGTTTGAGAGTACGCTCTCAAGGGTACAGCGGTAAAAGTCCACCAGTATCCCGGGACACAGGTGAGCTTTCTTGAGGCTCCATAGGAAGTAAAGGCGCTGTTACGCCTTTTTGACCATGATGGAGGAGTTTAGGGACCAGGTGAGTAACTTGAAACCAGACACACTCTCTGCCTCAGCTCCGCTGATGTAGATGGGGGAGTGTGCCTGGCTCCTAACCGTCCTAAAGTCTACTATGATCTCCTTGGTTTTCTGGGTGTAGAGCGCCAGGTTGTTGTCATCACATACAGCCAGGTGCTGCACCCCATCCCTGTAGACAGTCATTGTCATTGTCATTGTCACCTCTGATCAGACCTATCACTGTGGTGTCACCCGCGAACGTAATTATGGAGTTAGAGCCATAAACAGGAACACAGTCATGGGTAAACAGGGAGCACAGAAGAGGGCTGAGCACACAATCTTGTGGCAAGCCGGTGTTCAGGGTGAAGGCAAGAAGTCAGGTTGTCCAGAATTCAATTGCAGAGACATGTGCTGAAACCAAGCTGGCTAAGCTTTAAGATTGGAGGGGATCACCGTGTTAAATGCTGAATTGAAGTTAATGAACAGCATTCTGACATATGAGTTTTGACAGTCCAGGTGGGTCAGTACAGTGTGTAGCGCTGTAGAAATGGCGTCCTCCGTCGACCTGTTGCAGCGGTAGGCAAATTGGTGTGGGTCCAGTGTGGTACTGATGCAAACACTGCATAAGCTCTTTTGAGGAATGGACAATCTGAGGAGTTGGGTGCACACTTACGAGTGATAAACAGCATCCATGTTATTCTCCCTTGTTGTTACTGAGCGCTCACACAGGAGTTAAAAGTGCATAGGGCATAAGCATATGTCATACATTGCCGAGCGCCCTAAAATAGATACCAGAACCAGTCGAGCACAAATTACAAATTAAGGCTTGAAACAGGCCTACATGTTCTTAAATCTATATGTTTGGCTCATCTGCTTTAAGAAGCAAAATGTGTGTGTGATGTTATAACTTGGTTTAATAAATGAATTACTCTAATTACTGTTTGTGTGTTGCAGGAGCTGCTATTCGTCACTGTGATGTAGACCGAGGCTGGCTGGAGCCTGATTTGTATAATTGCACCTCTCCAGCTTTCGTTGAGCTGAACACAGCGGTAAGACAGCAAACATCACTGCTCACATACAAACATGCACGTACTACCCTATTTCTGTCTCTCTCTCTCTCTCTTTCTTTCTCTCTCTCTCTCTCTCCCTCTCTCTCTCTCTCTGAATAATTATACAAACTCCTAATAACACATACTGTCTGTATATGTATGTGAGCAGCTGGAGGCTGTAGAAAGGAATGAGACAGAGCTCAACACAATCATTGAGAAGAAGCTGGCTCATCAGCTGCGTGACGTCACTGAGGCAACGCCCCGTCTCTATGGCAACGACCTCCAGATCGCTGAGAGACTGCTGTCCCGCCTCTTGACCTTTGAGAGCCTCCAGTCAGGTTTTGGATTGACGGCCACACAGGATGCACATTTCACAGAAGTGAGAATCCCCACTGGACACACACTGCAGCCTTCCGTGCTTTCCGCTTTGGGCTCCATCTGGCCTCACCATTATTCCGTCTCACTCTCTAGGGCTACGTTCATGTTGCAAAGTTGAAGTGCCAGATTTTTTGTCTTAATATTACATTGATCTGATTTTCTCAGAATGGTGTGAACAGAAACATCTCAGTCTCTTCAAATCAAATTTGAGCCACTTTCATATGGAGTCTTAGTTCATATAACTTTTCACTGCACATATTCACATCACTGCAATCTGTACAAGATCTGTAGAACTGTACAAATGGATGACACACAACATCAGGATTATATTGCTACATATTGCAATATTAAAATTAGTGTTGCACCAGTAACAATACTGTATCACTGTTGGCACCAATAATTACACAGTTGAAGATTAATCTTCAGTATTTTTTGACTAAAGTAAATTACTATGAATGAATTTTTTTTAAAAGCCCAAAACCTTCTCAAAACTACCATGAAACAATGTCTCAGTCATCAGGCAGCATGTTCATAACCATTACATGTAATAACCTTTTGTGAGGGAGCTTTTAGAGGCATTAAACTCTTCAGCAGTCTGGTTCCTATCACCACCACTGTGAACAATTCTGACTCAGTTTCTCTAGAATCCCTATGATCAAACCACCCTGAATGACTTTGTTTACATCTCAGTGATTGAATTTTTGAAAAATCAGTGGAATTCCCCTTTAACAAATGATACATAATGTGCAGCCTTGCTGTGAACTGATTGTGAACTAAGTTGAGCAATAAAGCAAGCAATGTGAATGACGCTTAGTCACAATATTTCTCTCTTTTTCTCTCCCTCTTTCTCTCTGTTTCTCCCTTTCCCTGCAGAACACGTTGCGGGCCTGCAGTGTGTTGTTGGGTCCGGCCAGTGCAGGGCTGTGGAGGGCTCAGAATGCAGGCCAGAGCGGAGCGGCAGGCCTGGCGGACCTTTTAGAGCAATATTCCCGCACCCTTGCTCAGAACATGAAACAAACCTACCTCAACCCTGTAGCGCTGGTGGCACCTAATATCGGTCAGTCTCACACACATGTCCACTCTAAAGCAGCTCAAGCTAATATTTATCACATCAGTAGGGTTTCCAGTAGGGCACTGAGCAGAACCACAAACACACAGCCTAAGGAATTAATTGCCACATTAATCTATAGAATGAGCTCAAAAATTACCATACACATGCTATACATTCGAAATATGATGCTGAACCAAAAACATTTGAAGGTTTAGAGGTAAGATATAAATAATATGCTAGTCTAAGGCCATGTAACAGAAAAATAAAGTTATTACACAGTAATAGAGATTTCAAATCAATGCTTCTGTTCCAGATCAGTTAATGGGTGATTGATTACATTTTTTATTACATTTTTGTTCCTAGCAAAATACTATTTGTTTCTGAATTTTGCTTTCCTCAAAATGGTTTGGAGACCTGATTTAAATCCAGTGGTAGTTCAGAAAACTAGTCACCGACTCATCTTCTGCAGAACTATATTTCTGCAAAGTTTGCTTCCATCACCTGCCCCATCACTGCTTTCTCAAAGCACCTTTACCAACTGGATGATATAGTTTTGAGGTTTTGGAGTTTTAAGCTGAGTTGGAGCCAGTAAATCTCCAGAAGGAGTGTTTGACCACTGGTATAGAACGTGATGTATTGACACTAAAGCTCACTGTGTTTGTGTGTTCGCACAACCTGCAGTGATGACTGTGGACCGTGTGGAGAACCACACTCATGTGCGGAGAAGGTTTCCTCGCTATCACAGCACGCTGTTCCGAGGGCAGTTGCTTTGGGACAGTCACACACACGTGGTGCTGCCACCTAGTGTCCTAGTTCCACAGCGCAACAACCGTAAGTACACACCCACTAACATACATACTTACACTCTCTCACAAATATACTGACCTCTGGTGCTGTAGCGTAACTGTAGTTAGATATAAGGTCATAAATATGGCCTCATTTATCACTGCGCCCTCATTAATACACATACTTTCAATCCCTGTACCTTAAGTGGAACAAGAAGTAGGGCTTCAGAAATTATTTCTGCCCACTCCAGCCCACATTAAATGCACTTTAGCAATTTTTTTTTTTTTTATGTGCATTACAGAGAGATGAAAAGAAATTGTAGAGGAAAGAAAAAAGCCAGAAAACAATAAAATATAGTAAAATATTAAAATACAAAACACAGAAGGAAAAGGGAGAGACAAATAGTAAAAAATCTTTTGTGTCAAAAATAAAAGAAAATGAAATATAATTCCGGGCAGCGGTAGATGTAAAAACTTGTGCTGCCTGCTCCAGCCAGTGAATCTTGTCGCCAAAATGAAGAACTCATAGCCACAATAATATAAACATGTTTATTTTATATACATTGTATTTGTAATAATAAGCATACTTCAATACCAATAACTGGTCAAGTGTTGCTTTGAAAAAGGAAATATTTATTAAAAACCTCACATTAATAAGAACATTGTGGTGACCACCTGTCAAGCTGGTCAGTCCTGACATCATCTGATCTAAGTTATGTTGCTAGGAACTGGTCAGCTACTACAGTGATAGTCAGCTTATTTGACACCTTATTTTATTTAAGACTTTATTTCAATTAGTGATCTTAGCAAACTTTAGTCAGTAGAACAGCATATATAGTACTAGTGGACCAGCTCAGCACAGTCACCACACAGCCATGTTAGCTATCGCACCAGTTACAATTGAGGAAATATGACAAAATTTGATTTGTCTGATGTTTGATACAAAAGTAAAAGTACACAAAAATCACTCGGACTACAGGCTCAGCATTTTTAGTGGCCGAAACGTGAAATGTAGCGACCATTGGCTCCAGGCAATAAGCAATGTCTATCTATGATTCCAGGAAGGCCAGTAATTCTTTTTAAATGCAATATTACATTACATGACGGACACAGTACTGCATCACTCTGCGGCATTAACACTCCTCAACTCAGCATTAGTTTGCAGCCAATTCTGTCACACTTCTAAGTCATTCTTATCTGCTCTTTCTTATGTCTTTCTGATTTGCTCCAACTTTCATTTTTAGCTAACTGTTTGTTGTTGCTTTGTGTTTTTGTGTGGCAATAAAGAATCTTGACATGGTCTGGATATAACTTACCCACACTGTCTGAAATCTTTCAGCTCCGCCTCCTCCTGCCCCGGTGAGTCTCCTGGCCAATCAGACTCCAGAGGTGCCGGCAGCACGGCGGGCTGTGTGGCTGCCTGATCCGCCCATCACCATTGTCATCCTGCTCATTTACCGCAGCCTGGGAGCCGCTCTACCTCCAAAATACCACACCGATCGCCGTGGGGTCAGGTATGTGTTTTTGTTTATTTCACTCTAAATACCTAAATCATTCCTGACAGAGAGCTTGTGTGTCTGTCTGCCTTTGCATAAATGTGTGAGTGTGTGCATAGATGTTTATTCATGTACTGTTGGTGGATTGTGACTCTTGAGCAGGCACGGAGTTGGCCTCAAGTCAAACTTCTAAAGAGGCCTGAGGCCAAGTCACAATCGAATCAAATGAACATAACAGAGCCCTCTACAAGACCAAGCCTTAACTAGTCTTAACGTCCAAATTTCTTGATCATTTTAAATACAATACACCTGCAGATTCACACCAGAATTAAGACTAGAATTCTAGAATTGTTACTTTCATTTTGCTTTACTGTTTAAGTGAAATTATGTAATTACATAATTAATTGCATAGGTAATGAATTATATTTGTATTCAATTAACATTCATTTTGACAGGTTCAAGTCTGCAATTCTGACGATTTTCTGTTTTGATATCAGAAATTGACACAAATGTACTTTTATTTCTGCAAAAACAAATCAAATCATCATAATAAATCTCTTCTACTTAAAATGAAATGTAGTATGGCTTAAACATTTAGAATACAGCTCCAACAGTGCATTTCTAAATTTGGTTAGATGTGGGGAAGTTTTCTCAGTTTTTCAAAAGACAATTGTACATCAAGACCCAGAGTTTCTTGGCGTTTAGTGCCCGCTGTGAGAGAATCCAACCAATGCTAATGCCAATTGGCTGAATCTGATGCAAACAGACATAGTGATTTGGCTTTGAGTTGCTTGAGTGCAAGTCATTGTTCACTGGTGACAGTTAAAAGAAAGAAAACACAAATAAATACCACTTTTTTAAGATTTTAGCAAGACTGATAGCCAAGAAAAGTCAAAATACAAATACAGTGAAGTCCAAAACAAGTCAGAATACAAATACTGTAGGGTCCAAAACAAGTCCAAGTACAAATAGGCCTTTCTTAGAGCTTAACACTCACAATTTAGTTTTAATTAATAAAGTCACACAGTCAGTATCATGCACACAGCAGTCGGTAACGTTTCTTGTCAAGGCTTCAAAATAAAAATATGACACAGATGAGGTATTAGCACATGAGTTTAGATTAAATAACTGCTGCTTTGTAAAGGATAAATGCGCATCCTGAGGCAAGACCAGTTGAGAATTGCAGTTCTATGGTTAGAATGCCTCATTGTGTGTGTTTACCTGCAGGCTGCCGCGTCACCCCGTGCTGAACTCTCCTGTGGTGAGTGTGTCTGTATATAATAATCAGTCGTTTGTGGAGGGCTTCCTGGACTCACCCATCCTGCTGGAGTTCCGCCTGCTGGAGACCAGCAACCGCAGCAAGCCTCTGTGCGTGCAGTGGAACCACACCAGCACGTGAGTCTCACACAGTTTGTTTATGTGTGTGGGTGTGATGCATATACTCATATGTATGTGTTAGTGTGAGATGGGAGAAGTGGGCGGATTGGTGCAATATTTGTAGCTTTTTGTTTTTGTTTTTGCTTTTTTTAACATAAAACTTGAAAAGATCATTTTGAATGGTTTTAAAGATTTATAATTATGTGTTATTTACTATACTGTATGTTTGTGTGTGTGTGTGTGTGTGTGTGTGTGTGTAGTGTGTCTGTAGGAGGGTGCTGGACAGTGAGAGACTGCAGTGTCGTTTACAGGAACACGTCACATGTGCGCTGTCAATGCCATAAACTTGGCACTTTTGGGGTTCTGATGGACAGCTCACAAAGAGAGGTAACAAATAATGCAAATAATAAAGGGAAAAACAAATTGAAAAATAACTAATGAATTCACAAAAAGTCTGACTTCTCAATTAAATTTGATTGCAGTTCTTAAAGGTCCCACATCCTACAATTTTCTTGTGGGCTGTTTTTGTCACTGTGTCTTTAAGACTGAGATTTGTAAACAATCTCCATTCTTATTGGCTGCCCTGTATTGTGTCTCATTCTAAAAGCAGTTCACTTCTAATAACTTCACTATGAATGGGTGGGTTTAAACTGCTGTAGGCTGAATCGGCAGAATGTAAAACACTGAATTCAAAATGGGCTGTTTTGCTGTTTGTTTTCAATATGTATGAACTGTATGAACTGGAAAGTGAATGGTACATTTTGAAACATTCAGTGTGGACATACTCCATCAAATGCTTTTATTTTAAAAAATTAGAAAACTATCAGTTTTATGTGATTTAGACTCAGTTGGAATTAATTCAGTACATTATGAAGTCTCTTATTTCACCAGGTTTTATTCGATTTGACTGAATTTGATTATTTCTGTGTCCAAATGTCGAAAGTGTGTGCTGAATATTTTTATAATCCACTATAATGTTCCAACTTTAGATCAACACATCAGCATTTTTACACCCTCATGAAAAATATGGTGTTATAATGTTTCAATCCCAAATGGAAGATACTATAATGAAGCTCAAATAAAGCTTTAATCATTGTTAAAATATACTCTCTCTCTCTCTGTCTCTGTCTGTCTCTCTCTCTCTCTCTCTCTCTCTCTCTTTCTCTTGCTTTCTATTGCTGTCTTTGTTGAGTAGCAATTAGAGGGTGACCTGGAGACCCTCGCCATAGTAACCTACACTTCACTGTCGGTTTCCATGGTGGCATTGTTGCTAACGGTTACGGTGCTCTCCTGTCTGAGAGGACTGAAGTCAAACACGCGCAGCATTCATTCCAACATGGCTGCTGCCACACTCCTCTCTCAGTTCACCTACCTGCTGGGCATCAACCAGACTGAACAACAGGTGAGTGAGTAAAGGAGCAAGTGAGTAAATGAAAGAGGGAATGAGTGAGTAAGTGAATTAATAAGTGACCCAAGTGGCTCAAAGAATGACTGAGTGAATAACAGACTAAGTGACTGACTGAGCGACTGAGTGAATGAGTGAGTGAGTGAGAAAGTGAGTTAGTCAGGCAGTTACTAAGTTACTGGAATACCTGTCTGTATCTCTGCTATGTCACCGACAAAACAAACACCACAAACGACCAGGGCTGTACGAGGCGGCTTTTAAATGTCAGTCTGATAATAGGCTGCTGACATTACAAGCAGGCCGATTTAATGTGATGCTCTTGAACATAAATGCTAGGAGACAGCACTAGACAGAGCAATATTGATATTCATTCAGAAACAAGTATCACAGCCATTTACACAGACAGCGCAATCAGTCACATTGCATATTATGCGGTGACTCAGAATCAAGTTAAATGCTTTTCACTGGAGCACACCTACACACATGCGTGTAAAACGGTCTAACGCCGCTTTATGTGCACACATTATTCCCTCGAGTGATGCCCACTCACAACAAATGCTTGAAACTAAGCAGTTAATAAATTCAGAGTGTGCATGTGTGTGGTTCTGTGCGTGAGAGCCTGTCTCTCCATTCAGGAGTAATACTTGTGTGTGTGAGAGCCTGTCTCTTCATTCAGGAGTAATACTCAGAGCTTTCAGTTAGATTTTAACTACACTAAATGAGTGCACTAGTTTTGGGCCCAGTTCAGGTGATGAGTGCTTTAGATGAAGTACACAGGCAGCAGTCAGTGGAATTGAAATCATTGAGATTGGATCTGTAGCATATCTGGGCAATTATCTGAATATCTGGGGCTCTAAGCAGCATTTGACTTGGGGGTCTGTCACCCATTCCAATCATATTGATTTTGATGCAAGAATAGAAAAGGAATTATTACTAGGGATGCACAGATGCAGGAATCACAGGCCTATGAAAATATTAGTTATTTTTCATGTAAATATCTGCCAATGCTAATACTGATATTGATGTTTTGGTTTTGTAACCAAGAAATTTCATCTATGAGATACGTATTCAGAAATTTCACTAATGATATATGGAGTTAATATAGCCAGTCATTCTACTTACATCTTTATGGTATATGTCATATCTCATGTTTTTCTTTCCTGAGGCTTAGCTAGCTGACAGGAATTACAGTGAATCATTGTTCAGTGGCCTTGAGGTTGCAGGCTAGATTTTTCTAGAAGACACCAGGTGTAAGAAGACTTTTTGACCATATAAGAGCTTCTTTCCTTAGGTAAAAGTAATTTTGGACCATTTCTATAGATAGATTCATCATGAAATGTTCACACAGTGTAAAGTGTGGCTGGGATTCTCAGTTGAGTTATGAGCAATGATATGGTACTGTTGTAGATTCCCTCATTTGAATTGAATAGAAGCTTTGAGAGGCTACTAGTGGAAACTTACCTTGATCGTTTTGAGAATTGGAATTCCCTTCTGGGTAGCAACATGGATTCCAAGTTCAGAGGCGAAGCCTAGGAGTGCCTTTGTTCACAGGGCATTGGTTTGTGCAGTTTAAAATTACATTTATATTTAGATTACTACTCTCTCTCTCTCTGTCTCTCAGTTTCTGTGCACAGTGGTGGCAATCCTGCTGCATTATTTCTTCATGTCAGCGTTTGCCTGGCTGTTCGTGGAGGCGCTGCACATCTACCGCATGCAGACTGAAGCACGAAACATCAACTATGGAGCCATGAGGTTCTACTATGCCATCGGATGGGGAGTGCCCGCCATTATTACAGGTAGATACACGCACATGCAATAACAGCATTCATGAACATTTTTCTTGGTGCCTGTGAACACTGAGGTAGACACAGTCTGGTGGCAAGAAATACATTTTTTACTGACTGATAAATTGAAGTGAATCGATAAATGACGATAAAATGAAGAGGAACAATTTGAATAAGAAGCTGTGAGGATTAAAGCCCTTTGAGGTGTCAGTGTCATTTGTTAGAGATGTTTTGTGTGGATTGCTTCACACTAGCCTTTTTCATTTGATGTAAGTGGTGGTGAGTGAGCAGGCAGAGAATTATTGGGTTCAAGCCGCTGCCAGCGAGCCCAAGTTAAACCTTCAACCCCCATTTCCTCTGGGGATACTGGCTGACCAGTGGCTGACCCCTTGACCCCAACCTCACACAGTGAAGCTAGAAGTGCTGATTTAGCAGTCGCACAAAATAAACCCTATAATGAACATTGGTAAACCCCCATTCTATTCTAGAACAGCGTGAATGGCGGAGGACATTCTATAATAGCAGAAATGAGGGAGAACATTCTATAAGAGTGTGAATGGGGAAGGATGTTCTAGAATGAATGGTGGAGTACATCCCGAAAGTGTGAATGGGGGAACATTCTAGAAGAGTGTAAATGGGGGAGAATGTTTTAGAATGGTGTAAATGGAGAAGAACATTCTAGAACTGCATGAGTGAATGGGGGGGGGGTGTTCTAGAACAGAGTGAATGGGTGAGAACATTCCAAAACAGTGTGGATGGGAGGACATTTTATAACAGAGTGAATGGGGGAACATTTTAGAACAGTGTGATAGAGGAGAACATTTTAGGATAATGTAAATGGGGAGAACACTCCAGGACAGTGTGAATGGGAAGAACATTCTAGAAGAGCGTTAAGGGGATATTTTAAAACAGTATGGGTGAGGGAGGACAATCTAGAAGAGCATAATGTGAATTCTAGAGATTCCCACACAGAAACATAACACCCACCAAAAGTTTATGTTTAATGAGTCAGTGTGTTCTGACCTTTAAGGGAAATATGATTCAGATGGATACATAGGGCTGCTTTCACAGACCCAGACTGAACCTAAGCTTAGACCCAATAGGATTTTATGGTGAAACAGACTTAGTCCAAGAATAGACTTATTCTATTCTATTCAAGTATTCTTGTATTCTACATATTACTGACTGTATATCTGGGTGTTGCAGGGCTGGCTGTGGGTCTGGACCCAGAGGGTTATGGAAACCCTGATTTCTGCTGGATCTCTCTTTATGATAAACTCATCTGGAGCTTCGCTGGACCTATTGTCATCGTCATACTGGTACCAGAAACATCACTCATTCATTAATTTGATGTAGTGTTAATGTTGTTACTGTCAGACAGGGCAGGCAATATTGAATAAATGGAGTTACAGGCTACACTGAAAAATAAATAAATATATATATTCAGTAGATTAAAGAATTATCTTATGTAAAATGTGAGCATGCTGTTTCGTACTGTAGTGTGTTTGCATGGGGAAAGTCACTCAGTTTTAGTCTACGGCTAGCCTAGTTTTGCAAGTTACTATGTCACCTGGGCACATATTCACAAAGCTTTCTCAGAGAGTGCTGATGTAGGATCAGATTCCTCTCCTATTTACTATGAATTTACTGAGAGGAACTGATCCTAGATCAGCAGCATGCCTACTCTGAGCTTTGTCCCTAGCCCTGGACAGATAGTGAGACAGGAATGGAATGGGGAATGTGTTTTAAATGCTGATTTTCTTTTAGCAAGTAAAGATATGATTAGGTTAGATTTCCTGACACTCACTTTTTGGTATAATTGTACCAAATTAGCACTCAGAACTTTTATACACTGAGATTAGTCTATGGACAGAGGTGGTAAGTCACATAAAACAACAAGACAACATAAAAATGCTGTACTTAAGTATTGTTTACCCCAAGACTTGGGACACTTTAGTGACAGAGTTCAGTAGCTAGAGAACTTACCTGCACAGTGGCATTATGGCATTGAAATGTGGCGATATGAATGATTTTTCACCCAAAGCCAGCAGATGTTGTAGAAGGAGTGATACATTTACATTTATGCATGTGGCATATCCAGAGCAACTAACAGTGTTACTGATGTTGATCGATTGTAGCATTTGGAGTTTGGATTTTTTATCATTTGTGATTCTCTCTGATCTGATTAATGTGCAACAGAAAATAACCCAATATAGAAATGCCCTTTTATGGGGTCACTCATATTACATTTAAGAGTTTGCTCTTTTGTACTTTAACTTGAGCAAATAAATTAAAACTGTACTTTTAACAGAGTATTCACAGTTTTACTTGAAGAAGGAATTTGTGTACTTCTCCTACCTCCAAGGGTGGGTATTAACATGCTGCTTGGTGACAGTTATTTTCAGAAGTGTGAGCAGAGTTGTGGGCTGTATTTATTTGGCAGTCTTCATCATTATGGAGGCGGAATTAACAAGATCAAAATCAATCGAAACCAAATGAACAGTTTCATATTTGCATATTGCGACTGCAGAATATGAAATATGGCCACAAATTAAATATATGTGTGAGTCATTATAATACAGAACTTTACAGAAGAAACATTTGGCATATATGTCATTCACTTCAGCTTTCCTCTGTATGGCTGCTGTCCCATTAGTACTGGCATGCGTTGAGACTGTCAGTGCAAACTTGGTAAACTATCCTTCAGGGTATGACATGTTGCTGCCAAATGAATAATATGTCCTTGTCCTAAAATGTCATCTGTCTGTCTTTCTGTCTCCCTCTCTCTCTCTCTGCTGCAGATGAATGGGGGGATGTTCATGATGGTACTGCGTATGACCTGTAATCTGTCTCAAAAGGAGACAAAGAAGCTGCCTGTAATGTGAGTCTTAACAAATATATAACATGCTGCTGGGAGGTGTTTTATTCTACAGCATGAGTGCTGTTTTTTTGCTATCTGAACTGCTCCAGTTTTCTGCTTACATAAGAGCCGGAGCTAACATGATTCACCCAGACTGCTGGCTCCCTTTGCCTTTAGCTAACCTTCTCTACTGCTGCCAAATGAGCTGTCAGAGCTCCATTATAGACCATCAAACTTCATCAGAAACCCAAATTACAAATTAATGTGGAAAAACTTCCGTTTTTCTTCCATGTCTTTCCCCTTTTCATTTCCTCTCTCTCTGTCTGTCTCTCTCATTCTCTCTCTCCCAGTGCTACTATCCGCAGTGCCTTTCTTCTGCTGCTCTTGAGTGCATGTGTCTGGTTCTTTGGGCTAATGGCCGTCAATAACAGCATCTTGGCCTTCCACTACCTCTTTATCGTCCTCTGCTGTATACAGGTGTGTGTGACTTATATTAACGTTCACTAGACTGGAGTATTAAACAGTGTGTGAATGTGTATTAATGATTTGTGTGCATATGTTGAGGTAATTATTAATCAGACCTGCAAGTGTTTGTATGTGGATATAGACTAGTCACTAGCTGTACTGATATACAATAGCATAAGTGTAGTGATATACATTGAGTTACAAGTGCATCAGTTACCCCTACCTTGTACCGACACATTGTCAGGATATGTTCAGGGTTTTTGGTGTTTGTGTGTAATGTATTAATCAGGTTGTGATGTTGTTGCCCAGGGTTTGGCAGTGTTCTTGGTGTTCACTCTGTTGAACTCAGAAGTGCAGGAAGCCTGGAAAGCAGCCTGCACTGGGAAGAAGAGTCCCAGTGAAGAACCTGCCAGACCACCCCAGATTACTGTAAGCACACAAGTGCCCACGTTGTTCCTTAAAGCAAACACTAAATGAACATATTTTTCCCCTTACCCCCAAATGCAGTCTGTGAGCAAAGAAAATGTTTGGTGTCCAAAGTCTGTGTCTCTCATTTTGTACCTCAGTCACAAGGCTAATGAAGCAAACGAGTAATGAAAGCTTATATATCCCAAAATAGCATTATGCTAATCACAGTTTGCATAGTGCAAATATTTAAAATCATGTTTCATCTCAAATATGTGCTTATGTGGTTTCTGACACTGCATGGAATACTTTTATATATAAAAATGAACCATATCGCACAGCTAAAAACTAGTTACAGCCGTCGTGAAATACACTGTGAAAAAAGTGTCATACAGAGTCAGAAATCACCTATTATGCTGTTTGAGGAAAGCATGTGATTATTTTGCCATGTGATTTCCACATTACATTAAATGTTAGCTACAATCACCTTGTAGCATTAGTGCAAAAGTAAAGAAGCAAACTTCAGAAGCCAAAGGTTTCTTGGATGATATACTACATTTGGGGTAAGAGGAAAATTATGTAAAACTAAATTTTTCCCAAACATTCACTTTAGGAGTTCAATTAGGTCCCCTATTTGGAAGTCAGACCTTTTGAAGTATAAGCCTCAGGCTTGTTTCTGTCATTCTACTTCCACGACACACACTGCAAACAAGTCACATCTTTGTGTGTATGTGTGTGTGTGTGTAGGGCCAGAATCCGTACAACAGTGCCTCCCTGCTGGAGCAGAGTGGATTACACCGCATCACACTGGGAACATCCACCATATCATCAGTCAGCAGTGCTCGGTGAGGACACACACACGCCTAGAAACTACGCATTTCATACACATTTCATTTAAGACTCATTTAATGATGCACAACTGATTTACAATAATATACAAAAGGTTGGATACCCCAGGTCAAATTACATGTTTTTTTAATTTTTTAAGTGAATTTAAGTTAACACATTCTCTATAGTAGATATATTGAAATCTGGCATTTTTCTGCAAGTTTTAGAGTGCAAACTCTACATATTTGCTGAATTGAAAATATTAAAAATGTGCTGTACCTAATAAGTCAGTGTTTGATAAGTAGTTGCACTAGATGAATTTCAAAAGTAAGGGTTCACAAGATAGGCAGATGGGCTGAGTTCAACAAGTCTTAAACAAAGACAAGTCAAAAATGAGAAGAACCGAGGCACACTTGTAAACGAGGCTAAGAATTACATGAAAAATGCCATGAACAAAACCAGAGCCAAAATAATACGACAAGCAACAGGTGTTGGTGATAATGAGGGAGCAGAGCCAGAATGTTCCAGTGAGATCCAGGATGGGGATCCTGTGACAAACCAATAAAATAATGTTACACTTTCAGCTGCTGCATCATGATCTACCCATTTGTTTTGTCTTAATTTACATACATACACACATACATACATACACACAAATAAATAAATAAATCAGCTAGATATCAAGTGTAAAAATTTAAAACTCATCAAGCAATGAAAGTTGCCATTATTTCATAATTTTAATGTATTCAGTGAAGATGTGTTCACTTAATTCATACACTACTGCCTTATATTAGATAGCTGCAAGCAAACTAGCATTATATTAGTTTTATCCGTGAGTGTAAATCATGACAGCAGGAAATTTAATGATGTCAGAAAATACTGCAACATTAAGCCACATGCTGGTTATATGACTCACAATTGGACAAATGTGAAGTCTTTGCTCTCCATTATGGTCAAATCAGGTAAAGAAAAAATACACACCTGCGTTTACACACTACCACAGTAGTGAATTTGTAAAATTATTTATGAGGACGGTTTTCTGGTTGGCTTACTAACATCCTGATTTTGTTTGTTTTTTTATTATGTTTTCGTTTTGTTGATGTTTACGTATTGAGTAGGGAAAATCTTCTAGCACGTCAGACTGCTGAGCATACTTTGGGTCACACTGGCGCCACTGATCTGGACGTGGCCATGTTCCACCGCAACGGAGGTACACTCACACACAATAACCTCCATGCATGTACGTATACACAAACACGCACACATATACAATCAGTCTATTTATATTTATTGCAGATAATAAATTTTAGTTTTAGATGTTTCTTCATTCAGATCTTCTTATTATCTCTTCTTTTGCTTATGCCCCCCCTTTTCCAGGTGAGGATTCAGACTCTGACTCTGATCTTTCTTTGGAAGAGGAGAGAAGTCTGTCTATCCCCTCCTCTGAGAGTGAGGACAATGTGCGTCTCCGGGGGCGCATCCAGCGACGCTTCAAACGGACCAATCACAGTGAGCGACTGCTCACGGAGCCCACCCACAACGGCACCAAAGGTATCCTCACAGTGTCAACTTATTCACACTATTGGACTGAAATTGCACAACATGAACACAGATTGTTACAAAACTGTAAATATATTAAAACACAGTAAAATAGCACCGTCAAAGCAACAGTCAAGTTGCAGTAAAGCAAACTAGAGTAAAATCTAGCCCTGATGTACGTCTGCCAGCCAATAGCATGGTGTGTTGTTTGCGTGTCAGATCTGGATGGGAATGATCTCCTCTCCTATTGGCCAGCCTTGGAGGAGTGCGAGGTGCACTCTCTGCAAAAATGGGGGTCAGAGCGCCGCCTAGGGGCTGATTACAGCAAGGATGCAGCAAACAACAACCAGACAGATGCTGCGCTGACCAGTGGGGATGAGAACGGACTGACACACACACACAGACATCGCAAAGGTGAGAGTATATATACTCTAAATAAACTCTACATAGGTAGGAGATAAAGTAAACTGGGGCCACCAGGAGCTCCTAAGGTCAAAGGTCTTCACTTAACTGTTACGTGAGCTGGTAGAGTTTTAGAATTATGTGTTTTTAATGAATTATGTGAAAAGTTTTAGGATTATGTGTTTCGGCTACAGTTTTAATCTGTGCTGCTCAATTGCTGTATTGATCGTTTGTGCGTTGTAGATTATTCTCTATAAGCTGACGAAAAAACTATTTTAACTATGATGGACAATAAAGTTAGTCTACACGCTCAGAACGGTACCTTTCAGTGTATGAACACTCAGTACCTTCATTCCTCTCTCTGCTTCCATTTCTCCAGGGATCCTCAAGAATCGTCTCGGCTGCCCACCAGCTCTGCAGGGTTTGTCATCGGTGGGCCGAGTTCCAAGCGAACTGTCCTGGTACCGCACATCCACTCTGGGCCACCGGGGCGTTCCAGCAGCCTCTTATGGCCGCATGTACTCAGGCACGGGCTCGCTGTCCCAGCCGGCCTCGCGCTACTCCTCCAGGGAGCACCTGGACTCGTTGGCACGGAGGCAACGTTCGCGTGACAACCTCGACCTGCTGCCACGGCGACGTGAACTTGGCGCTGAGCACCTGGGTGGGTCCAGAGAGCGGCTAGGCCCCGCCCACAGCATCCATGCCTCTAGGGAGGATCTAGCCGCAGGAATGGGTGTGTCCGGGCTAGTGGGAGCCGAGGGTTCGTTAAGTGGGTCCAGGGTTCAGCTCAGCACCCTGACGAGGCGGCAGGCATCGCGGGAACACCTCGGTGGAGCGCTGATGAGCAGCAGGTCGCGGGAGCAGCTGGAGACTAACGGAGGTACCGCGTCGGCGCAGCCCTGCCGCGAGTGGCTCCGAACTCTGCCCCCACGACAGCTTTCACACCCCGAGCCACACCCCACATCCTCTCCCCCTCCACCAATAACAGAAGAGCCCCAAGAAGCCACGCCCCCAAGGCGCGGACGTCTAGACTCCGCTCCTCCATGTAGGTACCCCACAACAGCCCCTGCAACAGCCCCTGGAGCGCCGCCCAGTCGACCTCCTTCCAGTGAACACCTGGACATTCTTTCCTCTATCCTAGCTTCCTTCAGCTCCTCTGTACTAACCCCGCCCCCTAACCCTGCCTCTGCAGCTGCTGGCCCCTCCCCTTCCCCACCTCCTCACTCCGCAACCTCTCAGAGCGTCTCTGAAGTGTCACCAGACTCTGAGTAAGTGCTGACCCTTTCTTCACCCCTTTTTTCATGCATCGCTTTGTGATTTTCTTGAGTTCTCATGCACTTATTTATTTGTTTGTGATCATATTTTGTTAACAAATGGTGTGTTCGGATGTTCCTCTTCAACCCATAATGTCGGGAAAACTGTCACATCATTAAATCATAGCTACCAGTTGTTTGCACTAGGGTCATTGGCAACTAGTAGATTGATGGCAACAATATGTGCAGTTCAGTAACAGCGTATTTCCTGGCTATACTTGATTGGGTTATTGAAGTCTATCTGTACCTCTTCTCTCTGTTTGACTTTCTCATATTCCTTCCTTCCCTTTTTTAACCCTCTCTCTCTCTTTCTGTCTTATTTGTTTGCCCCCTCCATTTCCTTCTCCAACAGAGCCCACAGAAGTGACGGACAGTCCTGATGACATCCCCTCAGTCCCATGAAGCAGTTCTGCTCATGGGCACAGAGGAACAGCAGGAGACAAAGCAGAGCGATGAAGCCTTCAGATGCATCTTGGGATACTGGAGGACCTGAGAGTTTGACTAATTGAGGAGACGGTGAGGTGGAATCTCTGATCACGTGGTTTCCAGTCCAGTTTTACGACAGCCTACCTAGACCAAGGAGAGCATAAGGGGAAAAAAGGTGATTTCCACCAGTAGTATTGAATTCAAACTCTACAGCGGAGACACTGGAGAACTGACACTGGGAGAGCTGGTCAGAGGAGGAAAGAAAACATAGCCTGTACATAACCTTTTTATACATTTTGTATTTTTTTCATTGGAGATGAACACAAAAAAAAAATCTCAAGTGATGTTTTTAAAGATTGTGTCCGGCATATGGGGTTGTTGAGTGAGTGGATATGTGTTTCAATTGAGAAGAATCCTAAGGCATTCCCAAACCCTTTCCGAACCATTCCCAAACCCTTTCCGAACCATTCCCAAACCTATTCCAAACTGATTCTCATTCTACATGTTTCTTTTTTACTTAAATCCCTCCCACTGACAGACTGATGAACCAGGAGACTGTATTGGGATCAGAGGCTTGGATTGGTTAATTGAGGGCGTCGACATCCCTGATGTGTGGCTGGTGGGAAACGCCAGCATTAGTGATTGTAAATGTAAAGTTTTTAAACTAAGAGATGTGATTTGACCGACATGATTGTCAATCAAGGGATTGTAAGGCAGCTGGTTTGACTGGGAGATGAAGATAGAGGCTTTCCTTTTAACTCAATGCCCATACATACTCCAAAGTGTGGTTGTTGTAAAACACTGCCCATCCTTTAGGACTCTAGAGGCTCGTTGTTTGCTTCCTTGTTTTTCAGTTCAGCCAATTCAGAGGATTGAAAATGAATGTTCAGTAATTAAATTCAGACAAGTATTAAACTGAAATAGGGATCACCGGTATATCGGAATACCCTAAGATAAATGAAATAGCATAAAACAATTATTGTAAACTAACCAAAAACATTCTTTTACTTCTACATCAGTGGAGAACCATGCCTATTAGAACTAAGCCTTAAGTTTGGGGAAAAAACAACTCTACAAAAATGCTAATTTTTGCTAGAACCCTTAGTAGTATTTTAGTAGTATGATAGCAGTTACATACTGCTTGACATACTGCTCTGGCAAAATATTCCAGTTTGCAGCCAGAGCTGTCTCTGTGATATACTGCATCCCAAAAGGCAACATGGCCGTTTCAGGAGGACATAACAGACATAGCTGCCTGGATATTTTTAATAGCCCTGTATTCAGCCTTTCTATACATTAATAACAGTACAGTGAAAGAAACTTGTCCAAATGCTGCTGCACATAAACAGTTTTCTCTGCTGGTCTTGTGGTGGGTTTGCTTACTTCATCTCTTTAATGCAGTTGCATTACTTACATAACATGGTTAAAACAGTAATTTACTAACTATACTTGGTCTTGGCCAAACAATCCGCTCAGTATCTGCTTTTCAGGCACATGTATGGAGTCACACTGCATATTATTCAGTCAAACTAGCTCATATTAGTAACTACAAGCGTAATGAAAATGAAATGACTCGCCAACGGGGGAAAACAGTGGGGTTTGTAAACCACACAGATTTACCACAGAGATGAAGCCAAAGCTGACATTTTTAAAGTTTATTTTTGGCTTTGCAGATAAGTAAAAACATCATCCCATCCTCTATCATGGTATGGGGTGTATTTTAAAAGTCGCATATCTTGACTAAAATATAACCGGACGCACTGAAAAGCAGCTAGCAATGGTTGCTAAACAGTTATTGGAGGGCTGGTCAGGTTTTGAGATGGTTCTGATTGGCTCAGTCCTGGATGTTGGCAGGCTAGTCGTGGCCCTGTCCTGTACTACATGGCTTTAGTTGTATACTGGATACTATGAAGTATCCTACTGCCGAAGAGCAATATGCAGTATACAGTACACAGTGTGCTATTTCGAACACTGTTCCTATTTACAGTGACGTATCTAGGACTTCCTGAAGGCCTAGAGCAGGGTGTTCAATCTTGTCCACAAAAGGCCGGCGTGGTTGCAGGTTTTCATTCCAACAACACTGGAGCACACATGATCATTTGTTAAAAACTGAGACTAAGCAATTAAACAAGTAGAATCTGGTGTGCTCCAGCTTATTTGGAGTGAAAACCTGCAACCACACCGGACCTTTGTGGATAAGACTGACCTAGAGCAATTTTTTTCCTCACAAAATTGGTCCTATTGGAGTCAAAACATGATTGATTCCACTGTCACTTACTAATTATGTTAGTACAGTGGTCACCAACCCTCCTCCTGGAGATCTACTTTCCTGCAGAATTTAGTTCCAACCTGCATCAAAAGTGCTGCCTCTTCCTTACCTAACACTGTATCTGATCTAGCCAATCAAGGACTTCTGTAGTCCTTGTTAATTGTTGTTAATTGGAAGGTGCGGCAGATTGTGATTGGAACTACACTCTGCAGGAAAGTGAATCTCCAGGACTAGGGTTGGTGACCCCTGTGTTAGTGGTTAATTTGACACCCTTCAGCTCCTGAAGTCCCAACCAATCGGAGAGCTTTGTTTACCCAGATAGCGCAGAGAAAAAAATCCTGATTGGACAGTTTTCCAGCATTTAAAAAAATTGTTCTTGCTTCCAACCAAAACTACTACTACAAAATTTGCAGAGTCGTATTACATCCTAAGGTTTATTATTCAGTAACTACAGGGACTTCAGTGCACAAAAGAGCTATTCTTAGGTTATAGAAGCGTGTCATAAAATGGCCAACAATGACCCACAGGCAGCCATTTAAGGGGTTAAATACAACAAGCATGATGGTTATATTAAACAAATCAAGTTAAACCTACAAGCATGTATTTTTTTTATTTCACAGAAAAAAAAAATCTATTTGTATATTGTGGTCAGTATCGCTGAGAAAATAGAAAATATCAAATTAATGTGTTCATATCACATACATCTAAAGTAATTTAAACTCAGTTAAAGCATTCAGTTCATCCCCTGAACTTGCTGATAAGAAATTTGAGCAACCTTACGCAGTGTTTTCCTCAGCTGACCATATTCATCCGAACAGTCATTGTCTGTAACATTCTGTTCTAAAACTGATCTGGCTTTTTGTTTTGTATTTGCCGTTCTACAGCCTGTAGAACTGCCACCGTGGGGTCACTAGTCATGTCTGTTGGGAGTTTGTTTGTGCAGAAGCTGTTAGAATATGTACATTTCAGTTTTATGTCTTGAAACTGCTGATTCAGGAATGCTTTTGTTGTCAGGTTTGTCACAGTTCAGACTCTGAATGAGGAAACACAGCTGGACTAGATTAGCTGTAAGTGACTCAGTTGATTGGAACTTGTAAGGTCCTTGTGACAGAGACCATATATATCAGTGTCAGTCAAGTGTTCAAGAGTCAGACAGCCACACAAGAAGAAAGGAAAATGTGGAACAAAATACAAGTATCTGGCGCTGTAAGTCTTAAAGCTACAATATTTTGATTATTTAAAAGGAAAATAATAAAAAAAAAACACTTGGCTTCATCTACTGGATAATCCTCAGTATCATATATGTGGTTCAGCCAAATATGAGAACCAATATCATTCCTTTTATACCTCATACCTGTCAAAAAGTGCTCCAATCTTTTTTTTTTAATACTTGCATCTTTTATATTTTATTTATTACAATGTACCTTTATCTTGTACAGACATAAGATTCATTTATTTTATTTATTGTCAATATTTATTAAGGTTAATTTATCAGTCATATCATTTTTCCTGGAGTGTTTTTATAATTCTGTGTGTGAGTGAGAGTAAGAGTGAGTGAGAGAGAGAGAGAGAGAGAGAGATAGAGAGAGAGTGAGAGAGTGAGTGAGCGAGTGAGAGAAAGGTTGTTTTGAAAACTGAAAGTAAGAGAGTGGAGTTTACTTTGTTAAAATGTATAATGTGTAACATTTTGGTACATGTATTGTTTGATATGAGCCCCACTCCCACCGTTAACAATGCACCCTGGGAGAGAGAAAGTATCTGGGCGGAGAAAAGGAAAGAGAAAAGGGAGTGGGCTGTATCACTGGTTAATGTGTTTTTATTATGGGATGTCTGCTATCCCATTTACACTGGGGGGTCCTGGGGAAAAAAGCTGCCCATAATTGGTTACCACAGAAACCGTACAAGAGAAATGTTGGACATTAAAAAAAAAGAGTTATTGCTAACAGTTTTGTTCATGAGTCTTTTTTGTTTACCTGAAAAACATTTCCAGACAACGGCAAGTTTGTTGTTGTGTTTGTGGCTGGACAATCTGAAACCTTCTTTTAAAGGGGCATTCCGGCCTAAAACTAGAGTAGCACAGCACTGTATCCCTCAGCCATATCCACATGACATTCATGGTTTTATATCGTTTTCATACATTACTGTTCTCACTACAATACCCAGCATGCACTGCACAAATACACCACAGAACTATGAATCATGGGGAATCCCTGTGGTGTCAACCGTTCCTGACTGCTAGCACAGTCACTGATCTACAGGGTAATAAATACAACAAAGCTAGCATTACCTCTTACCTCACTCGTCAAACAAAATCATCAAGAAAACAACAGTTCTATCTTTACTCTACACAAAATGTGCATGTTTTTTTACCCTTTCAGTCAGAGAAAAGAAGCTAAACTGAGGTAAGGTATTTAGATAGCCAAGTAGCTACCTTGTTAACTTTTAGCTTGTTGTCCTCCTCATCTGAGAGGTCATTTCTGTCTGTGTAATCAAGTCTCTCCACTATAATGATGATTTGAAGACAGGTACTACAGTAATACAGCTGCTATAAAATATTCAGTAATAAAAAATAAAAAAAATTTAAAAACAGCCCCCAAAAATCCACCACAAAGCAGCTGTAGTTTTTAAAAACTTTATCCCACCTTCAAGATACATCATCAGAAAGGTGTTTTTCTAGTCTTTAAAATGGAAATTCTCACTCTAGAGGCTACTGTGGCACAGCTGCAGCCTGTGAGTAAGCAGGCTAACAGCTGCAGCATTGGCAAAATTTTTCATTTTGGCCGGAGTATCCCTTTAACGTTCAACGATTTCAGCATCAGTTTGAGGTTTTCCTGCTTTTACAGGCTTTTTTAGTCCTTCTTCCAGCAGCCAATTGTCCAGCGAAATATACCTGAGAAAGAATAACTACACTGACTTACAACCTACTTGAATTCCCATTACAAAGCTCTAACATACAGTCCTCTCGTCTTCTTGCCCTCTTGCTAAACACTGAAAGCAAAATTGAGACAGTTCCATCTAGAAGTTTGCACTGCGTACAACGTCATTCGATTCCATTTTGTAAACTCTAAACCACAATACATAATGAAATGCAGTATCAGTATTATGTCAATTGTCAGCCCTTAAAACCCCCATATCAGCAAACAGAAAGAACTGAGAATATCTCAGTAGACATTAAAGGTATTTTGTGTTGAACCTGGAGCTATCTGAACTGGAACATCTATTGAGGTAGAGGAGCGAAGGAGAAGAGGAGGCTTTAGAGCATTTGGAACAGGTTGAGTATCTTCAGTGATATGATCCACATAAATGACAGAAAGGACGTACATTAAAAGACACTCCGAAACACACGGGACGCACTCCAAAACACATGGTTACTCAAAAATAAAATCTTCTGTTTTCATAGGAAAATAAAAAAGCATCAATAGATTAAAAAAACACAAACGACTAACGTTCTTGAACGTTTCCGACTGGAAAGTTCTTGAGGCCGAACATCACGTCTGGGGATGCTCCTCATCACTGTCGCTGCTGGAGATTTGCACTTCACCCCCCAGCTTGCGCAGTTTGGCCTGGTAGTAGCGTTTCTTGGCCCGAGCTGCTTTCTCCTTCTGCCTGGCTGCTCTCCTCTTCTCCTCCCACACACACTGCTGCAGCAGAAGAAGGCTCATGGTCTGCTGGTGCTCCTGCTCCAGCGCCTCCTGCCTGCGTGCATCCCAGCCTGCCGAGTCGAGCACACGAGCGTCCGCAAATGCAAACGAGTTCTCTGCCGGCGGCGAGATATGAGGCGCTGCTGCTGACACTCTGCGTGGGGGGTCAAAGGTCAAGCCCCTTGACCCAGACCCCAAACCTGAGCCGGCTCTGGACTGGCCGGGGTAAAAGAGGGAGGAGCAAAGGGAGGCAGCCCTGGAAGTGGAATGGGTGTGGAACTGATGCGATGGGGAGGAGGGGGCGGGGCCAGGAGACGTTGCAGAGTTCTGTGGGTGTTCGATGGGAGAGGCCAAGCCAACATCGATGGCTACGAGCTCTTTACTCTCAAGTTCCTGTAAAACAAAGGAAGTGAACAAGTTTCATACCATTCCACAGATGTATTCAGATGTATACACTGCTGCTCAAAAGTTTGGAATCAATCTTTTCAATAATATAAAACAAGTTTTTTGCAGATACATGTGTACATTTGTAAGCTGTAAATTAAGATATTAAATTTATTAAATTTTTTAGACATGAATGGAGATCTAGATGATTATAAAATGACAGAGAAAGCTGCAAGGCATCAAGAATGAAGTTAATATAAAATATATCCAAATGCCTCATCTTCGGAAAGTGTTGATCGAAAAAACAACTTTTCCAGACATGGATTAATTCTAGTCTTGGACTAAAACAGCAGTGCCAATGTCAAATCACCATAGGAAATTTATTTTAGTTTACATTTAAGCTTAATCTGGGTCTGGGAAACTGGCAATGAGAGTCTTGCTCAAAAATATAAATCTGAATTGTATTAGTTATTATTGTCTATAGAACAACAAAAAATACTAATATGAAGTGAATCCAAACATTATTTGCCTGTTAGCATTTGTAATCTGCCAAATACCTCATTTAAACAGTTAGCAAAAAGCACTAAAGCACTTTTGTGTCATGCACTAGAGAACATTTTAAAAAGCATTACATCATTTTGGTCCAAATCTTCTGGCTCATTTCCATTGGTGCCTCCAGTCACTAAAAGAAAACAAACATGCAATGAGTTCCTTCATTTGCTTGAAATGGAAATCAGACCACAAGTAGCATAAACCCTGTTTGCAAGGTGTTTAATAAGCTGTTTACCGGGACCAGGTGAGCTGTTTGTGACTGAGCAGTAACTGCCATCTCCATCCAAGTCCTCCAAGTTGGAGATCAGGTTTGGCACCAAAGCCATCACCTCCCGCTGCACCTGGGGGAAGAAATTTAATATTAAAGCTAACTACAATACTTGTAGTAGTAATAATAATAATAATAATAATAACTGTAACAAGCTCGATCGTACAGCACCTGTCATAGGGCAGAAGTGCTTCACAAAAAATGTGCAAAGAGAAGCTTAAATGAAAGAAAAACAAAAAAGAAAAAAAATACTTAATAGCTAAACAAATAGTTTTTTTGGTGTTTTTTAATGCTGCATTTATATTGTATTTTATTTTTTCCACAGCGGTCCACTTATGACATTTGTGTAGTTTTTAATACATTAAAAAGAGCCATGGTGTATTTTACTTTAATGTTTTCAAAACTCTCTAAGAATTAAAGAGGCTGTTTTTTTATTGCGCTTTGCATACTGATGTTTGCAAATGACCTGTTTTCTTATTGACTGCCCTGTATTGTGGCTCATTCAAAAAGTAACCCAGACTGAAATAGTCTTTATGACTAAAGTGGAAATATACAGGGCTAAACTGATGTGGACTGAATAGGTGGTTTTATGTAAATGTTTTCGTGACATCAAAAACAACAGTGAATGTCTTTCATCTTAGTTTCAATTTATGTACTGTACGTGGGCAGTGACCAGTATAGTTTGAAGCTTTAACAATGTTTACATACTACATCAGGCTCTTTCATTTCAAAATAGTGACGAATATTAGTTTTTCAATGACATAGGCCCTTTCAACAGAAGGTGACTGACAAATGAGTTGAAAAAGCTTTGGAGCATCAAAACAAACAAAATAAAATCTCCAGGGAAATTACCAAATTTCAAAATATTTCTACCAGATTTCTTTGAGCCTTTTAGGATGAAAGAACAAATGACAACTACAAACTACTATGGTACTTGTTTAGTTTCAAACAAAATTCACATGACTTTTGAATAAAGAAAACAATTCAGACGTTCATGATACTGGACACAAGTAAAGTAGGTGGAAGCGTAACAGCTGTACAGTAACCTGTGTGAGGGCAGTGAGCGGCATTCCAGCTGCCTGCTGTTCCTGACGCCTCTGCAGCGCCACGCGGCACTCCACCTTCAGCCTCTTCCACAGCGTCTTAAGGGAGCTCACACTGCTGGGTGGCCGGTTGGGGAAGGCCTCATTGAAGGCCTTCGCCAGTTCAGCCCACACAGCGTTGCGGTACACAGTGGTGTTGGTGTCTTTGCGGAAGTCCTGCACAGCATCCACTACGCTGTGGATTTTCTGTAGGAGGTAGAGCTTCTGCTCCAGCGTGAAGTTGGGCATCCGGTATGTCATGGTGGTGAGCATCTTCATTTGTGTTTGGGTGGATGTAGGTGGGTGGGTGCGTGCAATGAGAACTGTTGGTATAAAGTCAGGAAGGGTCACGTGTAGAAAAGTAAGGCTCTTGGTCAGTCAACTCATTCATGGAGTTGTAGCTGTTCACAAAGTACAGTGTTGAACTTTAGATCCTTTTAAGTCTGAGTTTGTTACTCATTATCCATTTGTAAGAGTTTCAGTGTTGCTGTCTTACTGTTACATAACAGTGCTTACTGTGTCATGTATTCATTACAGGACTGTGGTCAATTTGGTCCAGAAAAAAAATAGAAAAAATACAAATGTACAAATTATGTATACTGAAAATAAATGAGAAAAATAAGAATATGAAAATGTATAAGGCTGCTTGGTCAATGATGGTAATATCCACACGATGGACTTGCAGTCAGTGGGTGCATCTGTGAACTCTGAAATAAAGAAAACATTCAACATTTTAAATTTGTCAACTGTTTGCATGGTTAGCAACTTATGGCCAGTGACAATTTGCCAGTCCTTGGATAGTTTGGATAAAAAATTCAGACAGAAACTCAACTGAAGATACAAAATGTTTAAAATACTCAATGCACCGCTTCTAATAAGTTTATTCAGCTACATTAAGGTGCACCCATTGCTGACCCACAGCTTGTATAACCTCCATACAAAGCCATCACCAACAGAAGAGGATCCCCTGAAGCATGTGAGCCTAAGGTCACTTTTTCCAAAAAAACATTTCAGTTAGAGGGGTACAACGCTCCCCAGCAACGGGCTGTGGAGCAGTGGACCTGCGTTTTCTGGAGAGATGGAGCCACGTCCAATACCTTTGAGATAAGTGAGAGTGGCGTGTGTGATCCAGAAGCCTTCATCCATCAGTGCCTGACCTTACTAATGCTTTTGTGGCTGAAAGCAATCAAATCTTCACATCTAGTGTAAAACCTTCCTAGACTGTCGCAGCTAAGAGGAGACAAACTCCTTATTAATACTCTAGATTTCAGAAGAATCTTTGTATGAGCAGGTGTCTAAAAAACTTTTTCGCATGACTAAACTGTACTCGACTAAGTGCCCTCAGAAGGGAGTAAGTGCAGCATCTGCAAACGGCGAATGCAACAAAACCCGCTTAGGCCCCACACGCTGTTCTGGGGGGTTTTACAATGCAAAGCTAACATTAAATATGTCTTTAAATACATGTCGTATCAATAAAAACTGAGTAATACTAAATCAAAAGCATGTATTATGTTACGACTGACATATAAATTAGTGCATTTTCCAAAATCTGGTCTCAGTGGCGCTTTGCCGAAAATCCTCCACAGTCTGGGTCTAGGCTTAATCCGTCTGTCTCCTGTCTGTGTCGGGAACCACAACGCTCATCTTGCTAACGTTATCCGTTTAATATTTAGGTTATAAGACCAGGTGAAGAGTGTAGCTGCACGTTAATATCAGCGTTTTCGTCTTCTTTTTATTGGTTTTAATGCCGGTAGCAGCCGCAAAAGCTTTCTTTTCATTATTTGTCTAGCTAGCTAATGCGTTAGCCGCATAGCTAAACCTTTGCATCGTATTAAGTTGCAGACGAAGCGGTTCGAGACTAGGATTAAGGCTAGCAACATTTTCCACACATTCAAACACATCTCTGCACGTCTCGTCGGCTTTGTATGTTGCTCATTAGCCACAATTATCAACTCACCTGCAAGGCTGAATTATTTTATTCCACAAAAATATACTTTGTTCGTCTCCACCCCTTTATGTTTGAGCGGTCCGTGCGAAATTTAAACAACAGAGCTACTCGTGCGCAGTGGACGTATTTTGCGTAACTACTCTGTAGTTACGCAGGCCTTGCGTAAGTACCCTGATCAACACGTTTTGTGTATTCGGGATTCACCGCTATTTTCTACAGCGAATGATTTGTAGATCTGCTTCATTGCACCCTGCTTGGTTATTCGGATTAACCTTGGGCTGTGAGCACACCGACCAAGCCAAAGCGTTTTTGCGGTACATTTTTAGACATATATGATTTACATAACGCGTGTAATTTGTATGCACATTGAGTGTGTTTACAACGCCCACCGCTATTATTCATCATAGTAAAGAGCAACCAATAGATGTATTGTTAACTACAAAGGCGGGGAAAACAGTGCAGTATTCTGGGCTGTGATTGGTCAGTGTCAACTGCCAATGCGGAAGAGTCCCAGACATGCTTGTAGTGAAAACACGTTGAAGTGAAATGAGAGTTGGCATGCTTCGTTTTTGTGTCTCGTCGTAGCGTATGCTGACAATGTTTAGAATCATCAGTATCCCTTAGAAAAAACTGCGTTTTCTGTAAGTGAACCGTCTACCTGCTCTTGTTTTACTAACATGCGTCCACGTTAATAGGGACAAATGTGAACGCGGGCTAATAATCTAAGTTTTCCTTCCAAAAACTACTGATTAAAAGCATGAATTCTTTTTTTTAACCTCTGAAGTAATAAAAATGCACAACGGCGGTGAGCGAGCAATATTGGTTGTGGCGGAATGCTGAGCCTAAGAATTCTGGGTATTGTAGTAACTTTGTATATTTACGCTGTTTGCAGAATGCGAGATGCCAGAGTTAAACAGCACGACTGTGTTGGAGAGCCGTGCGCTTGTGGCACCTGTGACAGCGCTGGAGTTCCTTGGAGATGACTACCTGCTGACAGGTAGGCAATTTGGTATAGGCACTTAACAAAGAAACATGTAATCTTACCCATGCAGTTGTAGTCAACTTGATTTTATTTATACTGCTGTCAATGATGGTCATCTGGTCAAACTCCTGTTTGAGCATCAGTGGAATGTGCATGTTTTCCATTAATATCTTGGCTTTTTTGCCAGGTGAAGGACCAATTCTATCCATCTTCTCTCTCCATGCCTCACCCAGACAATGTACGTCACTTAGTGTTCTCCATAACTACCGCATCCATGGCATACGGCCTAAGGAGCAAAATAAAAGTGATGGGAATGTTCCTGAGACGCCAGCTTGGGATGACAGTGTGAGGCTGGTCGTTTTTGGCGGAAAAGGTTTGCGCCTTATCAACGTCAGAACATGTGGTTCTAGTTTGGAGGTCGCAGGCCCTCTCATAGAGCTCCAGGATTGGGTGTTGGATGTTTCTTGGTTGAAACCGGGAGAGGCCTACCCATTACTGGGCATAACTCTTGCTCATAATGCAGCTTTGCTTCTAGAGCCGCAATCTGGCAAGGTCCTGACCCTCTGTTCCTGTTTAGAGGTGTGCCTGCTTTACTCTGCGCTTCTGATTGGACCGAGCTGGGAAACCTCAGTGCTGGTGGGGGGAACTGTTTTCAACCAGCTGGTGCTATGGAGGCCTGGGGGAGCTGGATCCAACAGCCAGGCTCAGATCGAGAGGCGTCTGCTGGGTCATAAAGGCGTGATCTTCAGCCTGTGCTACCTCAAGAGCTCTGGATGGCTGGCTTCAGCCTCAGACGACCGCAGCGTTCGCGTGTGGCATGTTGGCAGGGTGGGTGGAGATGGAGGGTGTGGAGAAGAATCGCCCACATGCTTGAGGGTACTTTATGGGCACCAGGCTCGGGTGTTCTGCGTAAGGCTCTCGCCTGGTCAGGTGTTCAGTGCCGGGGAGGATGGGGCTTGCCTGTTGTGGGAATGGGAAGGGGATGGCAGAGTTGGGCGAACGTTAAAAGGTCACAGGTCAGGTGGCATCAGGGCATTGGCTGTCAGTAAAGGCAATGCAGGTGAAGGAGGTAGATGGGTGGCTACTGGAGGTGCTGATGGAGGGGTACGGCTGTGGCAAGTAATAGAACAGAGCAGCGAGAGAACAGAGCCCGAGAACCAAAAGGATTTGGGGTTTCGCGGGCGAGGTTCTCCCAAGGTGGTACGCTCAGTAGGAGGTCATGACTCTGTTCTTGTCTGCACTGATCAAGGTGAAGTGTTTTTGTATCGAGATGGATTGTGGGAGGCAATTTGGAATGGTGGTCCTGAATTCCAGTCCTATTGTGTAATGGAAGTAGCATACATCCGGTTGCAAAATTCGTCCACTGATGAAGGTTTGTGGGTGTGTGCTGTGGGGAATCTTAGCGGAGGTGTCCAGGTGTTTCCCCTAAACCATGCTGGCGCAGGTATTTTCTTGCAAGCAGGTGAGGGGAAGATCCACTCTTTACAGTGGGTGGAAGGGCATGGTGTCTGGGGTTTTAGTTGGTGCCTCTTGGCTTCTGGCTCAGAAGGGCTTGTCTGTAGATGGATGGTACAGGTGGAAGAGGATGAAACAGGACCAGTTTTGATGCTGGAGAAGATGAAGTCGTTTCTGCTGCCGCCTTGTGCTAAACGATGGCTGACTGCTGCTGTTGTGATGCCAAGTGGAAAGGATGTGTCATGGGTGTGTGGAGACCGCCGGGGCTCACTGTTGCTCTACAGAGAGATGGTGAGAGGTGGGGAGGGTGAGGAGAAAAGAGATACTGAAGAAAGGGCTGATGGGAACATAGGGCTGGAGAACAATGTGAACGACATAAGGGCTCACATCTCCCCAGTCACCACACTGTTTGGCGTCCATGGAAAGCAAGGTGTTACAAGTGTGTCTGAGCATCAGCGTGTTTTTTACAGCACTGGCCGGGATGGGTGTGTGCGGGTTCTAACGGTAAAAGGGGACTCTTTAAATGTGCGCCGGATCCAGCGAGCTTGCAAAGGGATGGAGTGGCTGGAAAAGGTTCTGTTTCTTGATTCTGATGGACTACACCATGAAAAGCATAAAACTAATGATGAAGAAAGTGAGAAACAGGAGGAGAGATTAGCAGAAACAGTGCCGGAGGATGGAGGAGTTGAAGGAGAAGAAAGCGATGAAGGTGAAGATACGTTGACCAAAGAGGCCAAAGTGAAGGAGAAGTGGCCAGAGAGCAAGGGAGATGGAGGTACTACAAGAAACAGTGTCTCAGAGGCCAGTTTTGTAATGGTTGGCTTCCATTCCATCCAGTTTGTTTTGTGGGATCCACTGAGGCAAGAGAAGCTGTTCTCAGCAGCTTGTGGAGGAGGCCACAGGTCATGGGCTTATATCTTCCCTTCCCATGTTCAAGCACACCTGTCAAACCACACAGTTGGGCAAGGTACCCTGATCTTCATCAAGCAAGGGGCTGTCATGGCGTCACATTCTTTAACTTCCTCAGCAACTGAGGTTAGAGGCCATACCCTGAGAGAGGGGCTCCACGGCCGAGGTTTGAGCTGCGTGCACCACCTCGGCAGCATTTCCAAGCCTGGGGTTTCTTCTGAAGCTTGGGAGGTGCTTATTACAGGTGGTGAAGACACCACAGTGACTGTGCTTGCAGTCAAACCCGAGCAGGACATGGTGAAAGTTCTTGCCATTATAGCTGACCACATCTCCAATGTTCGGACCCTGGCTGCAGTCCCAACAGGAGTAAAAGAAGACGGAAAAAGTGACAGGTGGACAGACCCATCTTCCTCTTTCTCCACACTGGTGTTCTCCGCTGGGGGGCGGGCTCAGCTGCAGTGCTGCTACCTCCTGATTGGCTGGGATGAGCAGTTCAACCGGCCTGGCTGTCAGGTGACTCAGATCGCTGGTCACCGATTGGACGAGCAGTGGGAGAGGAGACGGGATCGACATAAGACAGTGAAAATGGACCCTGAGACAAGGTGTGTGTATGTATGTGTTATAAATATACACATCCTGTTAAAAGTTTGGGCACACCTAGCTTTTCAAAACATTTTTAATACAAACTAGCAAGCGTTCTTTGTAATTTATGCTAAAGGCCACACTTGTGTTATCAGTACTCATAATCAATATTCAGTGTGTGTTTTAAGCAATAGTTTGGATAACAAAACCTAACTACACACCAGGGGAGATTCTTGATGAACATGAAGCAGATTACTGCAAAGCATGACCAAAGTTTAGTAAATTAGAATGGAATTGTCTATAGTGGTGCTGATAGGAATCAGATATTTGAAAATTTTAAAGCCTTTAAACTGATGATTATGAATAAATTTCCCGATGCCTGAGACATTGTTTTATGATAGTTTTGAGACTATTTTAGCCTAAAATGTGTTTTGTAAAGTCCATTCATGCAGGGCAGTGTATAGCCAAATAGTCCCATGTATATTTGTTCATACCATTATTAACATTTCTAAAAAACACAGAAGATACGTGTAGGTTCACTGGTAGAATAGAATAGATTTGTGCTGTAGATGTCACAACCCCTGGTTCCTATCACCACCATTGTTTTTTTGTTTTTTTTTTTAAAAAAAAGCAAGCAGGAAATTTCCTTTAGAACTTACTATTTGACATCAAACCACTCTGAGACACATTCTGTATATTTTAATGATTAAAAAAATGCAGGAACTTAAAAAAAATTGGTCAGAACTAACAGACAGAATTTATAATTTTGGGAAGAGGCAAAGTGCTTCCAAACATTTGACAGTCAATGTAAAATGTTAATAATGATAACAGAGGCAGTATCCCTCTGTCTGTCTGTGACTTTGCATGTTGACTAGAACTTTTCAGTGTCAGCACTGCTGTGTTTTGCTGTGTTATCTAAACATAGCCTCTAGGGGGCGTCTTAGCATTACTAGTGGCCTGACTATCTCCATTGTCTCGCCCATTGAGCTGCCACAATGTTTGAATGAGGTGATTCTGTTAACGGGACTGTCGTGTTGATTTGCAGATACATGTCTGTGGCAGTGGTGCATGATGGCACAGAGGTGATCTTCTTGGCACTCGCCTGCAGTGATGGTGCAGTAAGGTATGTGTGTGTTTGTAAATCAATAACATTTTACAACATGAAAGGCAGCGTACCATAGCTTATCATATTTCTTGTTCTTTCTTTTTTTCTTTCTTTCTTTCTTTCAGGCTTTTCACTTTGGGAAAGGACAGCAAAAAGATTGAGCTGCTTTGGGACAGTTTTTACCATCAGCGCTGTGTGCTCAGTGTCGCCTCCTGTAGCTTGGAGGACCTACATGGCAAACAGTGAGGCGATGATAAAAATGAGGACATCACTAGTGCTCTTTTTTTATGAACGCTTAGTGACTCTCTCTCTCTCTCTCTCTCTCTCTCTCTCTCTCTCTCTCTCTCTCTCTCTCTATCACTCCCACCCACCCCAGGCATGTGTTGTTGTTTAGTGGGGCTACAGATGGTGCTGTAGCTCTGTGGGATCTGACTACAGTGTTGGACAGTAAATCCAAGGACAGCTGGGACGGTGAGTCACCAGCCTGCTAGAACTGGGTCCACATGTATAAAGTACACACAGTAGGAGTGCTGGTCTAGGGTCAGATATATACTCATTTATTTGTACACACAAACTGATCTTAAGAGCTGAGCAGTTCGTGTAAACAAGTTTGACCCAGTTTAGAGCTACCTTAAGTTGACATGAATGTTACAAGACTAGTATGCTAAGTTTTCCAATTAAGCATTTGTGGTTATACTATCTCAAAGTCAAAGTAGATGGTAAGTGAAAGTAAAAGCATTCATTGTTTGACAACAAACGGTTAAATTTGTTGTCACTCAGAGCACCTGTTTTGAAGGACTTCTGCAGTCTCTTTCGCTGGGCAACACTAGTGATCCTTAGAGCATATATCAAAAGATTAGCTGAAAAAATGTAAAATACAACATGCATGCTTGCATAAAGCTTTAACATCTACGGCTAAGGTGACATGCAAAGTAAACAAACAGGATAGCTTGCTACTAAAATACTAGGGAAATTCAGTCCAGACGCTAATGGAAGTTATCATTACGCTAGTGGAGTCAAAGTGCAGCTATGTTTAAAGAGAAGTTATCAGTTTGAAACTACATGACTGCCACATTTTTATAATTATATGACAAAACAGTCATTAACTTGTTGGAATATCCTGTGCTCTGGTTTTTGTTTTTACAGAGTGTGCTAGTGGATAGAGATGGTGACAGGGAAAACGTAAAAATAGTCCAGAGAAGGAAAAAAACTTTCACTGCAGACCCAGAAGGAAGTGGAGTTATTGTAGTTGGGTATTATTTGGAATTGAGCAGAGAGAGAGTGACCGTAACTTACTCTTTACAGCCAAAACTAAGCATTTATAAACTTAACGTGCTGTGGCTGATGTTAACTGATGTGGGTGGGTGAGCTGATTTTACTGTTCATGAATATGCAAAATAAGGTAGTTGTGATTCGCTGTAGACAGTAAGCGCAATGTTTGACAAGCTAAGATTGCACTACATTTGTTGTCATGCTAAGAAGGTTGTTAGGGCCCCCTGGAATGAAGGGACTATGTATAAAGGGCTGTCATTCCTATGTGGTTTATCTTAAAAGTTGATACAATGTAAAGTATAAAGTATATTCATAGTCATTGTTTCATTTCAAACTCTTATGTACTGTCCAGTTACTTACAAATTTCACTCTCTGTCTGTGCCTTTCAGGTCCATCTACTCCTTGCTTCTCTGTCCCCGCCCATCAGAGTGGAGTCAACACCCTCATAATATCAGAACGCTATGAGGACATTATCACTTTGGCTAGTGGTGGAGATGATGGACAACTATCGGTGATGAAGATCAGAGTAGAGTTAAATCAACCAGAGACAGGAAGTGTATGTCCACAGCTGCTTTCTCATTGGTCCATTCCATTAGCACACTCCGCCCCCCTGACCACCCTGAGTGCCCTAAGTTCAACACTGCTGGTGTCCACCTCTCCAGACCAGCGCGTTTGTGTGTGGCGTTTGTGTGAAGATGGACTTCACCACCAGGGAGCGATATTCTCACACACTGCAGATGCTTCCGGTGTGTGGGCGTGGCACAGGGAAGGGCCAGAACCAGAGGGCGGAGCCTATGCTGTGGTTTGTGGGCAGGGCTTGCAACTCTTGAAGCTAACAGAACGAGAAAAGGAAGATGGAAGAGAAATGAGAACAAGACAGAAAGAGCAAGAAAGACAAAAAGTGGTGTTTGCGGGTGGTTTTGTTTGAGTATGATCTGATGGAATATTTAACTATTTATTACTTTATTGACAAAGCGTGATGAGACATGATTATTTGAATGTAAAGTTTTAAGATTCTAAATGTTTTCGTCTTTTAAATTGTGATCTCATTACGTACGTTACATCACATAAACGTTTCATTACGTAGACCAGCAGACACAGTTCAGAATTACTTGAAATAAAAACTTGTTACATTAAAGTTAAACAGGGGCTTTAGCCAGAATTAAAAATTTAAACATTGCTACATCTGTTGTAAACATGCCAACTTGCCTCCTAGAGTGGTGCCACAGGAGTCCTGAGAAGGGAAAGGTTTTCCGGTTTAAAAACAAAAAAAAAAAATAAGAGCACCTTGGAGCATACACACTAAAGGCTGTTTGAAATGTTTTGGTTTTTATCTGGCTAACGCAGATGGAGGCCAGATAGCTAATGTCACTGGCAGAAAGCTGAATATCATGTCTATTTATTAGCCTCTACATCAGTGCATTTCTTTGTTAGTGTTAGGGGTCAGTTCCCAATGGTTGTATGATATACTTGCACAATGCTTGCTGGGTATTGTAGTGAGAGAAGATTGATGGACAAAAACACAAAAAGAGTACAAAAACTCTGAATTCTGTCAAACCGAAAAGAGTGGGGGGACACCACAAAATGTTACATACAGAATATTTACGTTTAATCTGGAATTCTTCTTTTAATAACAGTTTTCCTTCTTCATTTTTCTTGCAATAGAAATATACTCTGCACCGATGCTATGATCTATGATGTATCAAAAATAAAAGTTGCTAATTTGATTATATAGTGGAGTAATTGAATGTGTTGCATGCAACTTTGATTGTTTTTGAATTGTTTAACTGTCAAGTTGCACAGAAATTGTGTTGCAGGCAACTCACAACATGCTTGAAAGTTGCATGAAAGTTTCATCGTGTAAAGCCAGCCTGAGTTTTGAGGCATTGAGCCAGTGGATGTGTGTGTGTGTGTGTGTGTGTGTGTGTGTGTGTGTGTGTGTATATGATGGGGGTCAGTATGGGGGACTTGGCTGCATTAGTGAGCATTAATATTTTACTCTCTTCTCAGATTCCCTTTTGTTCATCAACTCGCTGACTGCCAACTACTCAAACGAAGACATGAAAGAATGAAAGCGAGGGAGGCAAAGAGAAGGATAAAAACTCAGTGCTTTAAAAGAGCTTAAAGGCAGGCACATAGTTGCTGCTGGTTTAATGAGCAGGCATGCAGAGAGAATGCTGAATGTTATGTAGCCCTGGGAAAAAATATGAAAAAAGCAAATCTATTGAGCAAGGATGAGAAAATATGAAGACAGCACTAAGAAGAAAAAGGAATAATCATCTGAGACTGCATAGAGTGGGAAACCCAAAGGTATGGAAGCATTCTGGATGAAGTCAGTAAGAGACTGAATGTGCCTGGGTTGATTTTTTGAGTGTGCGTTTGTATGGATATTGTATTATAGACTGCATATTTGCCTCAAGCTATACTTTTTATTACAGTCAATATTTTGTGAGCTCCTGTGTCTTGTGTGTGGATAGTATGCATGTGTGTGGGTGATTGCAGTTTGAAAGGTGGGATGTCATATTTCAACATTTCAGCAGAGCTTTGAAGGGAGATGAGTCTGATGGAAGAGAAAAAAGCAAGAGAACAACACAAAGGCAAAAAAAGAAAAGAGGGCAAAAATATCCACACTGCTGGTCCTGCCAGAGAGGTATTGATTCAAACAAACCCACACATTCATTCATTCACATTCACATATTCTTTCATGCATGTGCAGGAGCGTTGATAGGCCAGTTTTAGGGGGGATTTGTCACCCCTCTTTCAGACTAAATATACATTACTAGTTCAGTTCATCTACAGTTCTCATTTATTATTGATTATTCAACCATGCCATCGCGTCTCCAAATTCAAAGTATACTGTAATGGCAGGGCGCGACCTGGGAGAGGCGCTGCTGTTACTCTAATGCAGCGCTGCCTCTGCTGAGCTACTAGAGATTTACTAAGGTAACGTGAAAGAGCTCCCGGCTCAGCCAGTCATATCAGCCAACTAGATTAAGAATTTGAAGAAACCTCACTTTAATGAGAGTGTGAGATTGTGAACGAGGGACAGAGATAGAAATAACATCATTGACAGCTTTTATATTCTTTGTTTCTATATTTCTCTTCAGTATTTGAGTACAGTGCCACCAGCAATTGCCATATATTGTTACAGTAAGTTAATGTCAATGAAAATGTCATATACAATCCTCCTCATGGACCATGCCCCCAGACCCCCCTAGTACAGCTCTAGCCACCCAATCTATGACCCTCCAGTGACAGCCCTGTTGCATGTGTGCACATATAGCTACAGAGACTTAAGGGGGAATTCAACCTATTTTTCAAATTTTCACCTTAATTAAATGGTTAAGAGGCAAAAAAATCATTCAGAGAAGTTGCATGTGAAGTGCTAATTCTAGAGAAACTTACCAGGCAGAGGTTTTCACAGAGGTGGTTATAGAAGCCAGATGTCAGAAATAGAGTTAAGTACAGTATGTAGTTTGTATATAGTTTGGAGACTTTTAATGTATTTTTAAAACCCATCCATGGTGGTATATTTATATGCGAATGTTTTGGTGCTCCTGGTCAAATCACATATTTTGTTGGTTTTCTAAAAGTAAAATAATACATCCTCTACAGGGAACAAACGTAAATATGACATTTTTCTGCAAATTTGATTCCATGATTATTATTTATTTGCTGAGTTTAACAATATTGGGCAAAAAGTTATAGCACATTTTATTATATATGTTTTTTTTCTAATATGTTAAACTCACCAAAAGAAATAGAAATTTCCATAAAATTGTAATATTTTAGCTTGTTCCCTGTAGAGGATGTGTTTTCACTTGGAAAATAAACAAAACATTTAACTTGGCTTTTGGTGTTCAAACTTGCATACAAGGCAAAGTGAAACATATATTTTTCAGATTTACCACTATTTTACCATGATCAAATTTACCTATAAAACTCAAGAGACGTGTAGGTTCACTGGATCACCACCACTGTAAAGAAATCAGAGTTTGTAAGTTTCTCTACAAAGAACCATTTCACCTCAAACCCCTCTGAACGACTTTGTTTACTTTCGAAGGACTTAAACATGCAGAAAGTTTGAAAAAAATTGAAAAAAATGCCCATAATCTCATAACACATTTTCATGTCTTCAAAATAAATAACTTTGCAGAAGGAAAAAAATATTCTTAACTTTAATGTTAAAAAGATTTTATTTATTTTGGACCATTTCTATTGGTCCATTCATCATAAAATGTTCATGCAATGTAAAGGGCAGCTGGTGAAAAAAATGTTTTGGATGTGGCAGTGATGGTACACTTCACCACACATACACACACTTAACCCGCACATACGTATGCCTACATATCCACAAATAAACTACACCCTCTAGTATATTTGTGGATATGTAGGCGTATGTGTCTGCAGGTTATGAACATGCACATACATTGACAGCTGTAACGGCAGCATGGTGCTTGATCTCACCCCATAGGCCGACAGCAGGCTGTTGTCAAGAGAGAGGCTTCCTCTTATTGGATCTTCAGGAACTACAGGTAAAATCAAGCCTTTTTACATTTTTGAAATTCGAAGTTCAGTGTGATATTAACATCCTTGTCATGTCAGTATAAATAGTTTAAAGAGCTTTTGAACAGCTATTTTAATACATAAATGTGATGGATTTATAGTGATATTTTTCTCAGCTACATAATAGGATGATTCATTTTAATGGCCACTTTATTTAATAATCTGCTAATGGGCTTCTCAAGTGTGATGTGTGAAGTGTTTGCTTACCTTCGTCATTGTTTTGTCTGTCAACACGTGGACACTCGAGCTCATTAACAGACAATGCACACACACAATCGTGCACCCATGCATGCACATGCTGAAACTGAGGAACTGTTTGAGTAATTCACAGTGAATAAAATGTGCAGCTGCGTAATGCTTTAAATGCTTTAGCTGTGTATGACTTGCCTATTTTAGCGTATTATTATTTTGATCTACAATACTGTGCAAAAGTCAGAGACCATCCTTCTTTTATTTAATGCCCAGTCAAAATGGTCATTTGGTACAAGTTATATGTTTTTTCACATATTTCAGAAAAGATTAGATGTAAGATAAGCAATTTGCATAAGGAAAGGGAAAGTCAAAGGAGTCAAAGGACTCCTAACAACCCGTCAAGACCTGGTAAACCACCAAAACTGTCATCATCAGATAAACAGCACTTAAATCTTTCATCTTTCAGAGAGAGGAGAAAATCAAGCTCCACTCTTGCTTCATATCTGAAAAAAATCCACAGGTGTTTTGGTACATCTTTCCACTAATAAGAGTAATAGTCAAGAAGCTGTTACTGAGAAAAAGAAATTGCCAAAACAAAACATAAACTATGGAAATCATGCACAGAAGCCACTTGTGTTCTCAGAACAATGGACTGGCCATCTCAGACCTCAGACATCTCAGGCCAGACCTCAACATCACAGAATGTGTTTGGGATCACCTGGATTGTGAGAAGTCAAGAAAATACAACCAACCTCAAAGACTGAACTTTAGGTGTGGAAAAATATCCCTGCAGATTTCCTTGGAAAACTAAAAGCAAGTCTCCCAAAAAGCTGTAACAAAGAGGAAGAGTGGACACACCAAATACTGAAAACAATATGTTTAGTTGTTGAGGCTTGTGGGTTATTTTTAGTTGAATATATGTTTTATGCTTTTTTTCCTCAAGCTGAAAAATTAATTACTTCTTTTTAATGTTTTTTTTGACTGGAAATTACTTAAAGAAAGGCTGATTTCTGACTTTTCTGTAATAATACAACTTGAATAATACTTAGAATTTTTATTATTATTATTATTATTATTATTAGTAGTAGTAGTAGTAGAAATAGTATGTGTATGTATTTTTGTGTATGTAAAAACAGAGATTATACATTTTTTCTTTTTGTAATCTTGTAGAGAGATCCACTCATCAGCGTCCCCCTGAGGTTGGGAATAGGAAGCGTGCCCGCCCCTCTCTCAATGCTGTTTTCCAAGACAGAATAGCACCCTGGGAAGGCTCCTCCCACTCGGATTCCTCTTTCACCAGCATTCCACCTCCCCCTCCTCCACCACCGCCTCCCCCTCCACCACCTCCACCAATCTCATCAACTGACCCTCTGCCACCTCCACCACAGCCAATCAGAGACACCCAGCCTGAGAGTGGCAGAAGTGCTCTGGTGAAACGGAAGATCCTCCCACCCCGATGGCCCCCCAAACCCCCACGCCTGCCTCCGTTACGCCAAGTCACAAACCTCAGTTTTTCAAGAAGTTTTACATTTTCATTTTTTGAACTGCCTTTTCATCAGTCGGCACGAAGTCGAGCAGAGCGGCTCAGAGATCTTGTAGCTCTGCTGAAGCAGATACAGTACTGAGTGGACCAAACTTCTTTAACATTTTCACTAGATTTAGGAAAGTATAAGGAAAAACGCTCATTTAGGGATGCACTGATCGTGATTTTTTATGGCCAAGTCTGGTTTCTTTACATTCAAATTAGCTGATGGACAATTTTTCACATATATCCAGTACTTTCTAATTGATAAAGTTACAATACCAACACATTATTTCCTTTTTAGTGGGCCAAACTGAGATTTTAAATTCTGAAATAAAAAATTAGATGCATATGTAATAACACAAATCAAATAAAGTGCTCCATTGAAAGTATGAAACAACTGTTAATTGGCTGTTTGGCACAATGAGCGATGTATTATTATGCTATAACATAATAACAGATGTAGCAGCAGAATTCATATGCAAGTACACTTACTCACATTATTTACACCAAAACATTATAACACATATTGGCCAAAATGAAAATAATCAATTAGCCGATAGCCGATTGCCAATTGCGTGTTTGGAACAAAAATCTGTCAATTCCAGTCTTGGGCGATTCTGATCGTGCATCCCTACTCCCGTTTATTCTCGGAATAAACATAGCTAACAGCAAGCTAGCGCAGGGGGTCACCCTGTGTTCCCAGGGACCTTTATTTCCCCCTGTTCCCAATGTCCTGTGTATGTATTCTTAAAATACAGTTTGCATTACAAAGTTTGCTTAGTTAGCTAATTAGTTCAATGAGATTAGCCTAGTCAATGCAAAGTGTATCCCTATTAAAAATCTGCAACTCATTGTCCTTTGTATGACTTCTAGTGACCCTAGGACCCCTACCATGATTTTAGCTGCCCTTTTTCAAGTTTCCTTAATGTATTATGTTGAGGTTTAATGTTTCATATAAAGAGCCTAGGGAATGAACAGTCCTGGGAACATAGGTACACTCCCACTAGCAGTCTAGAGCAGTAGAAAGCCTATCTGAAATACATCTGGTGTTGAGATCTATACTGTAGCCTCAGATTACATTAGCTCCCATAATTGTATGTTGAGCTGCTACAATTGCCTCATAATGATTAGGCAGCACTGTGATGTTCACCTGCTGTTCATGTCGGCCAGAAGGAATGATTTTGCCTGGGGTGCAACAAAGATTGATGACATACTTCACTTGAAACAGAACTTAGAGCAAATGAAAACTAGTGGGACCAGTTAGCACGACTATTTGCGCAATGGTAACTCATGCCAAGTTTCATTTGGCATCTGTACTTCACGATGAGCTAATCCCTAAAAAGATCTTTAAATCATCATTTGGACCCATTTCTGAGTCCACTTCTCCTTAGATGCTTAATTATGACCAGGTGCTGGGATAAACAGCTGGTATCACATCACAGGTATATGGACACGTGACTGTGAGATAATAAACATTAACAACAGCATTAGGTTTCTGTACAAGGTAATGCAAAGAAGGTGGTGAAGATTTTTAAGCTCTATTCAGGAACTAGAGCATATGACAGTTTTTAGTATTTGGAAACACTGAATGCCAAAAAAACTAAACCAGGGTCAGCATCTAAGTCAGGGAAGATATTTTAGAACGTTGATGCATTATTCTTTTTATAGACATGACTTCCTGCAAACTTATTCTGAGTAATGAAAATATACCAGTATTTATTTTTGTGTTGTTACCCATTAGATCATATATTGTTTTCAAGGGTTATATTACACATTTAGAAGGTGTGTGGGTGTGATTATGGGGTATGGTGAGTACCAAAAAGTAGTTTTCTTGTTTTTCCACTCCTATTGGTTAGGTGGTCAAGGAATGTAGAGCCCGGATTTGTGAAGGAGGCAATATAAGCTAATGACATGTATAACTGCTAAATAAAATAACGTTACAGTCTGACAGTCCGAGAGGTTTGCTTTTACTTTGGCATGACCAGTTAGGCTACATTTCCATGTCTTGACAAGGTAAGAGACCTTTCATTTCATAACCATAATGCTTAGTGTTTTATTAAGTAAAGACAGCACAGGTTAACGTTCTTGCCTAAAGATCTTTTCCTGCTTCTTTATTACACATACACGCTCACACTTCTTGGCTCACATGTGCTGATATGAAGGAAAGGTGATACGAGCAGGTGTGAGCTTTGATGTATTGGTGACCTTTGACAGTAGGCACCTGCACAGACGCACAGCATTAAAAATGTAATGTCAGGCTCGTCTTTCTCCATTTATACCAGAGATGATGGCCTCATATTATAACTACAATGATATAAGCATCTTCTTGATATATGTTTATTTTATAAAATTGTTCCTTCCATTAGAGTTACTTATGGTTAGTTTACAGTAAAGTATGCCATTATGAGCTAATAAAGAGGGCCAATAGAGAGACTTTTATTGTATAAACTCAAAAAACATGATTTTTTCCTCATGTGTAGTAAAAATAAATAAAGGTTGATAATGATACAACATATGAGTGTTTAACACATCTGACCAGTGAGTGGTACTGGTTCCTCCATACAAGCTTATCCTGTTTTGGAGGTCCCACAGTTGGACTGTAATAATAATAATAATAATAATAATAATAATAATAATAATAATAATAATAATAATAATAATAATAATAATAATAATAATAATAATAATAATAATGTATTTTAGTGGCGGCACGGTGGCGTAGTGGGTAGCACTGTCGCCTCACAGCAAAAAGGGCCTGGGTTCGATTCCCAGCCGGGCGACCAGAGTCCTTTCTGTCTGGAGTTTGCCTGTTCTCCCCGTGTCTGCGTGGGTTTCCTACGGGTTCTCCGGTTTCCTCCCACAGTCCAAAAACATGCAGTCAGGCTGATTGGACGTGCTAAATTGCCCCTAGGTGTGAGTGAATGTGTATGTCTGTCTGTCTGCCCTGCGATGGACTGGCGACCTGTACAGGGTGTATCCTGCCTTTCGCCCAATGACGGCTGGGATAGGCTCCAGCACCCCACCGCGACCCAGAAGGATAAGCGGTTTAGATGTATGTATGTATGTAATATATTTTAATGGAAATGTGTATGATTTACAAAACCTGGAAGCAAATTGGGTTTTCATCTTCACGGGTAATCAAGCAAAACAACATTTAATTTTATTATGCTTAAATGCTATTTTTTATCATGGCAGCTGTATATGATTTTTTAATGTCAAGGAACAGTTATGCTTTCTGTTTTAATTTGGCATGGCCGTCTTTGTTGAAAGAAGTATGTTTTTTTTCACAGCAGAGGGTTCTTGCCCCTCCCCTTTACTCTCTCATTGCTCACTAGCAGCTCAACACAGAGTCACAACACACAGAGAGAGACAACAACGTTCTAGTTAATCTGACAACAGAGTTATGGGGGATTCTTTTATTAAATTAATTTAAAATTAAAGTATCTCAGTCAATTTCAAGCTGCTGAACAGCCACTAGGAGGCCTGCAGAAAGAAGATACATCTTATATAAAATCTTCTTAAAGATGATCTTCTTAAATCATTATAATTATGATTATGGTTATTGGCTCAGGTGTATGAAAGGCATTTAAAGTTCTTTAAACTTTCTTTACAAAGCTTCTTCACATTTGCGCCTCCTTTAAAGAAATGGTTCTTTAAAGTATCATCCACTGATATACTCTTAACGTAAATAGTGTACAGTCACTGCTGGGCTCACTGCTTTTTATTAAGCTCACCCTATAGGGCCTATGGAAGTACAGCAGATGCTTTAAGCTGCTTTAAGTCAGAATAAAGTAGCTCTCTTCACATGTTTTTCACATGAATAAATTCACTCACTCTGAAACACTAAGACGTGCTCGGAAATGCATGTTGTACTCTAACTTCTTGATAACCCCACCAAAATTGCGGGGATCAAAGTTCAACCAGCCATTGATATTAACTAAATGTTCATGATATCTTTAAAACCTTTGCCAAATGGAGTGCTTCTAGAGATAAGGGATATCTGGGAGACTCACTGTGTAATAATTAGCTTTAATTTTATTGCTTCTCAGGTGATGCCCATACCCGATATATTTTAGAGGTAAGACGTTAATGAACACGGAAATCTTCAGCATTCACACACCCACAAACACACACACACAGACACACATGTACACATAGCGTGTAAGTCTTGTTATTCAGTTATGTTCATCATCTTATGTGATTTATTTATATTGTGTTATATATAGAGATCACTGTATTAATCTCAGAGGGAACTATTTGTTCAGTTCAGAAAGAGCCATATCCTGCTTTTTTCTTGTATCTTACATTTTCCAATAACTGTCCCCAAATGACATTTTTGTGGTTTTATATACCACAGACATAATTGTGACATAATTTTTCAAATGTTTTACATTTTCTAACATCTCTTCATCCCTAGAATTAACCAGGTTGATTTTGTTACTCTCCCTTTGAGGTATATGAAAATGATCTCTGGTCTGATTGGCTGCCCTGCACTGTGCTTCATTTAAAAAGCAGGCCAGGCTAAAACACTCCTTATAACTTTAAAGTAAATTTGCAGAGGTAATCTGCTGTAGGATATAAAAAAAAATACATTTTTTATGACATCACAAAAACAATTAATCCAAAGGGCTGTTTTTGCAGCTAGTTTTCATATATGGACTATATAGATTAAGGAGTAAATGGTACATTTTGAAACTTTAGCGATGTTTACATAGTACATTATTTTATTTCAAAAAAAGAGAAAAAATGTTTTTCCATTATTTCCACCTTTTAATATTTTCAATTGCAGAGGAAATAGTTTAATTTTGTATCAAAAAGGAAGAATGAGGACTGTTAAGCATGGGTGAGGTGATACAGTGGCTTATATAATGCAATGGGGAAATATTCTCTCACTCTGTTGTTCTGTGTCTGTGGTTGGCCCCTCAGTGTAAAGAGTGGGACTCAATAAAGGAGAATAAAAGACTCTTTCATCTTCACTGGATAGGGTTTGTGTGAGTAAGTGAGTGAACGAGAGTGCGTTTGTTGAACTGAGCAGAGTTCAGTGTAAGTCTACACCCTGCGCTTCACACGTGAATACAATCACAAACACACTTTTTTTGACTATCTGTTTTCATCCATTGATATTATTTGCTGATACAGTATCTCCTCCGGGCAAACTTCAGAGAACGTTCAAAGACACTCATTTATTCGAGTTGCACTTAAAACGGTTCATGTGTTTGTGTCTGAGAGAGACTTTAAGCTCTGTTGTTTTTCTTTTTTCTTGGCAGATGGGTGATCATAGTCTTCATTCACTGTATGACACAACAGGACCTCATGAGGCCCTCACTGTGGATGAAGCACAGCTGGATGTTCTGGGGCAGCGGAGGGAGAAGCAGTGTCGCTCTGTGTGGCAGAAGCTGAAGGCTGAGCTGCAGTGAGTACGAGCTAAGTAGGGCTGTTCTGGAATCAATTCCACACAATGTTTTTCTCGATTTCAAGGATCAACACTTATGTCCCTTTGACATGTGCACATTTACGCAGAAATTTAACAGTCATTAAACAAGAAGGGGTTACATGAAAGTCCTCATGGCCTTCTAAGGCCTTCAGAGAAGACCCACTGATGTGCAAAACTTAAGAAGCTTCAGACCCTGAACATGTCTTGACTGATCAGTTGCTTTAATATTAAAAGGTCATCATGATTATATATATGTGTATATATATATATATATATATATATACACATATATATATACTCATGTATATATGCACGTATGTATGTATGTATATAAAACTATATATTTAAATTATTGTGTTTGTATAAATTTTAGTAATAGGAAAGATATAAACCATTACTGTTCATTTTGTCTGGCAACCTTTTTTTTTCAGGTGTTCTGGTCCTCGTGCGAAGAGCTGTTTTTTGTCTGGTGTTCCTCTTCTGTCATGGCTCCCGCATTACCCATTCAAAGAAAATGCTTTTGGAGATCTGATCTCAGGAATCAGTGTGGGCATCATGCACCTGCCACAAGGTATCTCTCACATACGCAATCGCCTGCTGTTGTCTATTCAGTGAACAGACCTGTTCCTGTTAACCCCATAAATGGCCAGGGCCTGCCGGCAGGCCCAACATTTACTACACACTTCTATAACCTAAGAATTGCTCAGCCAGTTTGCACTGAAGTCCCTGTAGTAACCTTAGCAGGTAACAAGCCAGGAATCACCCCTTTATCATAAGGGGTTATTTAACATATAAGACGTGGAAATTTTCCACAGTGAACACAAAAGCAGGCTGTAAATCATGTATATAGTGGTCCAAAAAAATATTTGGACACTTTAACCATTGATAAACATGAATAAAGTTCTTTAGGTTACTTTCTGAGAGAAACACCTTTAGCACAACATCAAACTGATGGTAGATTCTTTGTGTGGAGAAAGCCTGAAGAAGAATTTCTACATTACTGCACTAGGAGTGCTGTAAAGCACAGAGGTGGAAACATCGAGCTGTTTTTTGTACAGTGGTGTTGCTGAGCTTGTGTTCACTGATGGGATCATGAACACAGAAGTGTACACAGGAATTCTGAATAACAACTTACAGAAGCCTGCAAAGAAACTGCTCAACCAATAACAGTCTGAAACAGATGCCTGTTGGAAGCATATTTTGCCAAAAGAAAATGACAGTGTTGAAGTGATCTGTTTAACATAAATGCCACTTAGTTTACATTTTGATTCCTAACACAATGTTTTACCTTATTAAATTGATAAATTTTAAGTAATTATAAGTATTTTTAAGTATATTTTAAGTATTTTAAAGTATACTTTTACTTTTTCTTATGTTTCTTATAGTTCTCATATTTGTTTAGCTCTACTTACTATATAGGTGCACTTTGTAGTTCTACAGTTACAGACTGTAGTCCATCTGTTTCTCTGCATACTTTGTTAGCCCCCTTTTACCCTGTTCTTCAGTGGTCAGGACCCACACAGGACCACCACAGAACAGGTATTATTTGAGTGTTGGATCATTCTCAACACTGCAGTGACACTGACATGGTGGTGGTTTGTTAGTGTGTGTTGCGCTGGTATGAGTGGATCAGACACATTGAAGAACACCATTGAAGAACAAGGTAAAAAGGGGTTAACAAAGTATGCAGAGCAACATCATATCATATCTCTATTTTTCTCATTTGGCAGCCTGAGGTGGAAAAAAAACTTTTTCTGAAGGTTAGGAATCCACTTTGGTTAATACTTTTAATGAGTATCGAGGCATGAAATAAACTCTATTTGCGAAAAGTGTCTCTGACATTTATACTAGCATTGCAGCTACAGTTTTGCTCTGTGCTCTGTCTTTTCTTATGCAGGAATGGCTAATGCTATACTAGCTAATGTGCCTCCTGTGTTTGGTCTCTACTCCTCTTTCTACCCAATCCTCATTTACTTCATCTTTGGGACCTCTAAACACATCTCAGTAGGTAAGTACACACACACACACACACACACACACACACACACACTGACAGCTCAACGCAGTTCTATTTCATTTCTATTGATGTGCTGTACTTACAATCTTTATTATGCTACATCACTGACAGCACTCAGATAACACTTCCTTTTAGTGTGAGGTATTTTGGGTAACATGAGGCTCACACTCACTCCTAGACAGTCAAACTAAATTACACTGAAAGGCCAAACTGGGTTTAGGCATTAACTTGGTAAGTATGTGGTAGAAAGTCCACACTACTGTGCAATCTTTTTTGGTAAAAAGTACCAGGTAGGTATATAATATTTAAAAAAATCTGTTCGTAAATAAAGTACAAAGACTCCTATATATTGTGTACCTGTCTGTGACCTACAAAAGAATCCAGACTGTAAAAGAAAGCAATCGTTATCACTGTGGTTTAACTAAGTCTGTACCATTTACGCTGGAAACCCTAATTTTATCCAATATAACTCACACAGTACTTGGACGTGTTTCCAATTTACTTTATTTTGTTTAATCATGTGTAATTACAGTGAAATTTAGTGTATGTTTGTACTTACCATCTTGTTACTCCAGATGGTTATGAGATATTCTAATATGTCCTTTATCAGTTCAATTGGCTGAACCTGTTAGTCATTTCAGTGCAATTAGTTAGATTGTCTAGGCCCTTATCGTAATTTTACTAGAAATAATTACACAGTTCTTTGGAGATTGTACCTCGCTCTTTGTACTGTATTCATGTACAGTCTTTTTTATGTCATATAACAACCTGATACTTTTTGCCCAAAATAATAGCAATAGTAATACAGTAATTGTGTTTGTGTTTTATACAATTGTATTAATATTATTATTGTGCGTAATGCAGTATGTGTGTTTGTGCCTCACACTTACTTACCCAGGTGTAGAAACAGTACTGAAAATCCCTGCAGTTACTATTATTGTAGTGATAATTGCTTGTGTAAAAGTACTAATAAAGGAAATTAGTCAAGTAAGAGACCTGCTAGTTCACACATATTTCTGTGCACTGTATAAGGCACAACACAGGCGTCTAGTTAAGCTATTCTTAGGTTATAGAAGTGTGTAACAAAACTTTGGGCCTGCCAGCAGGCCTTGGCCACTACTGGGGTTGAACTACTTGGATTTCCTGGTTTGATGATTACATAAGGTGTCATTGGTTATCTGTTTCCAACAAAGTAGGTTGAAATAATAGTAACAACAGTTTGTAACTGTTTATTTAATTCTAAAAACGGATCCTGGTCCTGGTCATGGAGAGCTACCTTCCTGCAGAGTTTAGTTCCAACCTGCATGTAACATTGTGCCCCTCCTTTACCTAACACTAACACATCTGATCCAGCCTTCAAACTGTGTAAATTCACTGATGCTCATATCATACATTTCTACCATTAAAATCATTAACAGCTTTGAGAGAGCAGAGTCAGGCTGCGTTCTGTGATGAACTGAAATAAATAGTATCCTATGATTCAGTATGATCTGTAAGATATCTAGGGGTAAATGTATCTTTGCTAAAGGAAAGTACGTTCAGAAAGTTCCACTGCAGACATGGCAAGTTTACCATTTTTACAACAAGAAGATTTAACGATGATCTGAATATTACAGTCCAACACTTTTCAATTTCTTTTCAAGTGATGCTCTGATGTTTTGGATCGTTTCTCATGTGAAGCGATATCTGTTTTGTCTGTGTGCAGCATGTGCACGACAAAAGAATTTCACATAAATCAGCCCACGCATTCTCCACCACCTGCTGATCACATTACTGTTTAGGGGAGTAAGTCTCTAAAAAAACAAAGTGTTTTATACGGGTAAACCGTATGGGTTGACACCTGTTAGCTACAGTAGCTAGCAAATGTAAACCCAAATGTAAAAAAAAAAAAATGTATAATCCCAGGCTTATTACATACTGAGGCTTATTATTCAGTAACTACAGAGACTTGATTTACAGCTTTTGTTTTTACAGTGGAAAACTTCCACTTCTTATATGTTAAATAACCCCTTATGATAAAGGGTTAATGAACAGTCACCATGTTATTCTAAAACAATGGAGTAAGAAGGACACAGTACCTGTTTAGCTAGGATAGGTTAGCAGTCAGCTACCAGCTCGTTCCTCAAAGTGGAGCTTGAATTGTAAAAAGCGGAGATCTCGGCAGATTTCGGGAGGCATGTTTGACAGCTGATAATAATGCCCTTTTTTTAGTTCATTTGAAAACTAATGAAGAGGACCGTTTAATAAAGTATGCTCCTCATGCGTAATGGTAACGATCTCCTCTAAATTGAATCTTTCTAAACTCATCAGGGCTGAAGTGTTTTTGGGAGCTGCTCTGTTTTGATTGGCTCTCAGAACAGTTTTTGTTTTTAATTTAACCGGCTTTCTTCTACTTGTTTTATGACCTGAAACACACATTTATAGCAATGTAAAAGTACTTTATTAGAAATTAACTCAAGTAAAAGGAAAAGCACTATGATTTAATTCTACCACAAAAAAGTACAGTTACAGGGAAAAATGTCTTCAAGTTCATTACTTCACACCTTTGCCTTTATCTGGTTAAGACCTAGAACTCATTCCTGCATTGCTCTATTTTGATTGGAAATTGATCGTCTTTTTAGTCTATTTAAGAGTAGCTCATGGGTTCGTTTCTCTTCGTCTAATTGGATGATAAATCTGATCGTTTGCTCTGATTGGCTGGTTATGCACAGGTACTTTCTCTATCCTCGCTATCATGGTCGGCACCGTGATAAATGATGTGGAGTTTGCAGACAACAGAGCGGAGAGAAATGAGAACGATGCTGAGATGAACAGAGTTGTTTTAGCCGCTCAACTGACCGTTCTGTGTGGATTAATACAGGTGAACAAAGACATGGTTATACTTTACCTGATTATCCTATACTTAAGAACAAATGGATTTGTTTTTATGTCAAGTCTGATATTATTACAATTTATATTATTATAGTATTAAAAATATGAAAGAATGCTGACTGCCAGTCCTCTCTCTGTAGATCCTGCTGTGTATGTTGCGCTGTGGAGGAGTGTGTCGGTGGCTGTCTTGGCCGTTGGTCAGTGGGTACACCACCGCAGCTGCGATCCATGTGACCATACACCAGGTCCCTTTACTAATGGGCATCTCCACACACACACACAGAGGATTTCTGACCGTGGCCTGGGTGAGACACATCACCATATATAAGACATAAAACAGACTTGCCAGGCATAGTGTATGCTTTAATGCAATACCGACAAATGTTTAAGTTGTTGGTGTTGTGTCTGACTACTACACTAACCTTCAATTTGTGTATGTGGGATTCAGATGTTCATGGATGTTTTGTATCGAGTCACTGAAGCATCGCCTGGGATACTAGTGGTCTCCTCTGTTTCCATGGCGATCCTTGCAGGAGGGAAAATATTGAACTCTCGGCTTAAAGGCCGTTTACCTATGCCCATTCCCTGGGAATTACTGCTGGTGAGTGTGTACACACATATTGAGCATTAGCATAGATTATCCTGCCTCCTGTATGCAGTGAAATGTTCAGAATCGTCTGGGACATTATAGCTACTCTGTCTCTGCTCTCTCTAGGTTATTTTGGCCATTGTGCTGTCAGAGCAGTTAGATTTGCCTGGACGGTATGGTGTTCAGACAGTGGGGACGATACCCACAGGGTGAGGTGTGTGTGTGTGTGTGTGTGTGTGTGTGTGTGTGTTTGTGTGTGTGTGTGTGGTGTGTATGATTTTCATTTGCCTGTATTTCTTCATCTATGAATTTAAAGGAGAATTCCACTGATTTTTCAAGAGATGCAAACAAATTACTCAGATTGTTTTGATGTGAAATATTATATTTCACATCAACTTATTAGATGTCTTTACAGTGGTGGTGATAGAAACCAGGTGTCACAATATTTACAGCACAAATATAGCCATTTTGGCTATATGCTGGTCTCCATACCAATGCAGAAAAGTCTCACCTAGCTAGTAGCTAACGCAAAGGCAAAGAGAAAGTTTTAAGAGGAACATAGATCATTTGGAGACGAATGGACTTATTTGCATTTATAATCACTCCAGCTGGTTTCCTGATACATTTAATCTGCAACAAGAAACTGTTAAACACTAAAAAGTCACAAAGCTGAAGTCTGTTTCTCAATCAATTTGTCCCGTTCCACCTTAAATGTTGCAGCAGTTACATTCTGGCACCTCAAGCACCATGTAAGAAAAAAAAAGTTGAACGTTAAGAGACATTTTACAAGAAACTATTCCACTTTTGAGGAAAACTTTGCTGCCAGAGAAGTGAGAAAAGCAGCTATAGTTGAGCTAAAGCTTAAAGCAGATCAAAGTTAGTCTGTGTTTTCGATTTTTTTTTCGTCTACACTAGGACATTAGTACATACTGAGACATATTTACAGCCAGGATGGTAAAACGTTACTTAAATAAAAGAAACTTCTCTAAAATTAAGTATTTCACACAAAATCAATCTGAATTAACAACCTAATTATGCAGAAAATCTGAAAAATTATTACCCTTTAAATGTCAAAGATTAAAGTGCTACTTTGATGAAAAATCTAATTTACACCTTACCCCAAATATAGCCAATTAGTTAAGACATGTTTTATGTCTGAATTTTCCTTTTTTTAATTTTGCACTACAGCTCTATAGCTGTGACGCTAATGTTACTAACCAGCAATAGACGTTTGTCTAGAGTTTTGTGTACATTAGGTCCAGTATAAAACTAAAGAACTTCAATCAACAAACAGGTTGACTGACTACATTTGGAGTAAGTTGGAAGTTAGATTTTTCATCAAACTATGACTTTAATACTGTTCTTACGAGTATCAGTAAAAGGTTTGAGACAAATCTCTCTGCTTGTCATCTTCTCTCTCTCTCTCTCTCTCTCTCTCCTCCTCTCTGCCAGTCTCTCTGCTCCAGCTCTCCCTACGCTCTCTCTGTCTAAGGAGTTGCTGCTGCCTGCTCTAGCTCTCGCCGTCGTAGGTTTTGGGTTAAATGCCTCTCTGGGCACCATGTACGCCCTTAAACATGGGTACCGCTTCCATAGCAACCAGGTAACCTTTCCTTTCACACCTGTGTGTCACATTTTCCCCAGTCTGTCTCTGTTTCTGTCCCTTTCTGTTTCTGCCCCAGACTTGTCTCTGTAACTCCAGCCATGTGCTTTTGTTTTTTTTTGTTTCGTGTCTAGTTTGTTCCTTTCCTTGTTGTGCATTATTCCATTCTCTGTTATGGTCCCTTATCATGTTCCTCACCTAGTCACTCTCTATGTCCCTCTCTTTCCCTATCACCATCTCTGTCTCTGTGCTTTTTCAGTCAGTTGTTGTTTACTGTCCAGATCCCTGTCTGGTCTTTTACCCAGTCCTTTGTCCAGTCACTAGCCCTGACTTTTGCCCAGTCTCTCTTCCAGTTCCCCTTTCAGTCTTCTGTCAACCTGCCATGTCATGGTTTATACTGTATTTATTGTGCCTTCTTGCTCATCCCCGATTCTGACCCGTAGTGTTCTCTCTTCCCTGTAGGAGCTGCTGGCTCTGGGGGTGTGTAATGCAGTTGGTGGGCTATTTCAGTGTTTTGCTGTGAGCTGCTCCATGTCCCGCAGCATGGTCCAGGAGAGCACTGGAGGAAAGACTCAGGTCAGAAAACCTTCCCCTATTCACACTTTATGAACAGAACACTAACTCAAGCATCATTTACATTTTCTCAAGAATGTCCATTACGGATTGGAGAATATATTTTTGAAGGCAGGGCCAGGCCTTAGAAGACCTTAGAAGACATTCTGTTGACAGTGTAGGTTCAAATTTTTCAAAATGTGTTTGCAATACAGCAGAAATTTTATTAGAAGTTGAATTTTATAAAACGTTTTTGTTTACATTTTGTCTCGCATAAAAATGATCTGTTAGGTTTAGACCAGTTTTGGCATTGAAAAGAACAAAAAAGTCAGAAAGGCAGACGTAAGACTGTCAATATAGAATGTAATACTAATTATTAGTTATTAATAATTACTTACAGTATGTAAAAATACAGCAGTTCATTTGTTCAAAAAATAAAACACATTTAAATGAACAACAATTTGTGATTTGATAATTGGCTTGATACCATAAACATTTTTAAAGCTCTCCTTGAGGAAGCTTTTTTTATTTTTATTTTGTTTTACAGTCACCTTCAAACACCTGCTTCAGCTTATCAGTGCTGCTGGTGGAATTTCATAAATCTGTACAATGGCTGAAGTGCTGCGAGAAGTCAGGAACCAAACCTGTGTTCTTCTAGCTGTACTCTTTTAAATATCATATTAATTACTTTTTTAGAAAAAAACTTAGAACTGTATTTATGTTTATATGTTTTCATTCTAATAGTATATATTGTTTTTCCTAGCAAAACTGGCAACCTAAAGCCAAGATAAATAGTTGTAAAACATTTTCACAGCACTGGTGGTAATTATTACATACTTTATGTACGCGATTATATTTAAATCGAATGGCAAAACAGCAGTAACTCCAGACATTTAAAGGGTTAAAGCAGTCAATCATAAAGTTCAAGTAAAGTTGAACCTCAGCGGGCCTAGTAAACATCTTTATTTTCATGAAGAATGGTGGGATAATAAATTCATAGCAAAAATATACAGGATAGATCTGGATTTTATACAGAGTTCTAAGGCCCACATTAAAACAGTGGGTTTGGCCACAGTCTGGGTGTTCCATGGTCCATGATGTCCACAAAGGAAACTGCCTATCACGTGGCATCTGTACCTGTTTTCATCTGCCAGCTGCACAGTCAGGTCCCATTTTAACTCTTAGCTACTTTAGCTGCTAAAAACAGAAAGCCTGTCTATACACAACTGCACGCATACAACAGCAGGCACAATCACTGACTAATGAACTTTATCAGTACAGTAGTGGATCATTTACAGCCACAGAGCCATTATCAGCAAAGATAAAGAACCACAGAAACCTGAACTGTAGATGCAAATTGGAGATAAGCACAGTAATGATTTAGTCATACTTTATCACTGCTGTAAAAAACATGAAAATGGTAACTTTACATGAGAAGGAAAAATGTACTTAAATGTTAATGTAAATAACTTTTTATTTCTGTTGGTCCATTCATCATGAAATATTCACACATTGTTTTCAAATAAAAAAAAACAAACTCTTTATTCCTCAGACTCTACATGTTACGCAGACAGCACTGGTTATAGTCTGTTTTGAATCATGTTCTTATTGCAGTTAAATGAGAAGAGTGTTGAACTCTTAACCATGCTAAAAGGGTACTTACCCCAAAGATGCTAATATGATGCTAACATATAATGAAAGAATTCTACTAAGGGACCAATGGGAATCAGTTAATATGATCTTCTTTGAGTAATCTTAATTGAGCAGTACTTAGCAAAAGTGTGCTAACAATTTTTAAAGTATCTTTTAAACACATCATAAAAATATATCCTACATATATTTTGCATTTTACGCTTACACTTACGACATTTGTGTGCATTTATGTAAGTAATACAGTTGTAATTCATTTTTTTCCAACTTCTCTTTATCCCTCTAGAATTAAACAGACTTTTATGTTCCTGTAAGACTAATATACATATAAATGATCTCTCTTCTGACTGGTTGCCCTGTGTTGTGGCTCATAAAAATACAGTCAGCTGAAGTATTCCTTCTAAATACAATGTGAGTGGGTGGAGCTAAACCATTAGAGGCTGAATAGGTGGATGCTGTGGATTTTGAGACATCACAAAAATAAGGAATTCAAAAACAAGCTGCTTCGGTGGGAATGGTAAGAATGGTTAAACCAGTGTGGCCATTAAACTCCTATATTTTTTTAAAAATGTTACGAGAATTTGTTTTTCCATTATATTGTACTATAAAATCTGATCTTCTCAAAACACTGGAGTGGTTAAATTGCTCTCTCTCTCTCTCTCTCTCTCTCTCTCTCAGGTTTCAGCTCTGGTATCTGCTTTGCTTATCTTGGCAGTTCTGCTGAAGTTTGGACCGCTATTTGAAAAGCTTCCAAAGGTAGTTACGTCTTCTGCTGAATATTAGCAGGAATGTGTTATGGAGGAAACGGAAGAGATTTGATAAGCTGTGTGTGTGTGTGTGTGTGTGTGTGTGTGCGTGTGTGCGTGTGTGCGTGTGTGTGTACAGGCGGTCCTGGCTGTGATCGTTTTGGTGAATCTGCAGGGGATTTTTGCTCAGATCAAAGACGTGCCAAAACTCTGGGCTACAGATCGGCTAGATTTAGTGAGAATTTCACTCATCCACCTATCCATGCATCCATTTATCCATTCACTCACCCACACATCCATCCATCTGTTCATCCATCCATCCTTCCATCCATCTATCCATCCATCCATCGATACATCTTCCTGCCTATTCCATTAAATTTGTTTTAACCCCTTGAAACCAAGGCTTATTGTTCAGTTATTAATCTTTAGACTGTTATTCAGCTATTAATTTTTAGTATTCAGTAACTCCTATAAATATAATATGAAAGTTATGTAGTCATGAAGTGAGGAATTGAAGTGTAGGCCCACACAGGTTCCCTGAGTTTCATTTTTTTTTTTATTTTGCTACCACACCATTATCCTGCATATGTAAGGATAAACAGTACAAAAAAACTGCTGTAGATTTAAATGTACGTTAACCCTTAGAAACCTAAAATGTTGGGGATTTTTTTTGGTATTTTCTGGGTCAATTACAATTGCAATTATAAAGTATTTACATGTAACAGTTACACATGCCACATGTTGTTATTTTCAGGAAACCCTGGGCTACTCAGATATGCCATTGTTTGACAGGTAAATGCTAACAGAAATTTGATATCTTTATGAATTTGGGTCGTTTCTGATCAAAAATTTACCCAGCGCCTGCTAAGGTTTGGATTTTTTTTATAATTGATATCTTGAAAACAAGTGCACTTGTAGTTATCTTTTCAGAAATTGTTAGTCTGGAGTGTCTGTGAGCTGAAAGTGCAATAATTTTGATGGTGATTCATTCATTGGTTATTATGAGTAAAACTAAACAATTAGCATGAGCCGGACATGTTTTTTTATTGATTTTCTGTCCTCTTGGATTCATGCTCAGTGCTAAAACTCTGATACACAGCAAGAAAGGCTTTATTTTTAATTATAAATTGAGTTGCATATTTAATATTAGATATTTTTAATACTCAAAATCAATGTAAACTGAAAGCCCTTTGTTTATAATATGAAGGCTTAAAACAGAGATGTAATATAACAGTAGGGAGTGGGTTTTGGGTGATTTTAGAGCTGTATTTCTGGCTGATGGATGAAGTCACTCTGGATTGTAAGGGCAGAGTCTGATGAGTGATCTGATGTGTGAATCATGTCGCTGTTTTAACCCTTTGTTGGAATATGAAGGCCAAACAGCAGAGCAATAATATCAGGATTTTAGGTGATTTTCAGAGCCAAATTACTCACTCATGGTGACATCACCACTCAATAACATGCTTGCTAGTTAGGGGGGGTCTACTGAATGTCCTGAGATGTGTGTCTTGTCTGTAGCTTAAACTGTTCTGAAGTTATGAAGGCTAGAATTGACCTACCATTTTGCCCGCAGATTGCGGTCTCCGCATCCCTTAAATGGCCAGAGCCCACCAGTGGGCCCAAAGTTTTGTTACACACTTCTATAACATAAGAATAGCTAAGCCAGTTTGCACTGAAGTCCCTGTAGTTACTGAGTAATAAGCCTTAGTATGTAATAAGCCTGAGATTTTAAGGGGTTGTGACATTTTGATATGACAGTGATGAAGTGAATTTGAGATCTAATGCTGCAATCATGCGTATTTTTGAAAACAACCAAACATGCATTCATTCATCCATCCTTCTCTCCATCTTCATAATCACCCAATTATCACACATTCCTCTTCTCTCCTGCTCTGCAGTTTCTGAGCCTGTGTGTTTTTGTGTGTAGTTGGTGTGGTCAGTGTCCCTGCTCTCTGCTCTGTTGTTGAATCTGGACGTGGGGCTCGGAGCTGCTGTTGTGTTTTCCCTCTTCACCGTCGTCTTCAGAACGCAACGGTGAGTAGGATTCACTCATTCATTATCTGATTCTGTTTATCAAGGCATCCATCCTTCAGGCATTCATCCTCCATCCTCTCTCTGTCCAGTCCTAGGTTTGCTGTTCTTGGGGTCATCCCTGACTCTGACTGTTACAGAGATGTGAGAGTGTACTTGAAGGTAGAGTGAAGAACTAAAGTGTTGGCCCACCTACAAATGTTTGCAGACATCAGATTTGTTGTTGTCTGTCCTTATACATACAATCATATGCAGAAGTTTGACCATCCTAGTCAATTTATGTGTTGTGTTGATCTTATTTTATAAGTGAAAAGAAGTCACGCCATTTACTGATTTATCTATTTTTGCCAATTTTTGTTGCTGAATTCTATTTATTTGCTTAGTTAAACATACTGGAAATAAATAAAACATGAAATACAAATGTGCTGTTTTGTTTTTTTTTTACCAAATGAAGTAATGGTGCATTCAAATGTAAGGAATTGTGTTCTCTGTACAGGATATGTATTTATCTTTACTTTGAAACTTTTGCATACAACAATTTCAATGTTATTCATTATAAACTACGTTAATAATATCATATGCTGCACGCTCCAGCCCTCGTAATGCTCTTGTCTTTGTAGGTGAAGCAGGTTCCTGGAGTGACTGTGTTCTCCTGTTCAAATCCTTTGTACTTCGCTAACACTGATCTTTACTTCAGATCACTGAGAGAGGTACATAAACACACTTATTCATGACTAGCTCTACATCTGTAAACTCCTAGACTGTTTCTTTTACTCATTTCATGCTATTTGTGTGTTGTAAAGGCTGTAAAGACAGGTTTGAAGGAGAACCCTACAGTAAGTCCTCCAGGCCAGCAGGGTGCAGTATCTCAACACTGTGTCATTCTGGAACTGAGCAGCGTGTGCTTTATGGATTCAACCTCCATCAACATGTTCAGAACTGTGAGTGCTTCAGAGAGGTTTCATCAAATAAGGGGAGACGGCAGATCTCTACTGGTTTTGGAGAAAAGCGTAACACTCAGCCAATAAAATCAGACTTTGTAGGTCATAAGCCAGTCAGATCTAACCTTGACACCAGTGAAGCTCTACCAAGTTTTACGAATAGTTCTCTTCAGCACCGGCAAAACTGTCTCAAATGTAGTGCTGTGTCCCAAATGGTCGCCTAATCACTTTACTCTACATTAGAAAATCTAGATCACGGTGTAGAACACTATTACAGGGAACAGATTTCATGATGGTAGTAAATGATTTTGGACACTATACAGTTTGTTCATTACTGTATGACAGCAGATTCTGTTACATAAACACTATAAATATACTGCTGAGTTTGACTGCACACAAGCTTACTTACATCTGTAACAGGTCTGTAAAGAGGTCTGTAGAGACATTGTCATTGTAGCTGTGCTCACTAGTACAGGGGTCGGCAACATGTGGCTCTTTTCCTGCCCTGTTGCAGCTCCACAGCAAAATTAGATTTTTAGGTAAAAATAACGTTGAAGTCAATGTAGCCTATATCTGCTAATTCACCAGTGTTTAACCCTGAAGATTGGCGTGCAGACTGCTGATCACCATAGAAACACAGACAACAGTCTTGTCTAGCTAGTAGCTAACGAAACGGCAAAGAGAAAGATTTAAGACGAACCCCAATAATTTGGAGACGAACGGACTTATTTGCGTTTGTAAGCAGTCCAGCTGGTTTCCTGATATGTTTAACATGCAACGAGAAACTGCCAAATGCTAAAAAGTCGTGAAGCTGAAGTCAGCGTCTCGTTCACCAGCTTCTCGTTTGAATTTTTCCTGTTCCACCTTAAATGGCACCTCATTCTGGCACCTCAGGCACCATTTAAGATGGAACAGAATAATTCGAACAAGAAGCTGGCGATTGAAAACCTGATTTCAGCTTCATATTTTCATTTTACAAGAAACTGTTCTACTTTTGCGGAAAGGTTTCCTGCCGGTGATGCGAGAAAAGTGGCTATAGCTGAGCTATATTATGTTTTCAGACTATACTAGTACATTAGCACAAACTGAGACATATTTACAGCCAAGATAGTAGAATGGACGTCAAATGTTGTGGCTCCCAAGGTGGTCTGATTTTTGTTGGAAGGACAAAATGGTTCTTCTTAACATCTAGGTTGCCGACTTCTGAACTAGGGAATATCAGCTGTACACTACTGGTTGCAGTGCATTATTAGAGTGCACTGGATCTTCTGCACTATGTTTTCAGACACCACTACAAAATGGCGGAACCCCCAAATAGTGCACTGGTGAAAAGGATACAGTTTTAGACACAACTTGCATTACTAGTTTAAAAATCATCACTTCAGAAATCATTAGTTATCACTGTTATTCCAATCCACCAAAATACTGATAACCACAAACTAAACAGCTGTTTAGCACTACATAGAAGTGTCCTGCTCCTATAACTAATCTTAATAGCATATTTGCCAGAGCCACTGTAAGAGATCTTTTCTGGCCTATAGCGTCTGCTACTGTCCGCTACAAGCTGCTTTGTAATGTGAACATGCCTTTTTTTACTGTCCAAAAATTGTCAAATAAAATCAAATGCATGGGAAAATGGGCACAGTTTGGAAGTTTGCTAGCTTGCCAGTTAAGCTAAGTGTGAGATACTTTGCCCAGTGCACATCCTCTACAGAGAGCACACTTCTGCACATTTTAATACTTAATTTGCTGAATTTAAAATATTGGAAAAAGAATAGAATATAAAGTGGCCTGTGCAAAAGATATGGCATGTTTTTATGGGGTTTTTTTTCAGTATGTTAAATTGTGCAAATAAACGAGTAATTACGCACTAAATTTGACAGAATGTTTAATTTTCTGACCTGTAGAAGATATTTTACTTATTTTCACTTGGAAAATCAACAAAGCATACAATTTGATAATGAATGTTCAAACTTTTGCATTTGACTATACGTGTGTTTCTGACTGTTTTTCTGACAAAAAACAACAAATGAGTAAATAAATAGAAACACAGAATTCTCTACACAGACATGTTCTATAAATCAAAACACTTCATCACATAACAAGACACATGATAAAAAAGCCATGATATTACCTTTCATACTTTCTCCGTCCCTGTCTCTATGTGTGTGTGTGTGTGTGTGTGTGTGTCAGGTGGTTGAGGATTTTAAGGCTAGGCAGACCTCCCTCTTTCTTGCTGCGTGTCCAGGTGAATCTCACTCACTAACATATGCATTAAGGCACTAACTATCAATTCAAATGTAATGAATATGCATTTTTAAGGGTTTAAAATACATTTTCATCACAGGTTTATATGATGCCCTGCTGATGATATCCCATATTAATAATAATGCATGGCTACGCCTCATTAAGGTGTGGGAAAGAGATAATTAAGTTGTGGCCATGACTTAATAAGGCGTGAAAACCAGATCATGCCTTACTAAGCTGTGGCCACACATTAGAATCTCATTCCCATGCCTTACTAAGTCACGGCCATGACTTAATTATCTTGTTCCCACACCTTACTGAGCTGTGGCCATGCATTATTTTTTATTTATAAAGGATGTCACTAGCAGAGCTCAGTAGGTTAATGATTAAATGCAAATGAGCTCTCTTTCTAAGACAAATACAAATAGTGAAGTTGATGCCTATGTACCAAATGATTTCCCAAACAAATTCTTTTCATTTAAATTAAACGAGAGATGTTTGTATACGACTGTAGACGTGTGTGTTTCTGTAGATTGTCTCTTCTCTCAGCTGAAGAATCATGGTTTAGTTCCAGACTGTTTGGCGAGATGCTGTTTTTTCCCCTCAGTGCACCATGCTGTTCAGCACTGGCAGCAAATACAGGTGAGTTTGTGTGTGTGTGTGTGTGAAGAGTGCATGTGCGTATGTGTGGGTATGTGGCACAACACTCCTTTGTGTTTTGTGTTGCTGAGTTTTTGTGTGTCTCTGTCAGTACATGGTGTTAATCATTGTGCACCTGTTCCAAAATCCAATTTTGTTCTCTGCTTAATGAACTGTTCCCTATAAATCTGTCACTTTTCTGGGAATCACGTGTCCTCTGATAATGTCTCTGCTTCTGGTATACAGACTCGGACCTGCTGACCTCTGACAAATTCATCCCTCATTCCTGCAGATGGACTGGATTGACCCTTCAACTTTGTCCTAAATGGAGATCCCTCTGCTGATGTGTTTACTGGAAAGCTTTTGTACAAACTAAATGTATAATCTCATGTTTAAGATTAGTTCCTTTTGAATGAAGTATGTTTTAGTGTGCTCTGTTAGTATTTAAAACAATGGTAATGCATTCATTTATTTTGACTAATAAACTTCCTTTTCCAGAGAAATAAACTGTTCCAGTAGCTCTGTTGTCATGTGCTTTACAGTCAGCTGTGTAATTAGTTGCACATTAATTTGTTCTGCAATTTTGGACAAACTCATTGATACAAGCCTCCATCAAGATGTTGTCACATTACAGGAAAACTCCAGTGCTTTTCCCGATATAGATTCTGCTGTATCTGTAACGTAAAGTTTATTACCACAGAAAATAGATGTTTTTTGTGGTTAAAACTAAAAGAGGTAGCATTACTGTGTTAGAAGGAAAAAAAACACATTAACATATGATGTGCATGCTCTGCTGCAAAGCACCAGTAAAGCCTGAAACAATAATTTAAAAATCAAAGGTCTCGGGTCAGAGTTTGTAGCTAGAGTTTGGAGGTTTTTGTAGCATGTCATACATTTTTACATATTAATGTCAAACACGCAGGCTCAAAAAGAAGGTTTGGCTCGATGTTATGTCTGAAGTGCAAAATCAACATTATACTGATGAAGATATGATGACAATAGTGGATCGTTCACTTACATCCTCAGAAAACATGGCCTGTTTTGACTGAGTTCTCTTTGAATACTCAACATTTTCAACATGCTCACAATAATCACATTCATTTGCTAGAGAACAGAAACATAGTCCAAAACACAACCAGCATTACAAAATGTTCTTCTACATGTTATGTACATTTTTTCTTGTCTTTTTTTTTAAATATATATTTGAAATACATGTAGTTGGGAGTGGGCTTCACACATACAAGAAACATCAGTGTTATGATAATACCACCCTCATTAGAGAAATAAAATTGTTTTTTTTTCCATTAGCATCAACTGTTATTCTTTTCAAAAACTTGCTAAATCCATAAGTCTTCCAAATGGATGTACAGCACTTTGGAATTAAACTCTTACACATCCCCAAATTCCCAAAACTTACATAGTGTAACTTCATGTATAGGGAAATTATTTTCTGTGATAATTGATCATGTTCTACTGATGCAGCAGGTGAAGGTAAGTTGAAGAACACTGGAGTATTCCATACAGAGTCAAGAAAAACATTCGTCAATATACAGCATACAGCAAAACAAAAACAATGTTCCTCCAGGGTAATACAAGACAGGGTTTCACACAGTGTGAGTACTAAAACAGTGTAGAATGAAGGGACTTTCTACACATAGTCAGTGAACCCTCAGGGCCTTCTAAAGATTTCTGGGATTTTCCAGTATTTTCCAGTTCGTTTTATTTGACAGAGTCATCATGCTTGTTGTATTTAAACTCTGCACATATTGTAGAAATATTTATATTTCATCATTGAATTTTGGTTGGAAATAATAGGTTTAAAATCTTCAAATGCCCATTGCAAAATCGACCAATCAGGATTTAGTTCCCTATAGTTATCTAGGTAGATACAGCCATGTGAGCTTTCCCATTGATTAGCCCTTCAAGAGCTGGACAGAGGATTAACTGCCAGTATAATTGGTAAGTGACAGATCAGATTAACTATCAGTATAATTGGTAAGTGACAGATCAGATTAACTACCAGCATAATTAGTAAGTGGCAGATCAGATTAACAACCAGCATAATTAGTATTTGACAGATCAGATTAACTACCAGCATGATGAGTATGTGGCAGATCAGATCAACTACCAGCATGATGAGTATGTGGCAGATCAGATCAACTACCAGCATGATGAGTAAGTGGCAGATCAGATCAACTACCAGCATGATGAGTAAGTGGTAGATCAGATTAACTACCATCATAATTAGTAAATGGCAGAGCAATCAGCCAATCATGTTCATATTTAAAATGGATTGGGCAGAATTCATGACGAAAAACATCACTTCAGACATTCTGGAAGTCCTAGATATATCACTGATGACTCTGAGCAGTAGTTCACCAGGTTTCAGTTGATTTTAGGAATGGAAACCAGTGGCAGCTCAAAGCCAGGGCTCTTTTCTGATGTAGTGACTGTAAAACTGCTACATACAACTTAAAATATATGTAAATTTCTGTTACAAACTTCAAACTAAAAAAATGGAATTTGTTTTTTAAGCCTTAATTATGCGTGTCTAATCTAGGACAGCACTAGTGTTATCTTAGTGCTACCATACTATTAGAAATCCTATAGGGTGGCTAGCAGGATTAGCATTGGAGTAAAGGTTATTTGTTACATTTATGAAACAAAGTGAAGGCCTAGCTTCACTAGGCACAGTTTAAGTAAAGAAGCGTAATACACTAAAGTCAAATGCAATTTAAGTAGATGTTGCTTGTATTAATGAAAAACAAATCTTAAGGCCCAACAATAAATGAAGTACAACTAATATACATAAGAACAAAGTATGAGACATAGCAATAATGATGTTTACCGTCCAGAGAAAGTGGTTATCAGTTCATTCTCGTCAACGCAAATGAACGCTCTAATAAATCAAGCGTGGCCTTATATCAGAATGCACGTTAGTGGGTGTGAGGTACCCAAGAAAGAGTTCTCAACTCCAAGTAACAGTCACTGTTTTATGCTGGAATGTGTCTTTTAATGAAATGTGCCTGGGCTCATTTAATGCTTCCCATCATTATAATCAGGTGTAGATAGATTGATTATATGCATAGTTGGTAAGATTGTGATAAAGCACTGACTTTATGGAATCAGGCAGTGCTACGAAGTGAAATATTATCTCTTAGTAAATTTTGTATTCTTAAAAAATGCCATTGCAATGTTGTACAGATGTACTGATACCTATTGATTCACATCCAGTGAAGACAGGCCTGCTATGCTTGAGATAAATGAAGTATTGGCAGCCGTTACTGCAGTCTTTGCCTCTAAGAACATGAGTGCAGTGGGTTGGGTGTTATTAATGATTGGCAAGCACAAAGCAAACCTTGTCCTCATATCTGCCCTGATTAATAATAATCACACACACATGCAAACACGTCTTATAAACAGCCCTAATTATCAGTTGTAAATGAATACATCAGTTTCAGTAAAGCTTATTCACACTGGAACCTCCCTACAATTAACAAATGATGACGCTGATGGTGATAACAATCCTCATACTTGTTTTTAATCCTGCTCAATGTTGTTTTGGCTGTAGTGGTTACAGGATGATTTTACAAGGAAGTGAATAAATAACCTAGATACAAACAGAAATATTCTTATTGGTTCATTTTCTGATGAGCACTTCAAGAATTTAGCCTTTTTGTTTTCTACCAAAAATAAACAATGAAATGAAGTTATTTAATAAAAACTTTACAGACATCATTAAATCACTAGGCCTAACAGGCCCTGAGGCTTCCTCACTGTTAAATTAGACTATTGAGATAGTTTGCGGTGAGAAATTATGAGTGTGACATTTCACAACAAGCTAGAGATAATAAATGATGCTTCATGTTGCACCATTTAAAGCTCCTGGAACTGAGAGGGGAGTCAAACTGCAGGGTTCAAGGTGAAAGAAGGGTCAAAGTGCATATTTGGGTCATTTAGCAGGGTAACTAAACAGTTGTATTGCTAACTGTGCACAGAGCTGTGGAAATGGTCAGCCCACTCTATCTAGTATCGATCATTTACTCCGAACCAAGACCAATTATGTGGTCAGCATGCTGGTTAGAAAGCCAAGTGTGAGAAAAATAGTACATGATGTCTCCAAGCGGCATTAAGAACCTGATAGAGCAGAACTACCATGAAGGGAATTCCTATCTAATCAAGTAAAGATAAGACTACTACGGACTCCAAGATCCAGCCCCTTAGGCTGTCTGTCTGTCTGTCTGTCACTCTATCGTTCTCTCTGTTCTTTCTCTATTGCAACCCTCCTTCTATTGGATGTGAGACTTTGCTCTTTAGTCCGGAGACTCTGGGAACAAATCTCTGCGCATGTGGACCACATTAATAGCAGACAGGAGAGGATATACATTAACGAGGGAGTCTAAAGACACTAAGAGAGACAGAGAGATGTAGAGAGGGTCACAGCTTTTCTGTGCAGGATAACAAACATCAACGACTCATTCAAACTCAAACTGATAACTATAGAACTTTTTCATTTAATCTTAAATCTTGAAAACAGCATTAGTTCTTAAAGGATCTCTTTGCTGAGTTCATGATAGTGATCTAGATAGGGATCTAGACTTTTCCACGTGGTCTGCTAATCTACTGCTGAGGGCTAATCTTCACTCCAGAAGACAGATTTTCATTTAGAGATCAAACTAGTAGTAGAGCCGGTGTGGACTGTTTGAGGTGAGAACCACTGTTTGCATCGTCTGTTTTTGAAAGACACCACAGAAGCACCTGAAGGTCCTCAGACAGAAAAGAAGGAAGGCTGTGAAGGAACAACAGCACTGAAAGCAAGATGGGGGAGATGGAGAACAGAAGAAGGGTGGGATACCTCATCCAGCGGGACGTCATGGATGAAATCGAAGTCGATTCTGTGGCAGAAAAATCAGAAGTCAAAACTTCACTTTCGGAGAAATTCAAGGAGTCCATGAGGTAAGATCAGCAATTATTAGGGAGGCACAATGAAATCAGAAACTCATCGTATTGGAAGATAAATTATCAGCGTTGGACAGTTTAGATGTTTAGATTTTACCAATGTTTCAAACGGGGCTCCTGTGCTAAAATATCTGTATTTTATTCATTTTGCTGGATTCGCAACCTTCGGCATCAGCAGATGTATTAAAAATATATCAGATATGTGGGCCCATAATTTCCATAACGGTGCATCCCTAGAGATTATTATCATTAAGAGTGGAAAATTCTGGACTTAGGGCTAAGATTAGGGTTATCATCTCCATCTCACAGTGATTTGGGAGAGTTTTTACTTGTCTATTTGTTTATTTTGTTCACTTTTAATTGGTAGGTGGTTCGCTACACACATAGGTGTTAAGCCAAACTTCTTGTTATTATAAGAACTCCAGAACACTCTTAAAGGTCCAAACAGGGCCCTCTACACAATGCCATAGAAGAACCACTTTTGGTTCCCTAAAGAACCTTTCAATGGAGGGTTCTTTAGAGCAATATTAGTGTGAGTGCAAAAGCACCTTTGTAAAGTCCCAAGAACCTAGAAAGAATCTTTAAATTGAAATAGAATTTTTTACATTACGCCTTTAAAAAGTAGTTGTTGAAGGGTTCTTTAGGAAAGGCAATGGTTATATATAGAACAATGAACACTCAAAGAACCATTTGAATGTGTAAATGGTTCTTTGCTCAGTTAAGTGGTTCTGTTGTATATGGCAGTCGACCCCCAGATGATCCACATTTTTGCTCCATCTTTATATGTTGCGAGTTGGGTTGGAGCAAGTTTGGAGGTCCCTGAGAACCAGTTTGAGAACCACTGGTATCATTCTTTAAACAGCCTTTATGGTTCTATAAAGTACTAAAAAGTGTTATTGTTACAACAAGGTCCTTTATACCTTTAAAAGTTCTTCACACTGACACATCTCCTTTTCAAACATGATGCTTTAATGAGCCAAAAGTGGTTCTTCTACACACTTAAAAATGATGGTTCTTTAAGGGTTCTTCAGTTAAGAAAATGGTTCTATATAGAACCATGAACACTCAAAGAACCCTTTTAAAGTGTTCTTTACATTGTGAAAGGGTTCCTCAGCTCTATGGAGAATGTGTTGTAGAAACCTTGAAAATGGTTCTCTATAGCACCAAAAGGATTCTTCTATTGCTGCAGGCTTCACATCATAATAATAGAAGAACCCTTTTGGTGCTATATAGAACCTTTTTTAAAAAGCTTCTATATAGAAACATCTACAGCACATTCTCCGTCAACCTTTAATGATGCAAAGAACCCTTACATCATGCAAAGTGTTCTTTGTATGTTCATGGTTCTATATAGAACCATTTTCTTTACTATAGAACCCTTGAAGAACTATTATTTTTAAGAGTCTATGGTATTGCTCAAATGACCCTTTGAGGCACGTTTTTAGCGCTATGAAGGGCCACTAAAGTTAGCTGGTTACTGGGTTGTTTTTCTGTTTATAGTCTTCACTTTGTCAAGGACAAGATACATTAATGTGGCTATTGTGTCGCATCTTTTTTACTCTAATTTTATTCCCTTCATCTTTTGTTTTCAATAAAACCATTAGGCCTCAGGTAATTCTTTATGTCTCAAGGCCAATACTTGGCAACCCTAGCTATGATGCACAGTCCGTTACAGGGAAAAGCCTCTGCCTAGTGTCACAGTGTTCAGATCTGTCTGGCAACTTTTGTATTGGTGTCTGGTCAGTTTCTCTTAGATTAGATTTGAATGTGAAGTTTTTGCCATGATTAATTTTTAATTGTACTGTTTTTTCTTTAGATCTTTTGAAATGTTTCTCACTGTTTGGTGGAATTAAGTCTGACTCTGTGTTTGAAATTCGTCAGCAAATTCGTTTACCCTGCAGAATACACTGGTTTTAAGAGATTAATTACATGAAAGTTGACTGATGCTGTTTTATAATGTATCTCTATAGAATATGCAGAAGCTGACTCAATACATTTCTCTAAGACAAATCTGCTTTTGCTGCACTTTGTAGGAGAGATACTGCTGCACTGTGCTGCTGTTAATCCCCCACAAAACTTAATGTGTTCACTTAATGCACATTTTACGGGTTTGTTCCACTGACAGTGTTTCCACAAACAGATGAAGGACTAAACAGAGAATCCCCCATTGACTATGTAATTTAGCCTGACACCTGAGTTGTTACTGTCTTTCTGCTATACCATCAAAATGCAAATGCATAATCACATAATTAGTTACACAGTTATGTATTAAATTTCCGTTTGATTTACATTCTGTATTGGATCTGCACTTTGGATATTTTCTGTTTCCTGTTTGTTTCTATATCAAACAAAAATGACAAAAATTATGTTTTTCTTTTCACAAAACAAACAACAAGTAACCTTTATTCTAAACTGTATGTATCTAAACTGTTATGCTTGTTTCACTGAGCTAGGATCACTTGTTAAATTACTAAATGCAGCACACTCATGCATTTTGGGTTAATGCCAGACAGTAGGTGAACATTTTGCAACAGTACAGGCAGGAGCAGTGGCTGTATTTACAGTCCATCATTTAATTATTTAAGGCTTCAAGGTCAGTCAGCTTCTTATTAAGAGTGGAATTCTATTGTTTTTTTCAAAGATGTAATATAATTTAATAACTTGAGTGTAAACACTGTCATTTAAATTTGGATTTCTTTACAGTAGTGGTGATAGGAACCTGCGATTGTGATTCATTTACTATCCAAAACGACCAGTGAACTTCTATGTTTCTACATGCAATGTTGATAATAATAAAATAGTAACAAATCTGAAAAAATAAGTTAATATTTTGCCGTACAACATCCTGCATGTACCTCTCCATGACAACTGGCTTTAAAAATATTTATCTTAAACATATTTTAGAATAATGTCTCAGGCATCAAGCTATGAATTTTTTAGAGAGGAAGCATTTAGAGGCATTAAAATTTTAGACGTTTGGTTCCTCTTACCAACACTGTAAACAATTCTGACTCAGTAAGTTTCTCTAACACATAACATTTCACCACACTACTCTGAACGAGTTTGTTTGAGTCTGATCTTAATCTTTGATCTGCTCTTTCATTGTGTTGCTAGCTTGCTACGGTCAAGCCTGCTTACCTTCATGGAACAGTGTTTAATCCTGTTTAATCTTTGATTATTACCATTGCAGTTAGTAGCAATAAAATATAATTTAAAAATTGTGAATTGAGACACTTATGTTTGTGTGTGTGTGTGTGTGTGTGTGTGTGTGTGTGTGTGTCTGTGTGTTTGTTAGGTGCTCTGGTCCTCGTGTGAAGAGCTGTTTTCTGTCATGTGTTCCTCTGCTGTCCTGGCTGCCGCGTTACCCATTCAAACAAAATGTTTTTGGAGACCTGGTCTCAGGAATCAGCGTGGGCATCATGCACCTGCCACAAGGTCACACACTCATTTTTTATTTACTCATCCTCCATTACTGAACACTTGAAACCAGACTGGATTAAGCCATTTTGTTGCCCTAAGCTAAGAGGAAGATTTCATATATCGTCACCATCCAAAGAAAAACATGCATCTCCAAAATAGTAACTTTACAGGAGAAGGCAAGAAATTTAACTTTTAATGTAAGCTAGCATAAAGAAGTTTTATTACAAGTCATTTTAGAGTATTTTTGCTGGTTCATTCCTCATAAATATTTTCACACCATCAAAGGGACCCGCTGCAGTGTTTAAATAAAAAATGACAAAAATGGAGATTTTTTTTGTAAACAGACAATATACTACAGTACTATGCACACATCAGAGTGCTTCAGGGCAGTCCTGGGCTGGAGGTTAGGGAACCAGCCCTGTGACTGGAAGGTCTCCAGTTTGATCCCCTAAGCTGACAGTATGTGACTGAAGTGCCCTTGAGCAAGGCACCTAACCCCCCACTGCTGCCCGGGCGCTGTGGATAGGGCTGCCCACCACTCCGGGCAAGTGTGCTCCCTGCCCCCTAGTGTATGTGGTGTTTCACTGCATGCATGGGTTAAATGTGGAGGTGAAATTTCCCTTTTGTGGGCTAATAAGGGTCTCTTAATCTTCTTTGTTTGATTTGCAATGTTGTCTATTTTCTTTTCTCAATAATGTCTTCATGTTCTTTTCTCAATGCCTCATGTTCTCTATACATTTTGTATACATTTTTGAACTCCAGTTTTGGAAACTACTGTTTTTTTCACTTATTTTCCTTTTGACTTTTCCCTTCCTTGTGCAAGTGAATTAGTTTATATTTAATCTCTGAAACATCTTCTGAATGTGAATAACTTGGCCTTGAATGTAGTTTGATCTCTGACTTTGCACAGTACTGTACATAAAAATGATGAAAGCATAACAAGGTTGCCAACTCAAAACAGTCCTTAAGGATGCATAAACAGACCCATTAAACTGAATGTGTGTGTGTGTGTGTGTGTGTGTGTGTGTGTGTGTGTGTGTGTGTGCGTGTGTGTAGGTATGGCATATGCACTGCTAGCTGCTGTACCTCCTGTGTTTGGTCTCTACTCCTCTTTCTATCCGATCCTCATCTACTTCATCTTCGGGACTTCTAAACACATCTCAGTGGGTACGTACAAACATGTAAACACACAAAACGACTACAGGTTTATCAGATGAGTTGGTAGAAATTGGGGATCTCAGATGACTAATTTAATCCATCGTGATTAATCATTGCTTTGTGTAGTTAATTACACTTAATTGTATTGTTTCAACCAATCACATACATCCTATATACAGTCAATGGTTCTAGCTCCTACACAATCATAGACTTACTCTTATACCGATCTCACATCTTGTTACGAGGAGAATTGGAGCTTCTGTTAGTTTGCTGCTCATTGATTTATCTATAGTTCTCCTGCAAGCACTGTCCAGTGTGGTCTGCTGAAGGCATCCACCAGTCCTAACATTACTGATATTGCTGCATCAGCACTGTGTTTGGCTTACTTAAAACTTGACATCCCTCAGTGATTCATTCACAATAGCAGTAGATGGATTTTTAATTTTAGCAAGAGAGCAATTAGTAGAACTTTATATTTAAAAGCCACATCTAAATGAGGCTACACTGGTGGAGTCATAGCAACAATGTGTGAGCAGCTGGATTTCAGGCTCAAACTACAAATAGTTCAAGGGGTTAAACTAGGATAATTAGCTAACAGCATTAAAAATTAGTGTCAATTAACACGTTAACTTTGACACCACTAGTACCAAGTGCCCATATCTCTGTCTGACTGTGTGTGTAGGTACGTATGCAGTGATGAGTGTAATGATCGGCAGTGTAACCGAGCGCCTGGCTCCAGATTCAGAGTTCATAGTGTGGAGTAATAATACCAACGACAGCTTCATAGACACTGTGGCTCAGAATAATAAGCGAATCGCAATTGCTGCAGCTGTCACCTTCCTCTCCGGCATCTTTCAGGTACGTCTCTCTGTGTGTCTGCACTAGAACTTCAAATATTAATTTGAACCTGTTGGGACCGACCTCTCATTTTCTGTTTGGTATTTTTCAAATATTTGTCAGTTTTGGGTCAGATTTAAATTTCATGTTTGGGTATCTTTTGTACAGATTTTGGCCTGCATTTACCTTTCTTTAGTTTTTCACCCTCTTTTATCTATTCGTCTACCCTTATCACTTTAATAAAACTGAATTTGCTAGGCAGGAGAGGCTGCAAGGTCCATGAGGTTAGCGCTGTCCAGTAATGCTTTCCTTCATTATCTGGGTGGCGCCTTTTGGGTTCTGATCAGGTTCAGACAGAATTTTGTTGAACTATAGTCGGTTTCTGACAAGATTTAGTAGGCCTAAAGTCAGGTGTGAACTGTCAGATTGAAGCTGCTGTCAAATTACAGTCAGATTCAGAATGAATTCTATCAGTCTAAAATCAGATTCAGACAGAATTCTATCAGACTACAGACAGTTTAGACAAAATTTTATCAGACTACAGTCAGATTCAGGCAGAAATCCATCAGACTACAATCAGATTCAGACAGAATTCTATCAGACTACAGTCAGATTCAGACAGAATTCTATCAGACTACAGTCAGATTCAGACATAATTCTGTTGGACTACAATCAGATTCAGACAGATTTCTATTAGACTACAGTCAGAGTCAAACAGAATTCTATCAGACTACAGTCAGATTCAGACAGAATTCTATCAGACTACAATCAGATTCAGACAGAATTCTGTTGGACTACAATCAGATTCAGACAGAATTCTATCAAACTACAGTCAGACTCAGACAGAACTCTATCAGACTACAGTCTGACTCAGACAGAATTCAATCAGACTACAGTCAGATTCAGATACAATTTTGCAGGGTTATATTTAGGTTCAGTCAGAATTTTGTTGGGCTACGTCAGGGTTGGGTTCAGCTTCTAAACTTGTTACTCTGTGTGTGTGTGGGTGTGTGTGTGTGTGTGTGTGTGTCTGTGTAGCTGCTCTTAGGTCTGGTGCAGTTTGGCTTCGTAGTGACGTATCTCTCAGAGCCACTGGTTAGAGGCTATACTACAGGAGCAGCCATTCATGTCATGGTCTCCCAGTTCAAATACATGTTTAAGATCAACCCCCAGCGCTACAGCGGACCACTCTCTCTTATATATGTGAGTATTAACACATTTATGTACATATATGTACATTTTTCCCTTTTCCTCACATGAATGTGATTGTTTGACATTGGCTTAGCTCCCCCTAGTGGTGGGGAGAACATGAGCAACCTGTATTTATTCTCTCTCTCTCTCTCTCTCTCTCTCTCGTCTTCAGACGGTGTTGGATGTGTGTTCATTGCTTGGTGGGACAAACATTGGTACGCTGGTTGTGAGCATTGTAACCATCGTAGGTTTGGTTTCTGCTAAGGAAGTGAATTCCTTGCTGGCACGCAAACTTCCTGTTCCTATACCGGTCGAGCTCATAACTGTGAGTGATTTCACACATGCACGTCCTCCCCACAAACACAAACACATATATGTATTGCTGAGTAAATAACAATTAAAAAGCTATGTATCTGCTGGGTTTCTCTGGGTCTCTCTACCAGTTAAGATAATCTTAACATTAATATTAAAAACATCAATAAAAAAAAACAAAAAAAACAAACAACATTAATGAACTAAGTAGTGATTTGATGTCTGTCTGTGTATCTGTTTAACTATTTCCAAACCTCCTCATGGCAGCCAATACCTAGTTTGGTTAATCAGTGATTCATTATGTTATGCTGGTGATAGAATTTATCAAATACATGCAATGGCTGGGGACATTCTTGTTACTTTCGACTGAATTCCTGACTAAATAACATTTTGCAAATATTAGCATTGGAATGTAATTCTGCTGACTAAGTGTTGGACCTAGCAAGAGATTGCAAGGGATGACCCTCAATGCCAGTTAGCGTTCTCCTCTAAGCATGATGTGCTGTCCAGTGAAGTTTTGTTGGTAGCAGCTTGAAATCACATGGCTCAGAGGCATCAATAAACAAATAAATTTGTGTGTTTCTCAAAAGAATAATCCTCTCTCTCTCTCTCTCTCTCTCTCTCTCTCTCTCTAGATTATTATAGCCACTGTGGTGTCATGGCGGTTTGATTTCAAGACTCTGTATAAAGTGGAGGTTGTAGGCCAGATTCCATCAGGGTAAGTCTGTCTCTCCCTCTCTCATTTCAGAAAACAGAGCACTGAAAGTGCATGTAGCTTTTGTGTTATAGACGTTCTGTGTTAATGTTGACTGTAGTAAAACAATAAAGCTAAAAGCTGTACGGCTTTAATATGACTTTATATGACTAAAGTCTTTCTCCTTTCTCTCTCCGCTTTGTCTTCCTCTGTCTCTGTAGTCTGCAGCCTCCAGAGTTGCCTGATTTCTCTCTGCTGGGGTCTATGGTTGGTGATGCATTCGCTCTGGCTGTTGTGGGATATGGAATTGCCATCTCTCTGGGCAGAACTTTTGCTCTCAAATATGGCTACAAAGTTGACAGCAACCAGGTGAGAGGCTCTGTTGTGAAACTGATTAATAAATTTAAGAAATAATCCAACATTTTTTAATCTAATCTGTATCTGTAGCACACAGTCAGTTACCACAGACAGTCATTTTGGTTTCCAGTACTTAGTACAAGAACAGAAAGCCTGTTGACCTAAAACACCTGACAGCTGGCTGCTAAAACAGGTTTTTTTTGTAAGTACAGGGAAATCATTGTCTGTTACAAGAGACTGTATGCAATACATAAGGCGGATAGAGATTAGGTTAAAAAACACTGAAATATTCCTTTAACCACTTAAATTTCATGTACATCTTCATCCTAAGGCAGGGGTCAGCAACCCACATGTTGAGAAGAGTCATTTTGTCCTTTCAGCAAAAATCAAAGCACCTTGGGAGTCACAGTATTTTATGTACATTTTACCATCTTGGCTGTAAATAAGTCTCAGTATGTGGTAATGTACCAGTATAGGCTAACAAATTTTATATAAATTTTTATATGAAGACTTTGCTTTTCTTGCATCTTCAGCAGGAAACTTTTTGAAAAGCAGGATAGTTTCTTGTAAAATGTCTCTCAACGTTCTACTTTTTACAAGGCTAAAGTCAGCTTCTCATTCACCAGCTTCTTGTTCCAATTTTCTCGTTCCACCTTAAATGGTGCAGCAGCCACCATTTAAGGTGGAAAAGGAAAATTCAAACGAAAAGCTGGCAAATGAGGAGCTGAATTCAGCTATGTGACTTTTCAGTGTTTGACAGCGTTTTTAGTGTTTGACAGTGTTTTTAGTGTTTCTCGTTGCAGATTAAACATATCAACTCCATTCGTCTCCAAATTATCAATGCTCGTTTTAAATCTTTCCTTTTGGCTTTTCGTTAGCTACTAGCTGGCAAGATTGCAGTCTGCGTGTAGGCATAGGAGGATTATTTTATTTTTACCTAAAAATTCTGCTGTGGAGCTGAAACAGGGCAGTAAAACAGCCGCATGCATCTCTGGAGCCGCATGTTGCCAATCTCTGTCCCAAGGCTTAGTATTCATTAATTACATTGAAAACAATCCAAAACTTTTTGAATTATTATTAAATTATAGGAGTAAGAAAAGGACCCACTGACAGGTCAATGAATGTAGAGGATAATCTGTATTTTTAACCCCTTCATTATCATTACTGCTTTCTCTCTGCTATAGGAACTGATAGCCTTGGGCCTCAGTAACTCTATTGGAGGGATGTTCCAGTGTTTTGCCATTAGCTGCTCTATGTCTCGCACCATGGTGCAGATTAGCACAGGAGGAAAGACTCAGGTAAAAACCCCCCTCAAATTTTTTTTTTAATAGAGATCATTTGATTGCTTCATGAACAGCAGATCAAGAAACCTTTAACCTCTGTCTCTCTGGCCCACTCCCCCTCCCCCCGTCTCTTTTTCTCTTTCTCCAGATCGCAGGTGCTCTATCAGCAGTGGTGATGCTGGTGATTCTGCTGTGGATTGGATCGCTCTTTGAGGAGCTGCCAAAGGTACGCAGGCCAAACAGCACAAAAAGAGAGAGAGAGAAAGAGGGAGAAGAGAGAGAGAAAAGATTATGCCTAGAAGTGTTCTATACAACAATTGTTTGTTTGTGTGTGTGTGTGTGTGTGTGTGTGTGTGTGTGTTTCTAGGCGGTGCTGGCTGTTATTATCAATGTGAACCTGCAAGGTATGTTTAAGCAGTTTAAAGACGTCTCAAGCCTCTGGAGGACCAATAAAGTGGACATGGTGAGAGACAACAAAAAAAATAATAAAATAGAATAGAATAGAATAGAATAGAATAAGAAGGTAACTTTATTGCCTGCTTCTAGTAATTTGCTATCAAAACACAAGACACATTATTTTTCAAAAATAATTCAAAAATTGTTAAATATTATGAACAAAAAAGAGCTTGCAGGGAATGTAGAGGTAGGACTAAATAAATAATTTAAAATAAAAAAAAACAAACAAAGAAAACAAAACGAATTCATCAATAAAATGTTCACAGTTCTACATAAATTATTTCTAAACTTCAACTGAGCAACACCCTACTAATGTTGTAGTTGCAGGTTAAACACTACAACTGGACAATTGTATAGCAGCTCTAAAGTATCTTTACTTACAAGCTATCTGTTTAACTTCCACAGCAAATGTGGTAGGAGAGAGAGAGAGAGAGAGAGAGAGAGAGAGAGAGAGAGAGAGAGAAAGAGAGAATGAGTCCTTTTTACTCCTTCTATACTTACAAAAAACAAACAGAGAGTGTCAGGCAGGACGTGGGGGACGTCAGAGCAGAAATGAATAAATATACATTTTCATAGGAAAGGAATGGTACATTGAAATAGTGATGACTGAGAGAGTGTTGAAAACAGAAAGAAAAAACAAAGAAAGAGAAGAGAAACTAACCATGAACATGCCAGACATGTGGAAAGTGAATGGTACATTAAGGAGGGTCAGAAAAGTGAGAAGTTAAAGGGCAGATGTTAAAGTCTGGACTTTTTCTACTAGTTCCCACACACACACACACACACACACACACACAGTCCAGTCCAGTGTTGTAGTGTCTGGCATGCGGGTTTGGCAGTTCCTTTATACACACACATTCTCACACACACTCACACTCTCTCATAACTCCAGTGTCTGTCGTTCTACCCATCTGTTCAGAGCTCAGTTATTTCTTCATTATTTTCTCATTTTGTCATCCATAGCAGGGGGAGTTCTGATGTTTGTTGTATATTTTCTCCTCCATAAATGGAGAGTTTAGTGCACAGTTAAAGTGGGTGTGTTAAAGCAAGGAAAGCACTGAAATTTGGACCTCCAGCACCAGGATTGGGAAACACTGGTCTGTGTTTTGGGCATTTTTCTCATGCTTTCCACCTGCCCACCACCAACAGTGAACTTACCGCATGAAATGGGTGTTGTTATGCACAACACAAAGCACAGTAAAAGCCCCTTAACTAGTGTAAAATATGATATCCTGAAAAACTCATTTTCAGTTAAGAATTTACATGAAAAATAATGGTTAAAGATCCTTCCCTAAACTACTACGGAGCCCAGCTGGTGACATCCTGTATAAGTAAAAATAACGTGACCACGACTTAGTAAGGTGTGGGAACAAAATAATTAAGTCATGGCCACGACTTAGTAAGGCGTAGGAAAGAGGTCTTAATGCTTGGCCAGAAGTTAGTAAGACATGATCTCGTTCCCACGCCTTACTAAGTCATGGCCACGACTTAATTATCTCATTCCCACACCTTACTAAGTCGTGGCCACGCATTATGATCTCGTTCCCACGTGTTAATAAGGTGTGGCCACGCATTATTTATATGGGATGTCACCAGCAGGGTTCTATACTGAACAGCACAATATAACATATTACAATTAATAACTTTATTTATGGAGTTCATTTATTTATTTAGCTTCACACACTACTACAGAATTCAGTTGATGTGTGCGGTCATGTCTGAGTGTATTTCACATATTTTACAGGAGTTTTGAACTGATTATCAGAACTGAAGCTGTTCATTTAGTAAGCTGTGTTGTTGACTGTGTCTCTGTAGCTGGTTTGGCTGGTGACGTTCATTCTGACGGTGCTGCTGAATCCTGATGTGGGTCTGGCCGCCTCCATCGCCTTCTCCATACTGACCGTCATATTCAGAACTCAGCTGTGAGTGTTAAACAGGATCTACACCTTAACGCCAGCAGTTACCATTAAAAAAATATTAAACCGAATACCAAACAATAGTTACAGTAAATGTATAATCTCACTCTGTCATATGTTTTTCTTTCTGCTCCTGCATATTTCCGTTTCTCTTTCTTTCTATCTCTCTCTCTCTCCCCTCTCTATTTCTATCTTATTTTCTCTTGCAATCTCTATATATTTTTTCTTCAATCCCTCTTTCACTTCTTCCTCTCTCCCTTCTCTTTCCCTGTCACTCTTTCTCTTTCTTTCCTTTCTCTCTACTCTTTCCCTCTTACTTACTCTCTCCCTCTACCTCCCTCTCTGCCTTTCTCTTTCTTTCTCTCACTCTCTATCTATATTTTTTCTTTAATCACTTTCCCTTCTATCTCTCCCTCCTCTTTCCCTGTCCCTCTCTCTCTCCTCCCTCTCTCTATTTCCCTCCTTGCTTCTCTCACTCTTTGATTCTTTCTTTCTTTGTTTCTTTCTTTCTATCTTTGTCTGTCTCTCTGCCTCTCTTCCTATTTCCCTATTTCGCTCTGTCTCTCTTCCTCCTCTTTCCTCCTCTCTGTCTTTATCTGACCTCTCTTTCTCTCTACTTCCCTCTCTGCCTTTCTTTCTTTCTTTCATTCTTTCTTTCTCTCTCACTCTTTCTATTTTTCTTTAACCCATCTTTCTCTTCTCTCTCTGTCTCTCCCTCCCTCTCTTTCTCTCTTTCTGCTTCCTCTCTCTCTCTCTCTCTCTCTCTCTCTCTCTCTCTCTCTCTCTCTCTCTCTCTCCAGGCCCAAATACTCTCTCCTTGGTCAGGTCCCTGGGACTGACATTTACAGGCCAGTGGAGGACTATAATCAGGTACAAACATGCTATAGCAAATTATAACAGAAAGATCACATTATTATATTACTAATATACTGTGCATTTATTTATTTATTTATTTATTTATTTATTTCCGAACTGTATTTGTAGTTTGGGTGATGTACTGTAGCTGTACAGCTGTGGGGTAATTTGCTACAGGTTCTCGGATTCTGATGGAGTATTAATGATTTGTGTGGTTGGGGGTGGGGTGGTTGGGGAGGGGTGAGTGAGTAAAAGAGCCAAAATAAGTTTTTCTTCTACCATTACATTTTATTCTTTCCAAATGCTGGGCTTTTTCTGGTCTTATTCAATCATATACAATATAATTTCTGTTTATTTGCTTGAGTTTAGCAAACTGGGAAAAAAAAACTTTTGCACAGTCAGCATTTTATGTTTTACATGTTTATGTCAAATTCAGCAAATAAACAGTAATTTTGTATTTAAATGAGCAGAAGTGTGTTCTCTGTAGAGGATGTGTCAACAAAATAATTTTGTTATGTAATTTGACCAAGACAGTGTCATGCTCTTGGCCTATTTCAGCTCTGGATTTGCTTTCCACGTGTCAGGGTGTGAATGTTGTCTTTTATGGTCAAAACCAGTGCATCCAGCTCCCGACAAGCTCACAAAAGGCCTTGCATTATCACACAAACATAGACGAGTATCAGAAAGATAAAGTGCAGAATGGGGTGAGAGAAACTCAACAATAGGAGAGAAATTAAGAGAGGGAGGGACCAAAACCAGGTGAATGAGCTGTGTATTAACCCCTTAAACCCTGGTCTCATTATACACCTAATGTTAAGACTTAGTATTCAGTAACTACTATGAAACTAACATGTATGTTAGCTATGAGAATCAGGAACTGAGGAGTCAACCCACATACAGACCCTGAGGGTCTAATAAAGCAACAAGCCATGAGAGCTTTGCCTCGTGCCTAAGAACAAACTTAAAATTGCAGTAACACACGGTCTCAAGTGGCTTATCGCTTTTATAAAATGGCGGCAAACATAAACTATGATAAAATACACACTTTTTCAGAAAATAATTTTAATTATTATTGACAATAATCGACATAAAACAAGTATTCAGCTAAGAAATGTAATTCTTAGAGTATGGTGTCGTTGCCAAGCAACCATGAATCGCTCAATGAGACGAAGACCGTTCGCTCACCCATCGCTGTATATTGCATTAATTTCATTAACTTTTTAACATTTTTGTCATATAATTATGAACATATGATAACACAACACGGTTTGATGCAGAAACATTTGCTTTATAAGTACTTTTTGGTCACCAAATCATCACCGAGTCACATTTAGCAGCAATCCAGCGCCTCTCTTCTCACACTGGGGCTGAATCTCAAATGGCTTTCTGCTCCCTACACAGTGCACTACGTCGGAATTTAAATATTGGTTCCAGCACCCCAACAGCGCAAAATACAGCTAAAAAAAGTAATTTGGGATTCAGCAACATACATCCTTGATAAATTATGCACTATTTGGCTGCAAAGGCTAGAATTTCTAAACCTCCATAGCTAGCACACTATTTAGGGAATACGGAGCCGTTTGACGCTACTTCTGACTGAAACATGGACATTTGTAGCATGTAAGTCATTCAAGTAACATTCTTTAATGTTTTATATTGCCCTTTTACAGTAATACATATCGTAAGTACTTTAATTCAAGCCTGTGGTATTAATGATGGAGTTGTTTAGGCTGTTAGCTATCTTTTAGCCTGTTAGCTAGCTGATCAGCCTAGTTCTAGTCAAGAACATGAGTTGCCAGCCACTCAACTTAAACAAAAATGGGTTCTTACTTTGTCAATACACTCGGTGGTTCCTGCGAGCAGCATTAGAGTCAAAGATTATTCCATGAACAGCACAAGGGTTTTTCATGCTGTGGCGTAGTAATACGGAGTTCAGCTCTTGTGAGGTGGTCATAGGTGTGCGTATATCATGGATTTTACAACGGTTTTGAGCGCAGCTCAGCTAATAAGATTTTAGGACTGGAACTATCCGTGTTATAATAAACGTTCAGCCATGACACGTTTGGCGTCTGAAGTTGGCTTCTTTAGATTTTCACTGGAGCTACGAGGCTAATGTAGGCCTAGCTAACAAGCAAAGGAAGCTTACATTCCAACAATTACCATTAATTAAATTAAATGAGTGAAACAAATCAAGTAATCTTGCTTAACAGCTAAACACAGTTTAAGACAAGTGTGTGAATGTTGGAGTCATGCAGTTAGCATAATGCTAATTGGATGCATAAGCTTCTATACTACATTAGCCTCGTAGGTCCAGAGCAAAACTAATGAAGCTAACTCCATACACTGAACATTGCCTACATTTGGGGGAAGGGAGTTTGATTTTTTGCCAAACTCTCACTTTAAGGGCTTAAACCATTTTTGGTTCTGACAGGTTTGTTCATGTCCATTTTTAGACTAATAAAATCACTGAGGATTGCCTTTAAAGTACTTTGGAGTTTGTTCCATCCTGGACGCTGCAGCATAAAAGCCTTCTTGGCAAACTCTGTGCTTGTTTTGGATACAGACAAAAGGACAGTGCTCTAATATCTGTAGTTTGGGTTGAATGATGGAGTAGCCTGAATTCCACCCATCTTAAGCAGTGCAGGGGTCAGGAAAAATGTCACTGTGGAGCTGAGTAGTGAGTGTAATTGGTAACGTACACTGTAAGTGGACAGAAAAAGACTTGATTGGGAACCGGAAATCCAATCTAATCTAATTACTCCCATGTGGGTATTGAATCAACTTGAAGGAAATTAAGGACTTGTCTGAAACAAGTTCCCTCTTTTTTTCAGGACAGATTAATGCTGTGTGTCCAGTGCTGCGTTTAATATGGGTGATTTTTTTGTTTCAGGTTGTGCAGATTCCTGGTCTGGTGATTTTCCGTTCTTCTGCTACTCTGTACTTTGCCAACGCTGAGATGTACACAGATCATCTTTACGAGAAGGTAGTTTTACACACACATACACATAGACACACACAGTCATGGAACATTCACACACAACAGTATCTATTATACAATGCAGTGCAGTCATAATTACTCAATTCTAATACTATGTAGAACTAAACCATGTGTGGGAAACGTGTGGGTCTAACAAAAATTCCCATAGAAGAAATCGAAGAAATTAGCATTATTATACTGGTGGTACTCAGGCTACTTGTATATTATTAAGTGTATTACATACTATACTATTATATGTAATATGCACATGAAACACCTGTCTCAAAGCAGCATTAAGGATTTCTCAAAATGGCATTAAAATTACTTAAAATACATTAAATTAATATTGTTTATACACTGTGATACTGCATATTTTAAATTCTCCTATTGATTTATTTCATGGACAGATGCTTTCCATTTCAGGTGACTTAACCCTTGTTTTCTGTTCGGGTCTGTGGGATCCATTTTCAATGTTTGCCAAAAGAAAAAATGATGCGATTTATTATTATTTCAAGCCCAGATTCCGTGGCCTTTGCTCATTTTCTGTGAAGAACATATAAAATAACACATTTTCACTGACTTCTCACTGTAAACACAATTATATTACACATGGTCTTGGGGTGAACCCACAGAGAAAAAAGTGTGGAGGTGCTGTGACCCTTCACTCTGTTCTCCTCCTACATGGCCTGCTGTTAGTGTGTGTGTCTGTGTGTATGTGTTTGTATATGTGTGTGTGTGAGGGTGGACAACATGGACAGGCTGCTGAATGGCTACAGCTGCTAAAGGAGAACCCTACGCTGGCCACTTGTGACATTTTAAAGATCTGGAATTTTTATATAAATTATTATGGCTGTATTGGTTTAAAAAAAAACAATAATGTGGTGGGTCCACCAGACCACTGAGTGACAAAAACATGAACACCACACAAGGGTTAAGGGGGGAATTTTGTAATTGTGTCTGAACCTACACTAGCTTTGGGATAAATATAAAATAGCCCCACTAAACCCTACATGCGCTTGTGCACATATACTAATATACAGACTAATAAAATCTTAGAATTTATTGCACTCACACAGTGTGATCTAACCTTCCATGTACTGCACTGACGAAGCTAACAAAAACAGATAACATGTCTGTGTATGTGTGTTTGTGTAGAGTGGGGTAGATATAACAAAGCTCCTTGCACACAAGAAGAAACTAGAGGCAAAGCGACTCAGGAAAGAGAAGAAAGAGCAGAAAAAGGCAAAGAAAGAGGCGAAGAAAAGAGCAAAGGAGATGGTGAGAATATAACAGTCATGCTCTGTGAGCTTAGTGTTGTGTGTGGGCGACTGTATGCATGTGTGTACAAGTCTGTGAGCTCCCAGGTAACTGCTGTTGTCTGCTTTGTCCAGTTGGAGGCACCAGAACTGTCAGATATGGAGGAGAGGTTTGAGGTGGCCGTTGCAGTGGTGGCTGAACCAGAGCTTGACCCTTGCTCTGACTCCAGCCTGCCCAAGGCCGTCATACTGGACCTCAGTCCTGTTAACTTTCTGGATACGGTGGGAGTTAAAACATTACGTGATGTGAGTGTCCTGAACTTACTGTCAAATAATCAACTCATGAAGTATTTGTAAACAGCTCAAAATGATACTATTTATTCATTTATTTCTTTATTTAAAACAAGTAAAATTGTCTGAATAATATAGTTGAGTGTTCTTATCATGTTCTTACAACAGTATCGTAATGAGAAGATTAGTGATGTTGACCGTGTCAGATCTCTAGCCAAGTTTATCATTTGCAATGCAGTTTGAAGTGGATATAAGCATCTTGCGAAGTATTTCTAAACACCTAACAAACATGCTATAAACATCTCATGTATGTGATTTAATGCATAATTATCTGTCATCTCTCTCTCAGATCCTTAGAGACTACGGGGATGCTGGAGTTAAAGTGCTCTTATCAGGCTGTCAGAGTGAGTGATGGATGCAAAAACACACACAAGAGAGAGAGAGGAGGAGAGAGAAAGAGAGAGAGAGAGAGAGAGAGGGAGTTTGTGTGTGTGTGTGTGTGTGTGTGTCTGTCTGTAAGTGTTTTTCTGCTGGTATGTGTGGGTGTTGTGTGCATACTATAGTTGGGTTGTGCATATGGGAGTTTTTCCTGGTTTTATTTTTGCCAGCGTGTTATTCTGTAGCTGTTCACAGAGCCAGTCTGAAATACTTTCTTGTTTTTTGTTCTTTTTGGATCTGTAATTATAGCAGAGCCGTTACGCTGAATAATAGTGCTCTGAATTTACAGTCATATACAAAAATTCGGGCACCCTTGGTCAAGTTACATCGTCTACAGAGATAACATTTCTGCAAATTTTATCACACTCTTTCTCTTTATTTGCTGAATTTAACACATTAGGGAAAAAGTATCATATATATTTTATGTTTTATGTTAAACTCAGCAAATACATACCATTTGTGCACTGAAGTTTACAGAAAAATGCCATAATTTAGATTTGTTTCATGTAGAGGATATGTTAACATACTAGCACTTCCACACATGAACATGACTGAAACAAACATGTCGGATGATGTGATATCCTACAGAAGGACTGTTCTGCCTGGTTATTATTATTATTATTACTACTACTACTACTACTACTACTACTAATAATAATAATAGTAATAATAATAGTAATAATAGTAATAATAATGAGGTGACACTGCATTTTGAGTGGTCCTTTTAGATGAAACAAACACTCAAGGATTAGGTTTTGGGTAGAGGTTAAGGTTAGGTTTAGGATTAGGGCCAGGGTTAGGGTTAGGTGTTGGGTAAGGTTGAGTAAGGTTAGGTTTTTTTTTGGAGTTTTTTAGGAGTTTATTAATCATCTACAAAGGATCACTCCAAATAAAGTGTTATCAATAATAATAATAACAACAACAATTTCCACTGCCAACACAGACCTACGTGGACAATTTTATCTTTCCGTTTGCTTACTTTGGGCATAAATATTTTATATTTTATTCATATACACAATTGAATCCAGTAAGTTCAAAACACAGTGTACCAACAGTTCTCACTTTCTCTCTCTCTCTCCTGTCTCATTCTCTCTCTCAGGTTGTGTTATTGAGCATCTGGAAAAGGGAGGTTTCTTCAACGACAAAGTAACTAAAGCTGTTCTCTTCTCCACTGTGCACGATGCTGTTCTGCATTGTCAACAGGGAGACACAAAAGAGGTCAGACATCACATATAAATCGCATACACACCAATTATAGTTGTTTAGAGTGCTGGTAATGAGGAAATGCTACAGTGTAGCTGGATTTATGTGGTGGAACACTTTAATAAGCACAGTGATGACTAGACACAGCACATGTGTACACACCCACCCACCCACACACATTTAAAAGGCCAATTCCTCTCTTTTTCCACTTTGTGGACCTTTTGCAACTCTAAACTGGGTTTAACAATCACCAAGCAAGTACACTCTGATTTTGGTATTTTTTAAAAACAAATCATTTTACAGTTACTAGAATGAAGTAAAACAACCTTAGCATGTCAGTGAACACCGAAATCCTGGAGATAAAAAAGACCTTGTTCATAATGCAAGGGTCCGGTTCATCCTGTTCCTGCTTTGTGATTTATCGCTAGACCACAGCCAAAGGAACAAAACACTGGTAGTCAGTGAGATGGAAATTGCAAGGAAGAGGTGTTCCTAGGAATTGAGGACAGGGATAGTTTCGTATTTGTAAAAGCAGTGGGCAGTGAGTTAAGTGTGGTTTAGGGAGGACAGGAGGACAGTTTATACTGATTAAAAAGTCTAAATGTTTAAGCAGCATGTCTACAAATCACCAGTAGTTGTTATGAAGGACCAGAAGTGGAGGAACAAGTGGAATTTCCCTTTAGAACCACACACACTGACATAAAGTGCACTTCAATACTAACCACACATCTCTTTTCTACTCTCTTTTTCCACAGGCCATGAAGGGAACACATTTCTAATTCCAGATCCATTGCACATGGAACAGACTGAGTATTGCATAGATGAGAAATGTGCCAACTAGCTTTTTCCTAAAACCCAGGAATTGTGTCTCATCACTGTTATTAGAAAACCAAATAAAAACGGTCATTTTGTAAGAGACTGACAAAAAATGTTCTTAAATTAACACCTGTTACTGTAAATTAATTCATTTCGGACCATTTCCGTTGGTCCATTTGTTCTAAATTGTACACCATGTAAAGAGCAGATGGTACTTAAATGAGAATTTAAAAAAGGGAAAAAGAGGTTACAAGATTTTCTTCTGATAGTGACTACATAAATCAAAATTTCTGCATAAATAAATAGTTGACATGCAAACGACATCATTCAGAGTGGTTTGATGTGAAATGGTGCATGTAGACAAACTTATTGACTATGATTTTCTTTGCAACAGTGGTGATAAAGGTGATTGTGCATACAATGCAAATATGCACATTTTCTTTGCTATCCAAAATGGCCAGTGAACCAGCATGGTGAGTTTTCATGTTGGTGTGATGTTGGTAATGCAATCTTCCCCCTATAAATTGTTTTTTTTAATGTTTTAGTCCAAAACATTTTCGAAAACTTTCATAAAACGATGTCTCAGGCATCAAACAACACATTTATAACTGTTGTGTGGAATAGCCTTGCCTGAGGGATCTTTTAGAAATCTTAAATGCTTCATACGCCTGGTCCCATTCCTTCACCATTGTGAATAATTCTGACTCTAATTCTCCCCCAGACTGCCACATTTCCCATCAAACCACTCTTACTGACTTTGTTTACACCTTAATTTAAATTTTTGTGAAATGTTGAAAAATAGGTGGAATTCCCCTTTAATAAAGGGCACTTTGAAATGGAGATGTCATCTGAAGAAACCTGCAGTGCCACCACCATACATAAACATCAGCCTGTTGTAATACAAGCTCAAGCTGTCATTATGTACGTAATAGGAGGTTAATGACAGAGCGAGAGTTTAAGAGCAGGGTGTAAACTTTAGTGCACTATCAAAACATTATACAATGTCTAGAACCTGTATGACACACAGTCATCTAGTGTGTGATTAGTCACCATCACATCTGTTAACACCCCCGCAGGCTGGCACAGTCTGGGTTTATAATCACTGTCACTGGCATATTAAACTCAGATTATAACGAGTGGTTATTTTTTCCCATTACTCCATCATAGTTACATCATAGGAGCCACTTTAAGCCTATTATCTGAGGGTGTGCTTGTGTGGAGGAGGCCTTGTTTTTTTGTTTGTTTGTTTGTCTTCAGAGGAGAATTCAAACCCATTTAGCCTCATTATCTGAGTCTGATAAAAGATTCTCCCAAGGATTTATGCAGATCTAGAGCAGATTTCACCAGAAGCTTATGTAAGGAGGAGTCCCATGTTTTTCTAGTTCACACTCTCAGAAATAGAGATATGAAACCATCACTGGGGCAGTACCCCTCTTGTCACTGGGTTGGTACCCTCAAGGGTTTATCTCAGTACCTTTAGTCAGGGAACAAACAAACAACAAACTGTACCATAATCCATTGAAATTGTATTTTTTAAGTTGTATTGACTCCACACACCCCGTCTCGTCTCCAGGCTGTTTATTGCATTGTTCTGTTTTAAAATATTAGCTTATAGAAGGTTCAAATATGTACTTTTCACCTGGGAAAAACTTATTTAAGGTTCCCAATTGGACCTTAAATCCACTGTTGTACCTTTGAGGGAACATTTACATTGTTTGTACCTTGATGAACAATGTAAATGTACCTGCACAGAACCTTTATTTCTAACAGTGTAAGATGTAATCCTTGAAATTTCACATACAACTTGCTTATAGCATATATCATAATGACCACTAACTAATTATAATGACATTTTTATGCATTTTTTCTGCCAGTTACATCAGTCCTAATTTATTTTAAATTAAGCAAATAAAAAGCTTGACAAGCCTCTACCAGTTCTTAATAATAATAATAAAACTAATAATAATAATGATAACAGTCTATCTCTTACCCTGTAAAACCAGTGCAAACTGGTTGGGCTATTCTTAGGCTATAGGAGTGTGTAATAAAACTTAAGGCCCACTGGTGGACACTAGCCATTTAGTTCTTTAAAGTTAAAACACCAAATCATATTTTATATTGAACGTTAAAAAATCTGTTTATATGTATGTGGTCATTATAGTATATTCTAAAAGTTGTCTGTTTTTTAGTAGACTGAAAGCACTAGACTAATAAGTGCTCACATGTGCAGTTGCATAACAAGCACTATTCATGGGAATAGCATGCCTTGTTGTACGAACTACACCTAACTGGCCATGAAGCTAAACTCATAACTGTCCCTATGATTGAATCCCATGCTGATAGTGACATTTGGCATGAGGGCTTCAGGCATACTTAACACAGGTGAAACTCCAATGTTTATTTTTGTGCTTTTGTGTGCCAACACATTAGCCAGTTATTCAAGTTCTGTGACTTTCTGTGCCATTGACCTATCCATGCTCCGCCCACAAATACATTTTTTGTAGTGGCTTCCGCGAAGTGCAGCTAGTTTCATAGAACCAGATGAGATCTCATAATAACAACCATGAGAAAATGTTGGGCTGAATGTGGGTGGGGAGAAGCTGAGTGTGAAATTTTGTCTTGTGAAGGTGGAGAACAAAGTTTCATCAACACTGTACCTCAAACAGCAAGCCTGTTATTAGCTCCCTGAATGCAACTAAAGTTAGCATGGCTGAAAAGTCCCCAATAAAAAATTCGGATTAAGCATCGATGTTTGTGGAGAACATATTCTGTGCAGTAAAAATAAAAAGTGCTGTTAGCTAATGGTAGCATTTGTGTTATCGATTGTACTCTGAATGGTAAAAGAGCGCAGACTACAGGAATTTGGGGACGGGTTTAACAGGGGGTGTACCCCTCTTTGCATTAGATTCGCCAACTGAGATCACATGTAATGAGACTAAGGTTGAACAAGCAAAAAGGTGGATACAACGTGATGAATATAGTTTGGAGATTAGATTAGCTGTCTAATGTGAAGCGTCCGGTTTGAAATGCTACGTGACTGAGCTGGACTATGTTGTTGTTGCTAATGAAAAAAACTTTCCATCAAGCTAACTTTAGCTTGATTACATAACATAAAAGTGCACCTACTGTATCCTTCACTTCAACCTTTTACATGCATACAAAATCAATGTAATTTGAAATGATTACACTTTAAATGTTAATATTCTGTGTATAGTTTCTCATGCCAGCTGTACATGCTAGAGTACAGTTTCAAATGCCAGCGTTCTGTAAAGCTTGTCTAACCTGACCACAGTTGCACAACAAAAGATCTCATTTGGAGGCAGAGCTTAGACAGGTGGCTATGATGTATGAAGATTCAACAGGCACTGCGCAAAAGCTTACAACTGGTTGAGGACCAACCCGCAGTGGCTTGTTGTTGACTAACTCTCCAACACAGCCTGCACACTCAGTGATACTGTTTCAAACGGTCATATCTTTATTTATGTATTGTTTTATTTTGTGGACATTTTCAGTAAGGTTTTCATTGTTATTGTTGTAAGTAGTAATGTTGTCAGTCCCTCAGACCATCATAGTGTATTTAATCACTGTACAGTATTTCCAAACTTATTCCTTTTAACATTTTATATCTTAAAATATTTAGGGGTGTCACTTGTGCATACATAAACAAATGTATTTTCATGGAGCTAATGAAGGGAATGTCTTATAATGCTTTATAAATGTATTGAAACTTTTTTCTCTACCTATTATAAACTCAACTAAGCATTTTGTATGTTGTCATGTAAAACCATTGATTGGTTTGTATTTGTTGTTGGAATTCAGAATAAACAGTTTTGCTTCTGGAACAGTACAAATGGAAATCCATGTTTATTTGCTGTATATTCAAATATTTATTCCAAGAACCACCTATTTTGACCGGAAAGGAACATTTGATTGACATGCAAAACAACCAACAAGAAATCATTGTTTTAAAGAAACACAGAAACAGGAAATTTTCAGAATGTTACAACAAAATTAGACCCAGATAAGCTCTTCATTCAAATCAGCTGTAAGATTGGTGACAGATCCTGATGTGCTCAGCATTAAGTCATCAGCATTAAGTCATCAGCATACATAGCTGTACTGCCTTGCTGTTGTTACCCATGTAGAATATGACTTGGCGTTTTGATGTTAAAATAAACATGGATGCAGCACATTGCTGACGTGTAGACATTTTTCAGCATTAATGGTGCTTTCACAGATGTCCACGTTACTCATGCCACAGGCACTAATATGCCCTCATACCATGACAGACCCTGGCTTTTTAACTTTACACTGGTAACAATGTGGAAAGTCCTTTTCTTCTTCGGCCCAGAAAACACAACATCTGATATTTCCATAAACAACCTGAAAGGTCAAACCATAACAATTTCCTCTGCACATTAGTCCGTTTCAGATTAGCTTGAGCCCAGAGAAGTATGGGCAATGTTCCTGTACATTACTGACATATGGCTTCCCCTGTGCTTAGTACAGTCTCAAGGAACAATGTTTATTGACAACAGTTTGTCAAAGCTTTCCCAAACCCATGTGGTGATCAACACAGAAGAAAATCAGTTTTTAATGATGACACATCAAAAGAGACGGAGGGGATTACCTCATCTCTGAAAAGTGTACAAAAACATGGAACTCTGTACATTGTATTCGCATTTGGGTCCAGAGCTTGCCCAGGCTCAATGCAATTTGCCTGTAATTGAAGCCTTTTTTCTCCAACTGAACCCAGCATCTTAAGTCTTCTTTGAAAACTTGATAGAATACTTGCTAGACATAAGTGATAGATAAAGTAATTCATTTAACAAAAAGACTGGCGTTGGTCATTGGTGTCACTTTACACCACAACAAAATTCAGGAAAATCAATCAACGTGTTTATATGCACTTGAGTAATCATTAAATATTAACACTGAGTAAACATTAAATATCTTGTCTTTGTACTGTTTATGTTTAATTTGCATTAATTTTATTGTCCCAACATTTTTGATGTCATTTTTTGTTGACATTTTACTTAATCATTTCTTTAAAAGTACACAATAAACGACCTTCACAAAATGAAGAGCAAAACAATGTTGTTTTGAAAAACAGCTGTTATGAAATGTTCATGTTATGAAAACAACTAAAACAATGAAGTCTATGTATGGTATGCAGGCTAAGCAAGACGGCATATCAGTGTGGCCAAACCGCTTTAAAATTAAATTTCATACTCTCGCCGCCCACAGATGACATACGTTTTGAAGAGAAAACAAAGCATAACCATGCACTGAAATGAAAGGCTCTGCTAGTGTGTTCTCTTGTGGCTGCTTGTTCGGATGTAGTACAGAGTTTAAATGAGGTTGCTGACCTTCTGTGAAAAAACACAGGCAAACTGACCCTAAATGACACAAACTGACCCTGCCTGCACTGCTGCAGCTCCTACACACGCTCCATTATAGCCTCCATGGTCTTTTTCTGTTACCTTTCACCAGCACAATGTTACTGAAACAGGTCGCAATGCGCAACATGCAGTATTTAACAGAAGCTACAATAGCTCCTCTCAGAGTGAAGGTGTCTGTGTGTTTGTGTGTGTGTGTGTGTGTGTGTGTGTGTGTGTGTGTGTGTGTGTTATAAAGAAGAAAGAGACAGAAAAATGAAGTGGGCTGTCTGAAAGAGGATATTGAACCCTCATTAATATGTATTTATTTTAATAGTGATTATAACAGTGAGAACTCTTGGCCTGCAGGTGAGCAGCAGCGGTTAAGAGCAAATCTACTAATTGAGAGAGAGAGAGAGAGAGAGAGAGAGAGAGACAGACGCAGAGAGTCAGAAAGACAGAGATAAACAGTGGGGGAGAGAGTCTGACAGCGGAGAGACAGAAAGAGAGAGAGAATCAGATAGAGGGAGACAGAGAGAGAGAGAGACAGACAGACAGACAGAAACAGAGTCTCTCTGAAACAGAGACATAGGCAGAGGAGAGAGAGTCTGAGAGAGAGAGAGACAGAGAGACAGAGAGAGAGAGAGAGAGAGAGAGAGAGAGAGAAAGAGAAAGAGAGAGAGAGGTGGGGAGCGAGAAAGGGGAGGGGCTGTATCAGTGTTTCCTCCAGCAGCTCTCCTTTCATTCTCCACCTACAGGCGGCTAAGCAGCATCTGTGTGCTCGAGCGGAGCTGAGCTGAGCTGGGGTGAAGGTAGCGCGCGAGACCCACACACACAATTACACGCGCTGCTGTTGAAGAGGAGCCGGGAGCGCTGACCGCTCGGACTGAGGTGAGTCCAGTGACTGCGGTCCCTCCATTCTCTCTGTCTGCTCTGTCTCTCCTGCTGCTTTATTCAGATCACCTAAACTTACTCAGGGTGCACTCACTTACTGCTGGGCGCACGCGCCTGCGTTCAAATCCCCCCGTTAATAATTCTCTCGCGAGAGACTAATGACACACGCCAGCCGTGTCACTCACTGGCTCGCGCTGCCACTGCCTCAGAGCTGCAGTCTCTTAACTTTGAGCTAAAATTAAGTTGACTGGCAGCCTTGGCCACATTGCTCTCTCGCTCTCTCTCTCTCTCTCTCTCTCTCTCTCTCTCTCTGCCTCCGTTGCTCTATTTTTACTGCAGTGCCGTGTGTCCAGCGGTCCGTGCATTCATTCAGATGGCTGTTTTTGCTGGCCACTAGCAGACAGCTGTGGGTCAGCACAATAAACCCAATGAGACACCCGTGCTAGCGCGAGTATATGCGTGTGTTTTTAGTGCTTGGTGGGGACCTGCTGTCCCCCCAGGGAAAACAGGGCCATTTAGGGTCATGTGGCTGGTCCCGTATGTTTTATTTTACAAAGAAAAGCAGCTTTTTTATGACAAATAAAAGAGCAGAACGATTTTCACATTCATATTTTAATGTGCTTAGCTGTATCAATGCAGGTCAGTTGTAATGGCCCACAAAGATAGCAATACAAAGTGCTATGTGCATGCGCGTGCCTGTGTTTCTCTGCGCGTGTGCTCCGTGACGTCAGCGCCCGCAACTGAAAACACTGTGCCGGCGCAGCGCGCGAACGGCATTTTGTCATTTTATTTCATTTTGATTTGTTTTTTCTCTCTCTGCTCTTGTCATGCACGTGCTAGCCGCCTGTGTGCTGGTGGCTGCCGCCTCGTGCTGGTTGAGCGGCACCGCGCTCGCGCTACTCCGCCTGCTGTTGCCGGACGCGCTGCTGGCTGCCCACATGCCGGAAGAAGCGGAGGGGAGCCGGCGAAGCCCGCAGGGCATCCCGTACCGAGACCTGCAGCACATCGTCAACGCCGACGGACTACACCTGTTCTGCCGCTACTGGGAGCCGGACGGCCCGTCCAGGTAAGAGGCGGTGCGGAGCTTAAGGAGGGAGAGATGAACTGGGTTACAGTTACCGTGATGCGTTAGCTGTGTTTACATCCAGCAGCTGCAGCGTGTGGTCCAGTTACCATGCAGGCATATACTGACTACTAGCCTCACTAGCCTGACTAGCTTAGCCAGTTTGACCGTCTGAATAGCTGTGGAATGGCCTAAAGCAGAGCCACAGGTGACAATGACCTGCACACATCATAATGCATCTGTCACTTACTGATAGTGTTTAGCAGTAGATAGCATTTCATTGGGTTGCTCACGTTAGCTTTTCTTCTTAACGCAACAGTAAAGGCTGAATTTAGGGCTGGGCAATATGACAATATTTATCGTGATACATTCCCTCACAATGTTCTTTTTGAGCATATGGTGGATGTCATCAGTACTTAAACAACACTTCCCAGCTGCATGTTTAATTATGAAGAAAGCATAGTTAATTCGGAATAATTGGAAATAGTTCAGGGTAGTTTAAAAAATATTGAATACAAATCATTGTGTTCATAGTTTTTGACTTTTTTTAAAAAAAAATATGGCACTATTTTGTCAGTTGTAAATTATCAGATGTCAGGAAAAAATAAATATTGTCAAAATCGTATCGTGAAAACTTTCTGATGTATCGTGATAGTACATTTTTGCCATATTGCCCACCTCTAGCTGAACTGAAAAAACCACTATCTGTCCAAAAGTATCCAGATACTTCTTCTGACTGAATTTCACACATGTATGTAGTGTAATTTTCATAGAAAGCACTGCCAATAAAATAGGCAGTCATTCTGGAGTATTTAAACATTAGGGGTAGGGATGGGCAATATCTCTAATTTTCTTTTCGATCTACCAAGTAATACCAAGGCTAATATCCCAGTGACAATACTGATACTACTACTTTTAAAAGGCGAATTTTTTTCTGACGTCTACAGTGAAAATCAGAATATATATAGGAAACACCTAGTATCAGTACTGTCATGTAAGGATCGATTCTCAAAAATAAACATCAGGATAGAAGCATCATTATTCAGTATTTCAGAATCAATCTGAAAACCCCCAGTCAGGGCAATACATGTAATAACTTAATACTTTCAAGATGATATGCATCACAATATTTAGATTTTTCTGGGGTTTGGAAAAAAAAGAACCAGTAGTGCATTTAAAATTTTCAAAATACTTTCAAAAACTGTGAATAGAGTGAATTTTATTCAATATTTCACACACTTCACTGCACTAAATCCAGTTACCCAGGCCTAATTATGCTCTCTTTGAAATGTAACATGCAGTTAATCAGTGCTCTTTTAATGCTGACAGCATTTACAAAATGATCTATGACGATAATGATAAATATCACTATATTGCTCACTCCTAAGCCTAAGGCCCCCGTGACCAGTGCCAATTGTCAGCTAGACAGATATAAAGCCCCCCAGCATTGGGCTCTAGAGCAGTGTAACTGCGCTATCTGGAGTAATGGCACTCCATCCAAGTTGCATTTGTGATCCAGAACTAATCATCCAGCGTCAGTACCTGACCCTGTCTAGTGTAAAGTCTTCCTAGAAGAACAGAGGCTGTTACTGCAGCAAAGGGGTCACAAACTCCCTATTAATGTCCTTCATTTTAGAAGAAACGTTGGATGAGCAGGTGTCTTTAAACTCTTGGACATATATTGTAGCTACCAGCCCCTGGTACTACCAGTATGATCATCTAAAAAGAGGTGTAATAGCCAATAGTAGAGGTAAAAGAAACCTGTACACATACCATGACATGAATTTTAGCTACATCTTGCTGTTTATTGGGATACTCATGTTTAACAGTGAAGGCTGAATTTGCACAATACATGAATTGCCCTTTTCGTACTGTCTAATGAACCACAGTAGGATACTATGGAGCCTTTTCATATTCATCTTAGTGTTGCATATAGTAAATAATGATTTTAGCACTTAATGCTGAGGTGTATGTACTGTTGGCCCTTCGTTGAACCCCTCTGTGAGAGAATGTGTTGTCTTCTGAGGTGAGTCTGAGGTGGAAAGCACCTTTTCAGAGCGATACACTCTTTTCTGACACAAGCCGTGATACCACAAACCATTGAGATGCATCTGCATTCAGACTCACCCACTCTGTCTCTCTCTCTCACACACAAACACACACACTCGCACATAAAGTGTGTCAATACTGAGACGCTCTGAACACTCTGGCAGTTTTGAGTGATTAAAGCTGCCCACTGCTGTACTGTACTGTCTGTGTGTGTGTGTGTTTGTGCAGGAGAGCAAGAGAGAGAGAGAGAGAGAGAGCGGGTAAGAGTATGAGGGATTAGGATTAACCCTCAGCAGTTCTCTAAATAGGTGTATGAGTAGGAGTGAGTGCATGTGTCCTGAGTGCGTTTGACTGTAACAGTTTGTCTTTGTTGTCTGTTGTTTTAGTTCCTCTTTAGGGCTTTTAGTGTGTTGGTCACATGCTTACATCACACACACACACGCTCGCATCACACACTTATCAGTTGCTCCATAGAGTGGTGCCTAGTTGGTTAAGTTTGAGTGTGTGACCCTGATAACATTAGTGATGCACCAATTTTATGCACTGGATTGGTATCAGCACTCATACTGACCTTATTTAATGTAAACGAGCCACTATCGATGCCGTTACTTAGACACAGTTGCTCTACAATGTGAGTGTTTTGGTCTAGAGCAATATATTCTCAGAAGTTCTCACAAAAGAAAGAACACAATTCTCATGTGTTTTTCATCAGTGGTGTCTAGGCCCGTGCTTGGTGAGTGTTAGGGTGTTTTCACACTAGACTTTTTCCACACCCAGGACTGCTTGCTCTGAGTTTGGTACATGTGGTCAAGTGTGAAAGCTGTTTTCAAGCCCGCGAGCAGTCCAGAAAATCGATCTCTGGTCCTCCTGAAATTGGTGGTCAGGGGTTCCACTGCACGTGTGGAGGCTATCCGCTCCCGACGTCCTGTGTGGGGTTGCGTGATTGGTTCCTTTTGTTATGTGGCTGTTTCGACTTATTGCGTCACTTCCCTTTGCAAGTTTCTTGATGATGGGTAAAGGATTGTTGTGAAGCAAAGAAGATATCAAGCACATATGGCCACAATTCATAGCCCGCATGGCTAAAAACTTTTTAATCTTTTTCATAAGCGATAGGCTACTTGTTTACAGATGCTCCTGCACACTGAAATGCCATGTATCCAAAAAGCACTGTTCTTTGCTGCTTGAATGTTTGTATCCAAAGCAAACAGATGATACAACTATGATGTCTACCATTTTGTAAACTTCTGTGAAGAAAAGTGATGTATGGAATTGCGCAATCGATCCATGGTTCAGAGGAAATTCTTGTGTGAGAAAACAAACCAGCAATAAAGAGCCCCTCCACCAAACAAGCCCAAAATTGGTCCTGGGTGTGGGCTCAACTAGTCTATTCAGCACAAGTGTGAAAACACCCTTAATCGAGTTGTTACCGTGGTAACAGCCCCACAATCACGCTAAAAATTAAATTACTGGAACTTTGTAATTTGCGCGAAACCAAATCCAGACAGCGGTTTTTCCACATAAAAACATAACTGACCTTTGAAACACTGAGTGATGTGATGTCCTACACTGATACCACATTAATTCTACCTGACATAGATAAGATTGCTCTACAAACCCAGCTGCAGTTGAACACGCTCAGTGCTGCAGGCAGATGGCTTCAAATGACTGTGATGTTAAAACCAAACTTAGTTCCAGCTACTGCTGTGTCATGCACAGTGCTGATGATGGCAATATCATTAGTTGGGCAGACTACGCTGGACAGTGCTCTGAGGAGAGTAAATAACAAAAGCAATGGGAAAGTGAAAAGCTACAGTTACTCGAAATAACACTAACAATAACACAGCTGTGTGAGGGTGAGAGGTTACAGTCACAGAGGAGTTGGAACATGCGGCCTCTGTTGCTCTCACTGGACGTCAGTAATGATAATGGAAAACTATGTTCGTGTTCAGTTCATGTGAGCCCTGCGCTCATGCAATAAAAACAGTTGATTATTGAAAGTAATAAATACATTGTAACAAAGTTTATTTTGTCCATTTATATAGCAAAACACACTGCTTTGTATATGGAAAAAATCCCCCCTTAGGTTAACTGCACAAAAGAGTGCAGTTAATCACAATTAATTACTTTAATCATTTGAGAGCTTTAGGTTTTATTGATGGAACTAAATGCTCTGCTTACAGCTAATAATTATAAATGATCACATTACAGGCAAGCCTATTTGTGAAAGGACATGAAACGTGCTTCTTTGCAAACGTGAAATGCGCTGTGTTTCTCTACAAAGCGCTGCAGTGTGTCAAAATAAAAGCCCCAGAGGGAATTTTTATTGCTCTGTTGTTGCTCTTTGATGGGACAGGGGACTTATTGAGGGTTCTCCTAAAATTTTAGCAGTAGACAAAATAGATTAGATTAAATGAGATACAGGGGAGAGATGAGACTTTAGTTGCAGAGCAAATCTGGTTTAAATGCATCTTGGGTGCGTTTACTCCTGAATTTATATGTGGATAATCTTTATCTGGATATAATCCTCATACTCAGTACGCATGAAATGACCAGTGACTTTGTGTGTGTGAGATGATGTAAAGTTGCCAGTACATTTTAAAGACATTATAAGTGTGTTACATCGTGGAATGGAGTATCTGTATGTTTGTTTGTGTGTATTTTGGGGGCCGTGCCTGCAGTAACCCCTTTCTGCTGTTTCCGCGGCAACTATTCAGCCTCTTGTCACAGTGGCATGGCCCCAGGAGACAAGCCGTTACCATAGCAACCACCTCACCTCCTGTGTGTCAAGTTAATTTGATGACTTATTCAAACAGCTACAGGTCAGTGTCACCCTTTCACCCACAGAGCGCACAAAGCATGCATGCACATATGTGTGTGTTTATGTATGTGTATGTGTGTCTGAAATGTGCACACGTACGCAAGTTAACAAAACATTGTCACGTAAGCATTGTTTG